TGGAATTTGTGTGTGTGTGTGTGTGTGTGGGTTAAATTTATTACCGTCACGGCTGAACGCCAACTAGTGGGAGCCACCACTCTCTCCCCCATCCTGCCCTACCCAACTATCCCCAATTCATCCTTTCCTTTCCTTGCCTTCCCATTGGGCTGGCCGTTATTTATGGGTCCGTGAATCGGGGGGGTCGGTCGGCTTACCGCAATGTTTTGGCTTCGGCGGTCATTTTATTGCGGCCCAGCCCGACACATGCCTGTCTGTCACTCCATAACACGTCCTTAATACACCACTGGACATGCGAATATATAAAATATATATAAATACATATAGATTTAATAGTTTTGTCCATCAACAGCTGCAATTTATGCAAATTCCGCGTTCAAAAAAACTGTTTAAATATTTTGAAATATGATTAAAGCCTTGGCATGGCCTTCGTTAATTGTGCATACCCTTTGAGGCATGCCGCACGGCCAGTATGGAGATTTGCACCTGCCAGATGGCCAGGAGGGCTGCTGCAGCAAACACTCGTAAATCCTGCAGCAGCAACAAATACAACAGATACTTATTTGGGTACAAAATGTTGAATGCACATTGCATATGCCCCAGCATAACTCATTAGTATTAACTGCATGTCCTGTGTGTGTGTGTGTGTGTGTGTGTGTCCACTGTACAGGTGTGTGTGTGTGTCCACCTTATCGCTCGAGGGCTGGCTAGGGACGACCATTAAATAATTGCCACAATTTATGTGTACACACATTTCGCATACAGCCCCAAAAGCTGCGACTCGAAACTGAAGTTTGTCGCATGCCACAACCTCGATACCACCCCGCCCATGTTGCACTCTCCCTCACCCAACCGAGACCTCAATGGACACGGAGCAATGCATCTTGCCCAAGCAAATATAGAGATGGCAAAAGCAAAGATTATACATAATTTTCAATTTGCAGCACACCCCACACTTGCCCCACACTTGCCCCCACACTTGCCCCCACACTTGTATGCGTATGCGTATATGTGATTGTGGATGTTTGTGCAACATGCAACTGCATTTATGCAACAACTCGGAGCCTGAGTGCCGCTCGAGGCCCGACACATACCCCCATCTCATGCCCCATGCCCATATCCATATCCATCTACTATAGGGCCATGTCTATGCTGTTGCACGAGTTGCAGGGGGCAGTGCATTCGAATTGCAGCCTCTTTTGAGAGGCGGGAATGCATTTTTCATGTTGCATGTCCCAAGCAAATTGCCTGGAATTCGGAATTTCTGGTCCAAAGACGAATGGCAAATCGTTTGACACAAACAGCAGACCCTGTCAAAGGATTGGGAGAGATTTAGGGACCATCACCAGCCGAAAACATTGAATATCTTTTGCCCAAAAGCCAAAGGATTGCTAATTAACAACATTTATTTGCCTTCTTTTTTCATGCATGTCGCCTAACCCAACAACAACAACAACAATCAGGTATCCGATACCGTCGTGGAGCCCTACAATGCAACGCTCTCCATCCATCAGCTGGTGGAGAACACAGACGAGACCTTCTGCATTGACAACGAGGCTCTCTATGACATCTGCTTCCGCACACTGAAGCTATCATCGCCCACATACGGGGATCTCAATCATTTGGTTTCTGTAAGTGTCTAATTGGTGTTTTTCTTTGTCCCCCCATCGCCACGCCACGCCCCGCCCAACCAATCCTTCATCGAACGGTGGACACCCAGGTGTCAGAGGTGGTGGTCGAGCCGTATAATGCCACATTGTCGGTGCACCAGCTGTGCGTGGACACAGACGAGGCATTCTGCATTGACAATGAGGCCCTGTATGACATTTGCTACCAAAGCCTGCGCCTATGCTCGCCCACCTACGAGGATCTAAACCACTTGGTGTCCGTAAGTAGCAGCCGGAAAAGGAGCGCAAATGGACCCCCACGGATTGGCAGAAAAGCAAACCATCAAATGAAATGCTTTACTAACTGAGATTCCCCCCTCCTTCGAACAGGTCACAATGTCCGGCGTAACCACTTGCCTGCGTTTCCCTGGCCAGCTGAACGCCGATCTGCGCAAGCTGGCGGTGAATATGGTACCATTCCCGCGTCTGCACTTCTTCATGCCCGGCTTTGCCCCACTGACCGCCAAGGGATCGCAGCAGTATCGCGCCCTGACCGTCGCCGAGCTGACGCAGCAGATGTTCGATGCCAAGAACATGATGACCGCCTGTGATCCCCGGCATGGACGCTACCTGACGTGTGCCTGCATCTTCCGAGGTGAGTGGCCAACCAAAGCCCGTGTTGACGCACCTTCTGTCCGCGCCCCCAACGGGGGAGCGGGGAGGGTCCAAAGAAGAAAAATAGTTGTTTAACAACAAGCCCGAAACACGTTCACGCAAACGCAAAGGAAAACGCAGGGATCCATCCATCTTAAGGGGTGGTGGGCAGCCATCCATGGCGGCTTATCCGTGAAACTTTGTCACTTTGTCAGGGCCAACTGGTGGCTGGCGCACCTGTCCTATGGCCGGGCCATGGGCTGCCGCAGGGCACGTAGAAACAAGGGGCAACAGCGACAATTTTATTAGCAAACAGAATGCCTACTTATGGGCGCCACTAAAAATGATTAATGCAACCTGGCTCTGGCCCTGTCCCTGGCCCTGTGCCTGGCTCTGGCGGGCAAAAAGGCTGCAATCCGTCAACGCGCACGTAGCGCAAATTTGTTAGCCTTCCGCGTTGGCTGCCACCCAACCCCCCACCGAGGGTGGCATTTTTTTTTGGCTTGGCGCTAATTTTTAAATTAATAAACTGGTGTGCGGCGCCCGAAAGTATGCCGCATAATATTTCATTTGCTATTCCTTGTGTACCTCTCGTTCTCGCTATCGTCCTGGCTTTGGCTTTGGCTTTGGGATTGGAAGTGGGCTCTGCCTCTGCCTTTCCTTTTGACTGATGACTCGCAAAACGCGCGTAATTAGAAATTTACTTTCAAGATCCATTGGGGAATTACGACCACCGACCGACCGCCCCCTGACACGGGCCTCAAGCCCAGGCCCAAGCCCAAGCCTAACTAATCATGCTTGAACGTGACTTTGGGGCCCTGAACTCTGCCTCTCTCTTTCTCGCACGACTCTCTGCGTCCACTCAGGCTCTGGCTCAGGCTCTGCCAGAAATACTTGCAAAATAATTAATCACAAAAATGTGTTCTTCAGAAGCAACAGCGGAAGCAATATCAACAAAAGCAGCAAAAAACATGCCAGCGAAGGAATTTAAACAACTTTTTTAGTTACCTCCTGGGACTGTTTGTGTCAAGGTGGCCCCTAGCCTCTGTCTCTGTCCCTGTCCCTATCCGCCTGAGAGCCTCCGCCAACTCCGACTCCGACCAGGTGGCAAAGTGCGCTGTTGGGGCTTAGAATCCGTTTAGTATTTCATATTCAGGGATTTGGGGATTTGCTTTTGGGACGCATCAAAGCCAACTTGTCTTTTGATGTAAATGCGGGAGGGGAGCACTGCACTGTTTTGGTGGAGATACTGAGGCGATGGGATTTTTACCCCCGATACCAATCGTTTTTTTTTTGTTGTTCAATTAACAGGTCCAATGTCCATGAAGGAGGTGGACACCCAAATGCTCAATGTGCAGGCGAAGAACAGCAGCTACTTTGTCGAATGGATACCCAACAATGTGAAGGTGGCCGTCTGCGATATACCGCCACGCGGCCTCAAGATGTCCGCCACATTCATTGGCAACTCGACGGCCATCCAGGAGATCTTCAAGCGCATCTCCGAGCAGTTCACAGCCATGTTCCGTCGCAAGGCCTTCTTGCACTGGTACACGGGCGAGGGCATGGACGAGATGGAGTTCACTGAGGCGGAGAGCAATATGAACGATCTGATATCCGAGTATCAGCAGTACCAGGTGCGTTTTCTGAACAATATCTAAAACCAGTCCAGCAATTTCTTACTCGAAACCTTTTCCTTTTTTTCATTTTTTAGGAAGCAACAGCCGACGATGAGCTCGAGTTCGAGGAGGATCAGGGCGAGGGCTACGAGTCGGAGGTCCTGCAAAACGGCAATGGCGAGTAGGGACGGACCAACCAGCATCATAACTGTTTTCTGTATACTATTATGTAAATTATTTGCAAAGTCATCACCAGACAAAGGCTTCAAATAAATATCTAGTAAATATAGTAAATCTTATTAATCGATTGGCCTCCAAATTCTGACAGCAACACAGGCGGTTAGATGAGGAATATTCTTTGTAAACCGGAACTGGTTTCAGAGATTTACTATTCAAAAGAATTAGTCAGTTTTCTGTAAAGCTAAATTTGCAAAACCAAGCCACAAATATCTCGAAAACAAAAAACCATACCCTCGATGGACCGCGATTTAGAGGCATAAGGCAGGGCTCTAGTAAGTGAATCCACTGTGTTGATCAAATCACAGCCATACACATTACGAATCCTAACGAAAAACCGATTGAAAGCACTAAGGATAGAAATCAGCAAGTTTCGTTCGAATGTCTCTGAAATGACTCAAGCCATATGTAATACGGAGTTCATGTGCTTTCGGCTTTGCACATTTGGCTTTTTAGGATGGAAGCTTAATCCGACCACTGTATATCATCAAGAAAACGTACTCACACACAGAAATATGTATGTACATATTTTTCAGAAAAATGAAAAGTGAGCGAGACAAAAAAACCGAAATTTGAAAGATCTGAGACCTACCTCGTTCAGTCAAGCAATTCAAAGCTGAATGCCTGATTCCATGATGAAATAAAAGAAGGTGGTCCTTCGTTCTTCTCTTTCTCATCAATTATGGCTTCAAAGCTCTCTCTTAAGAACCAAAAGTGGGTTAGGGGGTCCCTTTTATAATTTCATCGTGGCTGATTCTGGAGGACTGAACAAAGCTATTACTGAATCAGTTCATGCAGGGCTCTAGGGCAGGGCGCAATTATCCTGATCAAAAATCGATCTCAGATCAAGGGAGCAACACGAGGAATGGAGATTATCATTCCATCATTCCATTCAACTATATCTGGCAGAACTTTATTAATTTCAATTTGGCTCTAAGCCTCTGATGTACGATGCGATGTTGTGTTTCAATGTATTCCAAAAAAGTCGTCCAATTCCAATTCCAAACGATTGCAAGCGAAGATTGGTTTGATCCTGGACTAGCGGAACCAAAGGGCGATCTGACACCACGTTGGCCACTTGCTGAAACACAAACAGCTGATTTGGACTGGTCTGTATAATCAAGTATTGGGTGGACGGTCGTAGATTGGGATTAGGAGCCTTGATGGGCTCATCTTTTGATACCACATCAGCAATTTGATCGGTCGGAGAAGGTGACAGTTCTAGACCCTGTTCTGGTTGTTCTGGCTCTGGATTTTTCGCTGTATATAGGGATACTGTCTCCTTCGGCTCTGGAGAACCAGAATTCATCACCAGACACTGGGATTTTGTTTGTTTGTTGTTGTTGTTGTCCCGGCTCTGTTGACGGCGACCAAAGCTCGGCCGGTAGCAAGCTGTGAGGAAAAATAGCATTTTATCTTTATTATTCGTTAATACAATTTCGGTTTAGACTTACGCCGCTTGGGAGCACCGACCGCCTCGTTGTCTGTACGGCTTGCTTGGCGTTTTCTGGTCGTCATCATGTGAGGCATTGTAAATAGATGGAGCGAAAATAGCAGCTAGTCTGTTGAAAATAGGAATTATTATTTGTACTACTAAATTAATTCAAAAATTGTTTGCTGTACTCACATTGAGCACTACCGAACGATTGATGAAAATGGTATCTGGTATAATTTACACTTTGTCCGACGCCTGCTCTGTTGTCTCGATTTTCTGGGTTATTGAGCATACTCGGCTGAACTGTTTAAGCTCCATTCCCATGGACCCCCATAGGCATTAAAATAAAATCAATTTAAATTTCAGAAACTAGATCTAAAAGTTTTTTATTAACTCATTCGTGTTACTACAGCGGATAGTTAACGAGTACGTCCTGACGGGCCAATTCCAGCAACATGGGATCGTCGAAGAACTTGTTAATGGACACATCCTCGGAGAGGCCTTTGCGGCGTCGTGTCTTGATCATGAATTCGCGTGCCAAATGCGATGCCTGCTGGGGCTCCAGCGGCCGAATGATGATACTCTTGTCCAGGGGATCGCCGGGCACAATTTGCCAGTGATGGAACACTGACAAACAGAATGCCTGACCTTGGGTATGCGTTCGCAGATCTGTCTCAAAGCCGAACGAATCGATGGCAGGTATAAAGGCTTTGATCGTATAGATGGGTGAACCGGAAACGGGGGCATCCTGTGTCACATGGCCTCTAAAAGAATAGGAATATGAAGTTTCGGGTGAAAATTGTCACAAAAAATATTCCTTCAACTCACCTGCGCCTTGCCAATACCGTGTAGACCGCCGACACACAATCTGCGGGCGCCTGGACCTCAACAAATAGGTACGGCTCCATTAGACGTGGCGTGGCCATGAGGAACGCAGAGTAGGCCACGCGACGAGCTGTGGGAATGATTTGGCCACCACCGCGATGCAGAGCCTCGTTGGCAATGACTCCGTCCAGTATCTTGAATTTGACGTTTCGTATGGGCTCCTCACAGAGCGGACCCTCGCGCGTTCCCCATTGAAAGCCCTGCACAATGGAGTCCTTCACTGCCGTCAGCAGGTTCTTGTCCACCTCCGAGGGTAGGGTGTCGTCCACAAGTATGTTGGGACCAGTTGAATCGGGGCCGAATGCCCAAATGGAACGCGCGGCCAACAAATCCCAGTCATAGTTGACCTGAAAGAACTCTCCGATGCGTTTCTTGTTCCAACTGATGCAAACGGTCCCGTTCTCAATGTCTTCGGCCAGGCCCTTCTCCAGGGGCTCTGATATCATGGTTAATTTGTTCTTTTTGTTTGGCGTCTCGGCGAAACACTTGAGGGAACTGGTTTCCACGACAGTCTCACAGAAGGCCACCACAGGATCGGCCACCTTTATGTCGATCTCCGAGTACATTTTGCGCAGATCATGCATGACGCAGTCCAGATACAACTCGCCTGTGCCCAGGATAACGTGCTCACCGGACTCCTCGACACGGGTCGAGAGCAGCGGATAGGATTTGTTCACCTTCCGCAGACCGTCCAGCATTTTCGGCAGCTCCGAGGGATTCACTGGCTCAACGGCAATCTTTATAATGCTCTGCGTGTTGAACTTGAGTGGTCGGAATATATAGAGATCCTCTGGGACATTGATGTCCACAATGGTAGAGGTTTTAACGATGCACTGATCGATGCCCTCAATGAGGACCCAATTACCGGAAGGAACTCGGTTTAGCTCGACTTTATACCGAGCCTCGAAAACCCACAGTCGACCGACTTGCAGTATTCGGGAATCCTCCTCATCCTGAAGCGTGTAGTTCTCTCCCAAAACACGCACCTCCTGACCGGCATGCAGGGTGCCGGAAACAATCCGTGCCAGCACCTGGAAAAAGGTACAATCATCGTTGGGATACATCTTCGAGCTGTGGACCATCAGTGTGCCATATTGATTGCAGGTTATCATGTCGCGATAAATGTCCCCCTCTTTTGGCCCCGTATAAATGTGGTCCACCTTCCGCTTGGCGTTCTCCTGTGGCGATTTGATGTGCTCCACGCACATATCCACGAAACCGCTGCAGTCACCCATGAAACGATTGCAGACGAGTCGCAGCAGCGGCCGTATATTCGACTTCATTTCCTCCTTGGAAACGCGTACATTCAGTTCGGCGAGCGTGTCCGATAGCGTGCTGTCCACGTCGCCCACAACCTGGGCAATCAGCTTGTACATGGGCTCCAGTATGAACTCCACGAAACTGCGCTGAGCAGAGCTATGAGGCTGTTTCTTGGAAAACTTTCGGCTGCCAATAGATCGTCGATAAGTTACGTGAATAATAATTAATAAATAATCTGAGGATACACTTACGTTTTGCTGTTGAAGTACATATCGCCCCAGAGTCGTTTGGCAAAGTCAATGTAGTTAACGCCCTCATATGTGTCCGCATAGAGTTTGGCAAACGATTTCAAGGTGAAGCAAAAGCCATATAGCGAACTGGAAAAGCAGACATTGCCCAAAATCGGAGACACCAACAGGTTGTCATCTGCACTGCCATATGTGCTAAACGGAAAGGATATTGGTGAACAAATTATTAGGTAAATTTAGGCCTACATACCTCAGTAGCCCATTGACCTCCTCTACTATATGTTTCAGCTTAAAGTACGCATCTTGGGGCGGCAGCTTGAGCTCCAGAATGAGACGATCAATCTGCCATAGATGATGAGCATGAAAAACTTTTACTTTGCGGCATTTGGCACTGTCTTACCTTGTTGATGCACACGGTAATGGACTGCCGCTCCTGTACAGCATGCTTTAGCAAGCGTTCCGTGTTCAGCATAATACCCTCTGCCGCATCGATGAACAAAACAACGCCATCGCTCATACGCATGGCAGCAGTGGTCTCGTCCGAGAAGTTAACATGACCGGGAGTGTCGAAAATATTCAGCAAGTAGCTCTTTTGCTTGACATCCTGCAGAACAAGGGTGACTGGGGTGGCCTTAATGCTGCATCCGCGTTCCTGTTCGGTGAAGAGCGTGTCTGTATACCGCAAAGAGCGCTCCTCCATGGTTTCGAATTGGGGATGCGTTTGCCGAATCAGGCAATCAACGAATGTCGTCTTGCCGTGATGGAGGTGCCCAACGAGTGCCACGTTTCTGATGAGTGGCGGCGTGTCCATTAGATCAGCCATAAATTCCATGTCATATGTGGTGTCCTGCTGTTCCTGCTCCTTGATTTGGAACTTCAGCTTCTTTATCGGCTCAATGAGTGGCTTGTCCAGTGGCTGGGCATCCTCTTCCTGCACTATGGTTTCCACATCCGGACCATAAACCTCCACGGCCGAAGGATAATAGCGTTTATCCTCGTGCAGTACAACCGCTGTCACTTCCTTGTCCTCATCTTCTGGCGGTTCTGCTTCGTCCTCGTCCATGGCGTCCTGTGTACCCAACCAATCGAATTACTGAGAATGATGCTTCGAGTACATTGCCATGGGAAGTACTTACATCTTGGTCATCCTGCACGTCTGGTTGCCCATAGATACTCTGGTCATCATCCTCGTCGCTATCCAGATCGGGGCCAATGTAGTTGCCGAACTCATCGTATAAATCGGAATCCATGATTTTGCAGAGCTAATAGAAAATTATTTTCATTCACTGTACACTCAGCCGGCCTCTGCCAATATGTAAACTTTACAGCCACCGAGCAGTACGGCACTGTGTGAGATGCTATTGTATCCGAGATAACTTACCAAGGTTCAATCCTACTTTTAATAATGTTTTTCTCTAAATATTAGAGGAAAAACTTTGATGCAAATATATTTTTTTACTATTTTCACGCAAAACGCGGATTTCAAGCACGCCGATAAATTTTATTCTGCTTAAATCGATAACAAAAATCAGCTGGAGCCGGCATTTGCAAAAAATAAAAGAGTGACCAGACGTACGAAACTGTAACCTTGGCGGGAATATTTATACTTACATATATCTGCATTTACCTAATGGCGCATAATTATCGTCTTTGGCCTTTTCTGATGACCGGTACAGGTAGAACAGTTTGGGGGTGAAAAGTCGAGAACAGGTAGATCGTTTTGGCTTATATTTTACCGCAATTTGCAAAAGTAATTAGTCAAAAGTATCCGCTTGACCCGTCAACATGTTCATAAAAAAATTGTGTTTTCTTCTTTTGATGGCACATTATTCTGTGGCAATTCAGACGGATATCAAAAGGGGGAATTTAAACTCCATTCTTGATAGAGATGAATGGACCAAACTGGCCATGGAATACATAAAGAATCACAAGCCATATATTGTAAAGAAGTACGAGCCATACAAACCTGGAAAATATAATTTGACCCTCCCATCGTTTGGCCAAGAATGGCAAACAACAACGATTCAGGCAGTCATTGAGCCTACAATTGAGCCGGAATCATCTACAAGCCATTTTACTGAGGAAATCTCCACAACAACAAGCAATATCTTCGATCTTGACGGTACCACAGAGGAAACAACTGTCCAAACTACAACGTCAGAGCCGCAGTTTACAATAATGGAAGCGGACACAACAGAACAAAGTCCCACCAGTACAGAAATTCCGGAATCAACCACTGGCATGGTCGAGACTACCACTTCATGGAGCATCGTTGATTGGGAAACAACTCCGATCATAGACACCACCACTACCGTCTCTTTCAGGGAGGAATCGACAGGAGAAGTATCCGAAACCACGACAGAGGAATCTTTAGTCACGACAGAATGGCCAGCAACCACTACAGGATCCTGGGAAACGTCAGAAACCACAACGGAACCATCTCTTAATACGACAGAAAGTCCAGAGACTTCGACTTCAGTGTTGGAAATTATTTCCACAACCTCAGGCATTGAAACTACAACATATTTGGATAATCTAATATACATTCCCCAACCGGACGACTTCACAGACCTCGTAAACAGTACAACTACAGAAAATACAAATATTGAGATTGAAACGAGCACAATCGTATCAGAGGAAACCACTACCGAAGCCATCAGAACCACTACTCCCAGGAGCGCGGACCTTGTTGAAGATTTTGTGAAGCCAAAGCCGACTAATTTCCGATACTCCTCAGATACAAGACCTGAACCGTATTGGCTGTGAAAATTGAAATAAAAACATTTAAAATAAACAGTAAAAACAATAAATAAAACAATTAAACCAGACCGCGTTTTATTTGATGAACCTCTGGCCACACCGATACCTGTAGAGTGGGTGGCAACGCTGTCGGTAATCAAAAACACATTTTATTTTAATTATTTATTTCCTGACGAGGCTCGATTTTTAGAAATATGAGTTTGGCCAGCATAAAGAAAAAGGAAGCGAAGGGCAAGAGGAAGGTACTGCCCAAGCTACGAAATATATTGGCCAATCCATACAAGCAGCACAGGTAGCAGCTCTTAAAATCTTGAGACAATCGCCAGTTGACCATTTTCAATTTGCAGCCCAGTTCTCTCCGATGATGAAGTGGTGCAGTTTCGTCAGATTTTGCTGGAGGCCATAAAACATAGCGAGCACTCAGTTAAGACCTTTGCCACACGTCATCAGATACATCTCGGCCTCGAGAGCTCCTTGCGAGCCATTAATTCGAGACGCTTCTCATGTGTCTTTGTCTCGCTGACTCTGAGGCCATCCCATATCATCCGGCTAATAGCCACCAGTGCCGCCGTTAAAATGCCAACTGCTCCTATCTACGCGCAGCCAAAGTTGGAGGAGCTAACCTTTGAAATTTTCGGGGTACGAGCACTTTCTTTGGTCTTGCCTACGGACTTGGCTGCTGTGAGCCTGGACCTGGAACAGTGGGTGAAGAACCGCCAGAAACCAGCTCCACAAAAGATTCCTCCCACGGTTAAGTCGTTGAAGAAGCGCCAGGCGAAAGTGAAAGGTCTTCAGCCGGAGGAAACAGCCCAGAAGGTCTTGGAGCAGCCGAAGGTGGTTGCGGAAAAGCAATGGAACGATGACTATATATCGTGGTCCAGTGAAAAGTCATGCGTAAGGATTGACCAAATCGATACTCAGGTGGAGACCCATCAATTGGGCGCTGCTCTCAGTAATTTGGCCATGAGAGCCAAAACCAAAGCCCACCTAGAAGTGGAATCCAAATCAACGATACCCGACGACTCAGAGGAAAATGTGGAGCACATGGAAGTAGAGGCAGCGGAAGGAACCATCGATGAGGATGAATTTTTGCCCACAAACACCCAACGATATCGTCCAGTCAGTGTCCACCGAACTCGTCCGAATCCTGACAAGAAACCCAAAAAGAAGCGAAACAAAAAACAAAAACAACAGCCGCCAAGCAAAACCGAAGGATAGCTGGCAACGCCGGCACCAATCAGCTGTAGTTTTTAGGTTATTTCTAGGTTTTTGTTATCGTAATTTTTAAGACCTCCCCGCTCCAAAAATGCTCCGCAGCTTACGGCAAATATCACGACTCGGAAAATACGCGACTGCACCGGCCAGTAGCTTGGCCAACAAAACGGCAGCCCTACCGAATGTAATCTCACCCAGAATTCAGGCACCACTTCATACCAGCAGCGTCAGTCGAAAATATGATAGAAAATCATCAAGAACAGCAGACGATTTGGACACGGATGATGAAGCGGACGAGGAGTTTAAGGACGAGCGCGACTCCAAGGTGGTCAAGACCAAGGTGAACTCGCTGCGCGCCGATCTTCTGCTCAAGGCCGGTCTAGGGATGGCCAGAAAGTGAGTGTCGTGTCCAACGCCCAATAATGCAAAACTATTGTTCAATGATCCTATTCCCTTCCCACAGCAAAGTTGAACTGAATTTCTATGAGAGCAAGATTCGAGTCAATGGAAAGAAGCTGCAGAAGAAAAGCGTACAGGTAAGGACTCGTGTGGCTAGAGAATTTTCCCTAATGAATTCCCTTCATTTTAGCTGGATATTGGCGATGAGATCGATGTGATACGCGGCTTTAGTCAGTCGAATCCTTCACATTTGGTAATATCACGTGTCGCCATACTCTCTGCCAGCGAACGCGAGGAGGGTCTCAGTGTGCACTTGCGACGCTACAAGTCGCTGCTAATTGAGAACTACCGCGGAGCGGATGCGTTCAAATCCTCAGAACCAGTCGCCCATTAAATCTGGAAACACACACAAATACATGTAGAAGGCTTCTGGGAAAAAAAAGTATGCGACAAGCGTTTATTGAACTAATTATTCGTTAATAAGTATGTGTGCTTATCAGCGGTCTACTGAATCGATTCGCAATCAGCTGCGCTACCAAACACGACATCTTTCTGCGTGAGGATTCATGGGACTACCAATGGGACAGTTGTAGACCTTGGCAAAGTCCTCGTTGTTGGTGACGGCACCAAGAACCCGAAACTTGTCGATTGTATGCTCGTTGGACAGCTCCTCCCAGTAGTGCTCTTCCTCGTATGCATTGCACCACAGCTGCGCAAAGCCCAGAAAAAACAACTGCTCTGGGGATAGATCGAGGCCAGGCATCTGCTCTTCATTCTTATCCAGATGCGTCTCGTTGTCCTGCTGCTGCAGGTGCTGGTGCTGCTGCTTCATGTAGCTGCGATACGCAGCAAGGGCCTCGTGCAGACCACCACTATCAGCAATGTTCTCGTCTTTGGTCTGGTTGCCATTGATCTTGCGATTGATCTCTGGTATCAGGTAATTGCTGTAATGTTCCGCATAGCATTCGGCCCGCTCGTTGAACACCGCATTGGACTTTTTCGACCACCAGTTGCGCTGAGCGCCGCTGCCATCGTACATGGAGCCGACTGTGTCGAAGCCATGCGTGAGCTCATGCCCCACCAGATAACCAATTGTGCCATACTTTAGGGAGTTCGGCCACAACTGATGAAAGGCTGGCGGATGAAGTATGCCCGCCATCACGTAAATGGTATTGTCTAGGTTATAGTAAAACGCATTGACCTGCATGCTCCACAGTAGCTCGAGGGGCTTCGTGTCATTCGATAGCTCACTAAAATGGTGGCCATTGAACCGTCTTAAGTACGTGATAAAGCGTTTCAGGTTAATGTTCGTCTGAGCAAAGCTTTCCTCGACAATAGTCAGGTTATTGACCGCTCGGACGAGCCGTTCGGTGAGCTCGTCGTCCCTAAAGCTACCAATGCGCGGCTCGATGCTGATCTCCTTCAGCAGTGCTTCTGTTCGGGTTTCCTTGTCCAGCCACTCGGAATTTTCTAGCATCAATCGGAAGCTCTTGCGCAGCTCCTTTATAATGCCCGAGATTTCTGCACTTGTCTCCTCGGAGAAGTATTCCTGCAGACCAAATTGAAAGATATCGTTTAATGGACGTTATGTACCCTGACCGATTCAACACCTACCACGCGATAAAGCCTATCAAAAAGATATGGCAGTGAGTACTGCACTACCTGCAGGCAGTGCTCCTTCTGGTACTTGGCCGACTTCAGTTTAGCATCCATGCGGTACAGCAGGAGCATTGCCAAATAGTTGGCAACGGCCGGCTTGTGCTTGGCGCAAACCTTATCCAGTTCCACATAGTAGAAGTCGCAGAATGTTTCGATATTCTCCTTGGGAAAGTTGGTGCTGTTCCAGGCAATCGCATAGTAGCTGCTCCATTCAGAAAACGAGGGAATATCGTTCAATTCCGCATGGTCTTCGCATTCTTTGAGATCATCACCGAAACGATCGATAACCACGAGGGCATCATGCCAGAAGGCAAACACTTCCGCAATCACCTGCGAAACCTTTTCCTCCGACAGGCCGTAGGCCTCGAGGTAGCCACGCATTCGCTTCTCATTCAACTTGTAGCCTCTCGTATCGTTGCTGGCGATGTTGTCGCTGTGGACGATATAGTCGAAGCCCAGTTCCGGCACCTTGAAGTATGGCACAAATGGATACTGGGGCAGGATCTTCTCATGGATTAGTCCATTGATGCCGAAGTTCGTCAAGTGGGCGCTCATGTTGAACCAGCTGAAATTGGCGGCATGCCACGCCTCACCGTCGACGGCTGGGAAACCACCTATCGACCTGATAAGCGCCAGATAAGCGGGGTCGGCCGCTGGCAGCGGGTACAGATCCGCACCGAGGCAGGCATTATAGAATCGTTGTGCAATCAGCAACTCGGCGGTGTAATTTAGATCCATAGCCAGCGAGTTCTTGGTGAGCAGCAGCTCGACCACATCGCCCAATGTGTACCCGATATCCAGGAGGTTGCTCCGCTTATGGGATGACTGCCTGTCCTGCTTCACGTGCTGCCAATTGCCACAGGCGTACTCATAGAAGTCGTCGCACGGCGCCACGCTGACATTCATGTACGACTTCATGCGGTCGGAATAGGTTCTCAGAAATTCCGCTGACGAATCTTTGACTGTATTTTCTATGGATTCGGGCTTTTCCTGTGAATCTGCGACGGTCCGCGCCTCACATGGCTGAACTCTGAACTCTGATATTACTGATATGTAAATTAGGACTACTCCCCACAACGTCGCCGTCATAGTACGACTCGAACTCGAAAACATTTTGCGCCTATTCATAAATTAATCAGAATCAGAACAACGCACACTACACGCAGTATATAGTTTCGCTAATCGTCATTGATCGATTTGAATTAATAAAATAACCAAGCACGCGCAACCTATGGCTCGGACGTCTCTGCGACTGTTTAATTCAGAACGCGATTAAGAACTGGACAGCATCCGAGTCCGTATTACTTATTCCTCTCTCGGCAGGCCAGCCAGCGTCCGATAATCGTGTCTTATTGGCACACAGATCAGTAAACAAACGCTTCTCTACAATACTTGACCTATGTTAAACGCGATTGATAATCAGGAACCCACTAAAAAGATCCCCTAGCGTTCGTTCATTGATTAAGTCGACATTCGTTTGATTTCAAATTCACGCGCAAAACAATTTGAAAATTGTCTTGCATCTGGCAACGCTTACATATCGTTATCGGCCAAAAGAAGAAGAAATGCAGCTCTGAAATCGCAAATTCATTATTTTGCCGCGAACGCAGAGAAGATACGCTTATTGTTTACTAAAAACACCAATACGTTGGATAAAATGTCCTTTAATGCCGCCGGTGATTATCAGCTTGTGATGCAAACCTATAAGGTAGGTGGAGAAGCACCCAGCTGCGGTACTTAACTAGTTTATTATTAATTTCTAGTACAAAAAGCACAACATCATCTGCAGCACGAAAGTGCTGCCGAGCCAGATAAACCACTTTGGCAAGAAATTATGTGACTATCACTGGATGACGCCTGCCCGCTGGACCAATGTTGAGAGCGGCTTGTGGGACCTGCTGGAGAAGGAGCAGGACGTTCAAAATGTGCATGCCGACCTCCTCATTGACCACATCAAAGTGCGAGTGGATTCCACCGAATACCGGCACTCAGCTTCCCAGCTACTCTTACCAGGGGTTATACTCTCGAAAAGTGACCTGTCTCTTAGTGTAAAGCTCGAATATATACCGCAAGAAGATACTAAAAATATGAGAAAGGCTATCGACAGTTCCATCAAACGCGAAGTCGTTGCATCAAAAGCCAGGTGTGTGAATGACATACAAAACTCCAATCCACGTGTGATGGGCACTCATTTACCTTTCTTGCAGCGACCTTGAAGCGAAAGCTAAGAAAGTGCACAAAGATAATAAGTCCAGCCACGGTCACGGTTCTCGCGAAAATAAAACAACCAAACGGATGCACAAGATACTTTCAGTGTAAGACCCAAGCTTTCCTCATGAAATTCCCTTTGAAGCAAATTACATTTTTTACAGTGATAAACAGAAAGAACCCGCTCCGGAGACGCTCAAGGCGCGGAGCCCTCGGAGATCCATTTCACAAGATTCTGAGAAAGATAAACCCTCTAAGCCAGTTAAAAGAACGCAAAGTTCTCTTTCAATGTAGTCCCCAATCTTATTTCCTGAAATACGCCACGAATTCAATTCACTTTTTTGCAGAGACCAACAGATAGAACCTGCTTCGGAGACGGAAAAGGACAAGTCCATTACTCCGGTTGAAAATTTGCCTGCAAAGAAGCTGAGCTCTCGGAGATCCATATCACAAGAATCTGAGAGATCTAAAACCTCTAACAGAGGTGGCTCTTCGCTTGAAAAGAAGCCAATTAAACGAACGCAAAGTTCCCTTTCAATGTAAGCCGACTGCAAAGCTGAAATGCACTAAGAAGTTAATTAAATTTCTTGCAGTGACCAAGAGGTAGAACGCGGTCAGGAGAAGCGCAAGGGTCGAAGATCCGTTTCACAACATTCTGGGAAAGAAAAAGCCTCTAACAGCGGTCGCTCTTCACGTGAAAAGAAGCCCAGCAAACGGACGCATATAGAATCGCAGTAAGCATCAATGTGAGAATCAATTTATGCCATGCCTAATATTAACGCAGGAATTCCAGCCCCAGCTCTGTGGGGCCGAGTCCCCCAGGACGCCCCCGCCGCTCACTAACGCGTCCAAGTCATTTGGATGACTTCATCGTAGGGTATGGAATAGAAAGCCTGCTGGCTTAGAAAGCTGTATTAATTGTTCATTTTCAGAAGGAAGACAAAGACTGAAAAAATCGTCTCGCCAGAGAAAGTGATTTCCAATGGGAAGGGGAAAGATTCGTCGCCATCAAAACCCGATCCCATGGAGGCGGTCGCTGCGCTAGGACTTGGTCCATGTCCGCGCAAGGTGGATATTCTGTAAGTTTTGCAATCCAATGCATTCACCTACAGCTAAGATTGTGTTATCCGCCAGATTAATGGATAAAATGGAGAAAGAAGAGGTTTTGAATACATTCTCCAAGTACCAAAGCGACCTGAATCAATTTTTTACGGAACATCGGCAAAAGAGAACAGATAAATTTATGGGCATTCAGCATGTACACGTCATAGATATAATGCGCAGAGACGTTGAAGTCAGCATGCTCGAGAAACTGGGCACAGTGTTTGGCAACCGTTCAGTAAGTGGAAGTGGTAGTGGAACACTCTGTGATTTGCTCTGCACTGATAACTCCTCGTTTGACAGGCATATGCATCGCTACAGATCAATGCTCTCCTGCCATTGTGGATTGTGCGTCTCTTTATGGACACATTCAATTTTGCTACCGCTGAGGAGGCAGTGCAACAGATCAAGGACCAATTGGAATACAGCACATACCAGAAAGCCGTAAATGAAGAGCCTCTGGAATCGGATTTGGAGTACTGATTAAAACACACTCTTTGTTTGTATTCTTTATTGTGTTGGAATCCTGTTTTGTTTCTTATTTCGCATGCATGCATTCTTATTCGGTTTCATCAAAATTAAACTTTTACTTCATCCGGCCGAATGTTTCAAGTATGCTTTTATCTAATGGAGAGCTGTCTGGACTGCTTAGTGGAGATGCCCACATGATCATTACGAAATTGAGTGACTTATTAACTAAAGACATGTCTAGGGATAATATTGATGAAACGGCGGCTGCTTCCCGCGGCACCGCCCGCCCAGAAGGTGTTGTAAATAAACTCAGTCTGACTTCCACACTCCTATGTACAAATGATGTGGCATCTGCTCTACGCCTGCAGCGGGGGCTTACAGCTCGTCATGTGGCTGATCCTCCTCGTCGTCATCGGCATTGATGTTCTCGTTGTTCTCTTGGCTTCCGAAATCATCCTCGGCAGTGTCGTCATCCTCATCCAATTCGATTTGTTCATCCAGCGAGACACCCAGTGTGTGGCGCATCATTTTCTCAATGCTGTCGGCGAAGTCGGCCGTCTCCTGGAGCATGTACCCAGAGCGTAGAGTGGCAGTGCGGAACATCATAACGGCCATAGCCCTGGCAGAGTCATCGGCCTCGTCAGCCTCAACGCGACGCAACAGCTCGCGCATCAGGGGGTGCCTGGGATTGATCTCAAGAGTTTTCTTCTGGCTGAGGTAGTAGCTGCGTGAAGGATCGTCAGACTTCTGGTGGGCATTGGACATCGCCAGTCGCTCCATGTTGCCGGTCCAGCCGAAAACGCCAGCCACCAAGGCACATGGCGAGTTGCTCAGACGCTCCGACACCTGAGCCTTGGAGATCTGGTCCTTGAGGGCGACATCGTTCAGCCACTTGACGAGCGGCTCGAAGGCGCTCTTCAGCGACTCGAAGTTCTTCTTGCTCTTCTCGGACTCGTTGAGCTTGAATCCCTCCTTGGCCACGTTCTGGAACTTCTTGCCATCGAACTCGGGCAGGGCCGAGATGCAGTATTCATCAACAGCCTCGACTAGGAACAGCACCTCGTAGCCCTTGCTCAGCAGACGCTCAACGAACGGCGACTTCTCGACCTCACCGCGGTTGGCACCGGCAATGTAGTAGATGTGCTCCTGCTTCGACTTCATGCGTTCCACATATTCGGCCAGGGAGGTAACGCCCTTGCCGTTGGAGGTTTGGAAGCGCAGCAGCTTGGCCAGCCGAGATCGGTTGCTGGGATCCTCCATGACACCCAATTTAATGCTAAGAAAACGGATAATGCAAGTAGTGAGCAAAGATTTCATCAAAGATGGATGCGCAACACTTACTTGGTGGAGAACTCCTTCCAGAACTGTTCGTAGGACTCCTTGTCGAGCTTCTTGAGCATGTCAAGTACCTTGCGCACCAGCTTCTTCTTGATAACCTTGATCAGCTTGTGCTGTTGGAGCGTTTCACGCGACACATTCAGGGGCAGATCGTCGGAGTCGACCACACCGCGGATGAAGCTCAAGAAGTTGGGCATCATGTCGTTGAACTCGTCGGTGATGAAGACACGACGAACGTAGAGCTTGATGTTGTCGGACTTGGTGCCGTACCGGTTGAAGGACTCGGATGGCTGTACCTTGGGCACGTACAGCAAACTCTTGAAGGTAACTTCACCCTCGGCAATGAAATGGGTCTGGGTGAGAGGTTCGCTCGAGTCCTTGGTCAGACTCTTGTAGAAGTTGTTGTACTCCTCGGTTGTCACATCGGCCGGCTTGCGAGTCCAGATGGGTTTGCTGTCGTTGATCAGGAGCCAGTCCCAGATGGTCTTGGACACCTTCTTTGTCTTGGGCTTGTCGTCATCAGCGGCCTCCTCAACCTTGGCCTCTTCATCGGCATCTTCCACGTCATCTTCGGTCTTTGCTGGCTCGGCCACGGCCTCTTCCTCCACCGGCACCTCTTCGTCGACAGTTTTGCTGGACCACATCAGAATGGGGAAGTTGATGAACTGCGAGTATTTGCGGATCAGCTCGCGCACGGTTTCCTCCTCCAGGAAGTCCTGGGCCTCTTCCTTCAGGTACAGCGAAATGATCGAACCCCGCTTCAGTGTGTCGCCACGGGGATCTTCGGTGATGGTGAAGCTGTTGGCATCCGACTCCCAGATGTACTGCTTATCGTCGTTGTGCTTCGTGGTGACCACCACACGGTCGGCGACCAAGAAGGCCGAATAGAAGCCCACACCGAACTGGCCAATCATGTCGTTCAGGTCCCCACCCTCAGACTTGCTGGGATCCTGCATTTTGGCAAGGAAATCAGCAGTGCCGGACTTGGCAATTGTGCCCAGGTTATTAATCAGATCCTGGTGTGTCATGCCAATGCCCGAGTCCATGATGTGCAGCGCCTTGTTCTCCTTGTCGGCCTTGATGCGGATGTGCAGTTCGGGGTTGCTCTCCAGCTCCTTTCGGTCGGTGAGGGCCAGCAGACGAATCTTGTCAATGGCATCGGAGGCGTTCGAGATCAATTCACGCAGGAAGATCTCCTTGTTGCGGTACAGCGAATTGATGATCAGTTTCATCATGCGGTTCACTTCTGTCTGGAAAGTGAACTTCTCCGCCTGCCCACAAAAGAAATACGCAAAAAAAAAATTAATAAATATTCATACAAGCAGCACATATGTACCATATACCTTTTCGCGCAATTCTTTTAGCTGCGCAACATTCAGTCCATCCAGCTGGATGGCTTCCTCCTCCCGCTTCAGGGTCTCAGCATCTGTGGTGGTAAGGCATATGCATATTATAGATAAGGGGCGTCAACACCATGGCGTCAAGGGTAAGTACGGCTAACGCTGACGTGTACCAAAAACTCCAAGTACTACCCTTGCAGGGGGGGGGGGGCGTAACTTACCAGTTCTGGAACCTTCCTTGAATGCACCCAAATCCAGGTCGATTTTCTCGGCACTAGGCTCATCTTCAGCCGCAATTTGACTTATGCCTGCAGTAATGATTGAATAGTAAATACACAAAAGAAATTAGGTTAAAGCACCGGCATTGGCCTTTGGCGCTGAAGCGTGGCAAGAATAAACGAACCTGATACGAGCAAAAGCCCCACCAACAGATAGTATTTCATTCTAAGTACAATTTGATTTACTAGGAACGATAAAAGTCTGGCGAAAGGCCACGTCACAACAGTTCCAGGCTGGCTCCGGTTTTTGATTTAAGTGAAAATTTCGAGTCGACTTTTATATGTAGCGTCTTGTATGATGAAAAACCGAACTTAGCCCACTAAGGCCCCCTTTATTGAAACAGTTCAATTGCTTGAGGTAACTGGCGGAAAATGTTAACGATTCTAAATTCTTCTTGTAGATTCATGACATATTTCGTATGAACTTAAAAAAACTGCGCTAAAATGATTTAATTTTCATTATTTTCGGTGGAATATACCCCCTTGGCTTGTAATGGGTTAATTGTTCTCCGTCAAGGATTGGAAACCATATTGCTCAATTTTGATGTTCCGTTGAATAATTCTGGCTAACTGAAGCCCTTAGTTCTACCCACATAGTTTGAGGCCATTGATGAATAAACTTTATAAAAGATTTGCTAGTTTTTAGTCCTTGTTTTTATTGATTGTTCAGCAAAAAAACCGTCGGTAACAGTCGTTGCTGGTATTTGAAGATATGTTGCGTGAAAGCCGTAGTATATAGTATATATAGTATATATATTATTTGTATACCCTATTTCGTTAATTTAATATGAAGATTATATGTAATTAAAGACCTTTTCTGCAGTAGAAGTTATCGATTACTGAGTTATCGAAATGGCCGTGCAAGCTGTTTTTGACATTCCTTTTTGGCCTCACCTTCTTCGCATGCACACCAACACCAACACTTTCGCGAATGCGTTATTTTTTAATGATTCTTGCAATCATTCAACGTTTGCGTGAGTTGTCAAGCATACACAATATCAGAGGATATCTAAATTTAAATATTGTATCTCCAGTACCCAGTTGATTGCATGCGCCACGGCAGCAGCAACCGCGAAACCCCTCAACGACGATCGCACACAGCGCAATAGGCCCCGCACACTCGAAACTTGGGGCGAGCGAAGAAACCCAATCGGCAGACACCGCAGAGCAACATTTCGTCGATGCTAGTCGTGTCGAGTTGTGCGTGGAGGTGGAGCAACAGCAGCAGCAGCCGCAGTGTCAATTAATAGTTTTGCGTATTCCCATTCATACATCATACATCATACATCACCACACCACCCACTCCCCTCGCACTTGCGGAGTCCGTGTTATACAACAAAATTGACCAGTGCCTCTCGACTACGCCGGCAAATACCAATCGTTAATGTTGTCCTTAGGGCCAGAGGTTCAACAAGACCAAAAATCGGAATCTAATCAATCCCCGCCCTCTTGTGCGTGCGTTCGAAATAATTAACTGTGCGTGGTGTAATCGTAATCCCTTATCAGCTGCTCGGTGCGAAAGTTTGGCCGCAAGACAAACGGGCAGAGAAAGCATACAGCCAAAGCAAAAGAAACGCCAATAACAAGCGGTGTGTGAGTCTCCTCGGTTTCGCTTGCACTTGCCACTGGACAGAACAGAACTGGTTGGAGATTGCGGATTGGAGCATCAAAGCGTTCGTAACAGAAGAACCCATTGCAAGGGCAGCCACAGACACAGCCACAGCCATGAATATCGACGACTATGAGAGTTTGCCGACGACCAGTGTCGGCATAAATATGACGGCGGGCGCCATCGCTGGCGTTCTGGAGCATGTGGTCATGTATCCGCTGGACTCTGTTAAGGTGAGAGACTTTTCCGCGGAAGAGGAGCAGGGTATCCACTGCCTGAAATCGGGGCATGCCACCACATAACCTCACAAATGCGTGTACACAATCGAAATATTTGTATATGTCCGTCTGTGCCAATGCTCGGGCATAATCGTGATGTAATTCCTTGGCTCTCGAAGACTATTGCGGGTGGTATTTGCCCTGTAGCTGTGGCGCTCATAACTCAGCTGGTTTGTGCGTTTATCAGAGCACGTTCTGTGGGTTTACGCTTTGGCCGATAAGATTAGCCCCCCACCACTCCATGCCCGAGATTTGCTATGTGCTCTGTCCTGATAGCTTGATCGGCATTATCGTATGAGCTCCCCGTCCGTGCCCTATGCAATTCCGATGTCAAGACATTTGCATATAATGTACATATGCTATAGAAAATGCACATATGTACATCATCCGCAAGGCATGGCAAGGCCTGCCTCTGCCCCGCCGATAATTAGATTCCATTGCAGGCTACTATATACAACAATTTTTCACGCAATTCGGTTCGAGCAGAGATATTGATTTTCTGTACTGGCCATATGTGTCCGTCAATCGGACTCCCCGAAGCTCCTAAGAATTCTGCTGTCGTGACAGGCAATACTGGTGCCAAAAGTAAAGCCCAAGTAAAGTCGGGATTCCCGGCGTTGTGCCTGACGAACTGATTTCATTGAGTTACGAAATCAAGAGCAGCAGCAACAGCACCACCAGCAGAGCTCTACGTTTAATTGAACAACAATTGAAGCACTTTTATTCACATTATTATTATTAGTTTTCGCATTGTTGCCGTCTCGCTGGTTGCTGTTTATAAATAATCTATCTGTAATGGTTTTTGCTTATCGGAGGCGCATGATGCATTGAGAATGCCGGTCTACGCTCTCGGAATCGATGCTTTTTTTTATCAGCAGGCCCCCCTCCCCTTTTATGTAATCTCTGCCCCCGTGTTCAGTGCTCGTTCGGTGGCATTTTAATTATGATTTTACACAGTATTCCGATTGCCCCGCCCACACTCGAGAGACAAGAGCCACTCATTGGATGGGTTTTTCTTCACCTTGAGTGGCCGTCGTGTTATCACCCCTCAGACAGATGATACTAGTGGGGCCGCGTCCCCACTAAAACATGTAAACAATACAATGCAATGGAGTTATGTATTTGTTTTCCAGGAAATCTTATCTGATTCGCTCAAACCTCACGTCCCTGTAATTTACGTTATGTGGGATTCTGTGCTCTCCACTCCACACTCCCAGCCATCTATTATATATGTGGTTCTAGCCTGATTTGATTTGCTGGCACACCTCTAGCATTATATAGTACGTATGTACGTATTCCACGATTTAAATATGGGGGGATCGACTGCTAAATGTTTGTGGCCTAGCTAATTCGTTTTCGTAGACAAAGCTCCCTATTAAAGCGTTATAGTGGCACAATTAAAAGTGTTTTCTCGGTTCTGAATCACGATGAAATGCATATTTTATGTATGCGAACGAGTATCGTTCATCACCGCCTTTCAGTTGGGCAGTCTCCGGGGTATTACATGAGTAATAATGACATTGCACAACAAGCTATAAAAAAGAAATTCTATTTGCTGAACCCTAGATTCTATACGTGTATAAACGTGATAGCTATTCCACGGGCTAATCGTTAATTATTCCTAAAAACGAGTTTATCAATAAATAACTTAATAAATAGGTAAACACGGGATCCCCATTTTTAAGGCACACTACAGTATTTCTTGTTTATTTACAGACGCGAATGCAGAGCCTGACATCAGCATCCAACATGAATATAATGTCAACCTTTCAGAATATGATCACACGTGAGGGTCTCTTGAGGTAAGCAGCACCAACGACTCACCTACCCCCTTTGGAGGAAAAGTTTTTAAATGATTCGTTTGCAGACCCATTCGTGGGGCCAGTGCTGTTGTTGTGGGTGCAGGACCAGCGCATTCGCTCTACTTTGGTGCCTACGAGATGACCAAGGAAATGCTGACTAAATTCACATCACTAAACCACCTTAACTACGGTTAGGACTGCTCTATATAAACGATCGATGGATCCTCAATGAACTATGATCGCTAATGCTCTGCCGTTACAGTTATCTCCGGGGCAGTGGCCACTCTCATACACGACGCCATCTCCAATCCCACGGAGGTGATCAAGCAGCGAATGCAAATGTACAATTCACCCTATTCATCGGTCATCACGTGCATGCGGGATGTGTATCGGAAGGAGGGCTTCAAGGCCTTCTATCGATCCTACAGCACCCAATTGGTCATGAATATACCATATCAGACGATACATTTTACCACATATGAGTTTATCCAGAATAAAGTGAGTACCTCTTAAGGATGCTGGATATACATATCTCGGAGAAGAATCCGTTTTAACCCGGCCACACCGTATTTATGTTGCAGCTCAATTTGGATCGCAGATACAATCCCCCAGTTCATATGGTGGCGGGTGGAGCGGCGGGTGCATGTGCAGCGGCCATAACGACACCCCTGGATGTGGTGAAAACGCTGCTAAACACACAGGAAACGGGTCTAACAAAAGGCATGATCGAGGCCTGTCGCAAGGTATTTCATATACGTCTGAGCCGAAGGGACTTTCTGACTTTGTTTGACTTTCAGATCTACCATATGGCTGGGCCAATGGGTTTCTTCAAGGGAATGACTGCTCGCGTCTTGTATTCGATGCCAGCGACGGCCATCTGCTGGTCCACATACGAGTTCTTCAAGTTCTATTTGTGTGGCCTCGACCGTGATCAATATAAATCGTCAATTACGGGCCGCTCCGAATTACAAGAGCCCCGCAAAACGGCCTATGTATTGCCGAAGAGCACAACCGATGAGGATCCGTCTTTGGCGACCGAATCTTTGGCCGTGGATACGGCTGCCGGCACGTTGAAGGATCCCGCTGTCCTGCATCCGACGCCGCCCACAGTCAATGCAGCCGGTGCCATCAAAACGGTCTGTGAACTGTCCACACGCACCGCTGCGCCCACCATAAATCTGCACACGAGGCACACGGAAGTGAAGAGCCCCTATGAGCGGGGCTTCTCCAGCACGTAGACTGTGCGCGAGGACGTGGCCGCAAGCGAGGCGGCCAGCGTTCGACACGTTTGCAGCGGCGACAGCTAAACACACATAAGCATAGCTATTAGTTGGCGGCGGGGAAAGGTGGCTGGAGGCGGCAGAGGTGCAGGACTCAGTCTGTTTTGTGGAGTTTGGCGTGGACACGGCGTTTGAAACGTCTGCCGCCCCCATTCCCTTCGGCCCTAGCCTCTGTATTGCCTCTGGCCTCGTTTTTTCCCCAGCTGTTTGTATGAATACTCTGCGAGGAGTCGGTGAGAGAGTGTTATCACTCCCATAGTCGGAGGTTAAATCGTAGTTGTTGTTCTGCACAAAAACTCTCGCTCTCACACTCCCCCCACAAAAACAAAAACACGCAAACACCCCCATCCCCACACCCTACAAAACACACACACACCCAAACAAAAACAAAGTTCATTTTTAGGCAAAAAGCAAAATATTCTTGTTAAAAAAACAAAGGTAAAAATTAATGATTACGATTATGATGATAATAACTTGTATCTATGTTGCTCGGAATTGAGTGGAACCCTTGTGTAAAGTACTATTATATTACCATTACATTGTGTATTACAATATATATATGATTTACGATATATTTTTTTTAAACAAAAAACAAATTTCAAAGTATATATATACATATTATGCATATACTTGTTGATTTGATCGTTGTAAAGTAAGAGCAAAGCCAGAGCAAAAGAGCAACAAAAGCGCAAAAACGCAGGAAACAGAACAAAATAAACTGTTTCGCAAAAAAAGGCAGAAAATTCAATGATTTGTAATCCAATTACACTTTCATCTTCAAACTGAGATGTTACAAAATATAGTATATACTTATAATAACGAGAGCCTGCAAACAACTATACAGCTCCCTCCTATTCCAGGCCCCCAGGAACCTACCCAACCAACCTTTGGGTACCACAGTACTGTAATGTAGTGGAGTAGAGTAGAGCCCCTGGCCCTCGCCCTGGCACTTGACTGACTGATTGACTTTACTGAAAGCCCCCAAACCGTATTCGCATACATAATATATATATCTGGTTCTAGCTTCTAGAATATCCAAAAAATAGCCTCAGTCAAGTGCCAGCGGGTGTCGGGGGAAACAGCAACCCAGTCCCCAAAAAACAAAACACAAAACACACACAATAAATAAAACCATTATATTATTACGTTCATTGTTATTTTTATTGTTTATATATAAATATATATGCATTACTATATATACATATATACAGTGCCGCTCAACCGAATAGGTTCCACAATTTTCAAAAGTAAAGTCGTTAAATCTTTTCAACCAACGTAACGATTACTTACCGAAACAGGAAAGTTTGCAGTCTCCACATGATTGGAAATGGGTGGCGGGATCCCATTGGAACCAATCGGTGCAAGAATGCATCAAAATCAGACGATTCCAAAAGGAAAACATTCATTTTGTATTTTTAGTGCAGCAAAATATGGTACAAATATGAAAGGAAGAGCAGCCAGGCTTGTGATTAGAACTCCCTACCTCTTCCTACAGCAAAATCAGGGAAGAATTCGGTGTTAATGCGAGTTTGGGCAGCCTACAGCCCTTCGTTGACAGGTTATTTTTGTTAAATTTCCAAAAAATTAGCTTAAATATAAAAAGATATTTTAGGTTTTTGAAAAAGTGCATCGGTGACCGCAAACTTTCTTATTTCTTTAACAATCAATAAATCATAAAAATAAAAATTTAGTTTATCAAAATCGGTAAGTTGGTTGAAGAGATATAGCGGTTCGACTTTTGAAAATTGTGGAACCTATTCAGTTTCGAGGCACTGTATATGCATACATATGTATTTCTATAAATTTACTTATTCTTAAACTGTAAAGTGTAGGATTTAAAATTACAATTTTATTGTTACCACAAATTCTAACAAAAACAGAAACAGATTCAAAAACTAATACAATTGAAAAATTGGAAATTTGCCCATTAAAACAGAATGAAAGAAACACAAACACTTGTGGAATTGTTTTTCTGTCAAATGCATTCAACAACAATTGCATTATTACTTTTTATTTTGTTTCCCACAACATTTTGATTTGTTTTTTTAAGCTAGAGGATTGAATCCAAGCCACGTCGGCGCGAGCGCTGCGACAGAACTGGACGGGGCTTGTAGAGATCATCGTTGGTGTATCGCTGCTGCTGGCAGAGCTTCTGGCTGAGTCGCTTGGCGGACACTCCTTCGTCTGTTGGATAAACAAAAGCACGCAAATTAATTGGGTGATATTCTCGGAAGCAATTTGGAGACGGAAGGCAAACGGTTCGGCCACCCCAGAGCAGATCGAAAGACATGCGAGAGAGAAGTGCTTACCCACCACATGAAATATTGTTTATTTTGATAGGTCTTGACTTTAGACGGCCTCGGGGAGCAGTGCTACAACTGCTTGTACACATAATAATTTTTGAGCAATAAAATGTGCATGATCGGCATGTGGAAAGAAAGCAGAGGCAGAGGTAGAGATCACAAAATGTGGATGAGAGAGGATGAGAGGAGGTTTTGCTACTCGAAGGAGCATTAATCTATGATAAGTACGCACCAGACTCCTGCTTCTCTATTGCTTCGTTCTCCTTGGAATTGATGCTGCCGTCGGAGGGCGTGGGTGAGGCCTTCGGTTCGTTGCGACGCAACCTTTTCACGGGACTGCCTGAAGACGAGCTGCTGCTACTCGCGGTTATGTGCTGCGGCGGTGTCGTCTCGCGCATCTTTTCCTGCCTCTCGCCGCCGCCGTCCAACCTACGCTTTGATTTCGTGCGCCTTAAATCACGCACATCCACCAACTGCTTGGGCATCTCATTACTTAAGTCGTTCAACAAAGTATCCCGCTCTTCGATCAGTCGATTGATGAGCTCCAGGCGTGCCTTAAACTCCTCGGTGTTCTGCTCAAAGTGTATGATATCCCCAGCCTCAGTTTCTGTTTCAGTTTCGTTATTTTGCTTGCTAGAATCTGCTGAAATCGGCTGCTTTTCAGCCAAAGAGTCGGGCTGGTTCTCCAAGCTGGTGGCCGTTGCCGCCTCTGATACCTTTTCAGCTATCTGGGAACCCTCCGAGTCTGTGGCCGGCTCCTCCATTTGTTTTAAATCAATTGAAATCTCATCGGCCTCTTTACACACTTCATCGACAGGCGAGTCCTTTGCCAGCTCTATATCCAGCTGCTGTTCCTCTTCTTTGGCAGGCTCTGCTGGCGTCAACTCGGTTTCCATTGGCTCAGGCCGTGTCACATCTTCTGGTTCTTTTTCGACTTGATCCGCGTCCTTCTTTGGCTGAGAGCCAGAAGCGGGGGCACACAATTCAATGAAACTGGTGGTCGATTGCTGTAGAATATCACTGACATTGACTACGCTGCTGCACATGCTCAAAATGACAGCGCTATCGGTAGCACCATTGCTACCGCCATTTGTGTTGCCATTCGAGTTGTTGCCGTACTGGACAGGCGCATCAGTTTTTTCGTTAGCCGCACCAGGATCGGGTAGGGGCGTGGCGCCAGAGCTGAATGGCGGCTTGCCCTCATCGTTAGAGTCCGAGCTGCGGCGCTTCTGTAGCTTTGCCTTGATTTCGCCGTGATCATCCTGCACGACTGGGGGCGCTGCACTCGTGGAGTTTGTGGAAGATGTGGATTTGTTCCGATCACGGTCACGACCACGCTCGTGATCTCTCTTCTTTGATGAGGAGCCGCTGCTGCTACCGCTTTGATGGCTGCGATGGCTCTGGCTCTGGCTCTGGCCGTCTTTGCTTTTTTCTTTGTCCCGGTCTGAGCGGGACGAGGATGAGCTTGACTTGTGTTTCTTGTGTGAGGACGAGGTGTCGTGGCGTGACGAGGATGTGGAAGCTGAACGCTTCGACGACGATGATTCGCGATGAGCCCTACTCGACGAGGTTGAAGAAGAGCTCTTGTCCTTCTGGGAGCTGCTGCTGCTGCTGCTCTTGTGCTTGGAGCTTGAGTGAGAGTGCGAGGATGAGTGCTTCGAGCTGGAGCTAGAGGAATGTTTACTCTGCGATTTATGGCGATTGCGATCAGCATCGCGATCCTTCAGCTCTCGGCTTTTGCGTCGCTGCTTATCATCCGAATTGCTCGAATGGTGACGTCTATCCCTCTCCTTGTCCTTATCTTTTGAGCTGCTCTTCGATTGTGATGATGCGGAAGTCTGCGTCTTTGTGGCGTCATCTTTGGTGGTTTCAACATCATCCGGGGGCGGCAGCTTCGCGGCCACATCTTCTTTCACTTCTTCTACTTCATGCGTGGCAGCGGCAAGTGACAGTGGCGATTCTTGTCTCTCGATTTCCGATCCATTCGACTCAGCCTGTGGGATTTTATCTATCTTGGGAGTGGTATCTTGGGCAACCGCTTCTGAGAATGATCCAATGCTGTTCTCAGGTGCCGGTGGTGGTGTAGGTGTCTCAGGCTCAGGTGCAGCGTTCTCTGGAGGAGATGTTGGCGCCTCAGATGCAGATTGGAGTGTTACAGGCTCAAGTGGAGTTGCTTCAGGTTCAGGTGGAGGGGCCTCCAGTTCAGGTGTTGCGGTCTTCGGTTCAGGTGGAGGCGCCTCAGGCTCAGGTGGAGGAGCCTCGGGTGCCGGAGGTGGCGTCTCTGGTGCCGGCGGTGGCGTTTCAGGAGCTGGCGGTGGTGGTGGTGGTGGCGTCTGAGGTGGTTGGGGCATTGAAAAAGCCTCAATTTTGGGTATAGCTGGCTGCTCCCGAGGTTCCAACGCAGGCACAGACAGAGGTTCGATGGAGATGTTACTGGCATCCTCAATATTGGCTTTCAACTCGGACATAATGGCGTCCTCAATGGATAAAGCTTGGGAGGCACCGTTCGTGTTCTCCGACACGGAATTCCTGCGTTCGGTGCCTACAATGTTTGGAAAATTGATTATACAAATGGAAAACTACATTATTGTATGCCTACCCTCGAATGTAATGGCGTCTTGCTTGATGTCAAAGTGCAAGGGCCGACTGCAGTGGTCCCTGCCACTGGCAGCATCATTGGAATTCTCGTTAAACTTTGGCATCTGCGCCTCCTCTGATATGTTAGCGGCCATGTTTGGGGTTAGTTCGACGCTATTGCTGGTGGGCGTTGGCTGCTGCCCATCCACAACCGACTCTGAGAAAGAGGCAATGGTGAGGCGACTATCACTGGATACCTGCGACAGTTGCGAGGCCTGCGATGCACCATTCACCGAGTCCAAGGTGTTCAAGGAGCCATTGTTCAGATCCTCCTTGTTTGCAGTTGGCTTGTCTTCGCTCAGAGGCTCAAATGATGGCGAAGTGTCGTCATCATAGTTCCTATCATCCACACCCGGCGGCAGGTCATCATCTTTGCTGTCGTCCTTCCCATCGGATTGCACTGTGCCGCGGTCAGAGTCGGGGCTGATTTGTTCCAGATCTGTGGGCAGTAGACTGGCAGAGGTGGTCTCCACATTCAGCAGGCTGCTGCCGTTCATGTGGCCAGCATATGGCGGCAACGGCGGCGCTGGCAGCAGCGTCGGCCTTGGTGGCGGGGCAATGGTAGGTGGAGGCGGCGGTGTGATGCCTAGATACTTGTAAGCAATGCTTTCGATCTTTGGCTCAAATATGGTGGCAACCTTCGGATTAACCACTTGGTCCACGATCTGATCCACTCCCTTTTCCAGGACATCGGAGCTGAAATGTTTACAGCGTTTAATTTAGCTTTTTCAGGCCTGATGGTGTTCCAAAATACTTACTCAAGCAAATGCTTGCGCAGTCTTTCCCGCAATTGGACCTTGTTTGTGTCTGGCGTCCAGCGTTGTTTGGCCAGAAAGTCGTTCACTGCCGTCTCCACCCGATTGCGTACGTTCTGATATGCGGGCTTGGTGTCCACATCGGCTAGACAACAGTTGAAACGAAATTCGTCGAAAACGCCCTGCGATTTCACCTCCTCAATGAGGTTTTTTACAAAATCGTCCATCGTCTATTGACATGCGCTGCGAGTTGTGGTCGAAAGGTGGGCGTACGAGCCTGCGAATCTAAAATCTGCTTTTAGTATTTTTATATTATTTCAGATTTACACTTTGTGATGATACAAATTTTTCTACTGATGCTTGTCGATTAAAATCAAAATGTTTTAAATCGGACTATCAAAATTGAGAAATATGGATTAGCCAACTAGCACCGAAATAATGAAAATTGTATCATTTTAGCGCAGTTCAGGTGAAAGATATCAATGTTTTTCTTTTAAGGGGGCTTTAGAGGGCCAAGTTCGGGCTTTCATCATACGAGACGCTATATTGTTGTTGAGGAGCAAAAACAGCAATCGCCGTAGCAAGAAAACAAGTGAAGTATTCAAAATAAGCCAGTCAAGTAGAAAATAGATTATTTAATTGGATATAATTATGTGGGCAGGGCTGAGAGTTATAGATAGTTGGTAATATTCCACGGAATATCAAAATCGTGGAATATAGATCTTGAATTCATCAGTTTTTAAAATGAGACGGTATATTTTGGTATATTTCTGAGGGTCGGACGGTATATTTGCGATAAGTCCGCGGTCACACTGGGCCATGGTTGCATGCGATAGAAATTTTGGCGCACGCGAAGCGCTGTTTTTCTTTCGATTTTGTGCTGGAATTTGGTTGTTAAGTATAGTAAATTAAACGAATAATGAAGATAAGTGCGGGTGCACACTCGGAAACGGATGGTGTGGGTGCCCAATCCAATTTATCGTTCAATGCTGATGGTACAGCTACCGGGGACGCGGCTGCAGGCAACGCCGAGTCCGTAGCATCCCAGATAACGGAGCATCCAGAAAAGGTAAAGGAGAAGCGGAGAAAACGCAGCAAAATTGTGGCTCATGATGGCGACTCTGTGACAGAGTTCACCGAAAACGACTTGAATGGCTATTTGAGTCCGAAAAACGCGCCATTCGCCATAAAAAAACAGCAGCGTCTCTCAGGGTTGAACAGTAAGTACCCACTATGACACACTTTTACTTTTAATCGTTTTGCTCGTATGCTAATATGCTTTCTTGTGTGTGTTTGTGTGTGTATGCCTTACGTTAACAGGAAAGCGCGATTTAATTAATTTGCAGTCGGCATTGAGCCCCAAATACATTGGCTATGCGAATGCCAACTCCCCGACGCCATTGTCCGACTCGGACGACACTGTGCGCACAACGCGTCGTCGCTTCACTCAAGCAGCAGCCCTCAACAGCAGCAACAACAACAACCACTGCGAGCTGCAGCCCAGGGACAATGACGCGGCAACAGAATCACCAAAGACCTTGGAAGGGACACCGCTCCTAGATCGCAGTGATAGCAAAAACTACATAAGCCCCATCGATAAGCTTCTAATGAAAAATGGCGCCAGCTCGCCAAACAGCACAGGCTTTGAAACAGATCCTGAAGACGTGGCACCTCTAGCCGCCCGCCTGCATCTGAGACGTAAACTGAAGCGGGCTGCAAAAACGAGTCCGCAGGAAGATCGGACAGAGGAAGCAGCGACTACAGAGATGATAGAACAGCTAGAGACGACTATAGAGATGGGAAAGAAGACAGAGGAAGGAGCGACTACAGAGATGGAAAAGCAGACAGAGGAAGCAGCGACTACAGAGATGATTAAAAAAAAAGAACCAACTTTAGTCACGGAAAATCAGACAGAGAAAGCAAATGACAAAATTGAAAAACAAAATGAAGAATCTACTTCTGAGACGGTAGAGCCCCCAGAGAAAGTTCCTTCTGTGAAGGAAGAGCCAATGGATATAACCGATTTACAACCAAAAGAAGTCTCCGATGCTAAAATCGAAGACACCGTCCCCTTCAGCACGGATGTAAACTCCGAGTCGGAGTCTCGGGCTTCTTCCTGCGATGTGGTCAGTAGCAGCAGGATTTCGTTGAGCAACGAAAACGCACAAGACTTGCCTGGCGAGCCTACCGATACGAGTAGAAAAACCATTGAATCCACTGACGAACCGAACGACCCTGACCCTGACCCAGACCCAGACTCTGAATCCGGGTTTGCCTTGCCAGCGGCAACATTAACAGACATGAAATCCCCTGGGGAGCTGAGCCCGACAGCCTTCCGGCAGCCCGAGGACAACGGATACGTGAAGTCGCCATCTTCGGTGAGCCTGGACAGCGCCAAGGGTTTGTCTATAGTCACGGATCCGGGCTGGGGCACCTATCAGGTGGGTGATCTGTATTGGGGCAAGGTATTTTCGTACTGCTTCTGGCCGTGTATGGTGTGCCCGGATCCGTATGGTCAGATTGTGGGCAACCTTCCGGCCCATCCGCAGCGCACATCGACGGACAACGCCCCCTTGCCCATCCAGGTGCATGTGCGCTTCTTTGCCGACAGCGGGCGGCGCAACTGGATTAAGCCCGAGAATCTCCTCAGCTTTGCCGGCCTCAAGGCATACGAGGAGCAGCGCGAGGAGGTGCGCATCAAGTATGGCAACAGGAGCGGCAAGTACCGAACCATGGTGCCCAAGCGGACGAAACTAGATGTCTGGCGGCAGGCCATCGACGAGGCCCAGCTGGTGGCCCAAGTGCCCTACTCCGAGCGACTTGAGAAATTCTATCAGATTTATGAGAGCGTTGTGTGAGTAGACACGCCAAAGAGAGACCCAGAGACCACAGCTAATCAATGTCCCTTTTCGAATCATTTCAGAACCATTAACAAACAGAAACGGAAGCGCACCAACTCCATGACGACGCAGGACACGTCGGATGTGGGTAGCAGCCTGTACGACTCCACAGACAACTTGCATGCCAAGGCCCATCTGCAGCTGATGAACGTGAAGCGCGAGCGCTCAGTGACGCCCGTAAGTCCCGCCTTCTCGCCCGTCAAGAAGAGTCAGATGCGTACCAAGCGACGAAAGCTGAGCAAAGGAGCTGAGGCGGAGACTGGCGGCGGCACCGTGCCATCGGAAAGTGTGGCAGGCGCGGAGAAGAATATCACTCCCTCCAATTCGGGGGGCACCTATGAGAATCCAGAGTTTCGTCAGCTATTCGATGCGATCCAGGAATATGTGATGGTCTATCGTCACGACGATAAAGTGGAAAAGGTGCTTCGGGCCGTTGTGGGCAATATCTGGTCATTGAAGCAGATCCAGTTGCGCGAACTAGAGCGAGAGTTGGCCTACGGCGAAATGGATCAGGAGCAGCTTGGATCGGCAGTCGTTGAACGGAAACGCGGCACCGGCACCACCCAGCGGCTGTCGAATCGCCTGAAAACGCTGGTGGAGCGACGAAGCCGTACACCAGTGGTTACGCCGAGTGGTACGCCGACACCCACCGCCACCAGCACCATCGGTGGTGCGGAGATGCGTCTTTCGGAAATTTCCAAGCCGAAAAAGCCAGTGAATCGGCCCATCGAGGAGGTGGTCGAAGATATATTCCAGCTGGACAGCAAGTACCTATTCCGCGGCCTCCCCCGCGGCACCGTCTGTAAATATTGCTTCAAAACCGGCTCGAATCTGCTGCAGTGCTCGCGGACCTGCCACAGCTGGATGCATGCCGATTGCCTGGAGAGCAAGAGGAATGGCCTGGCCGCATCCAAAAAGGAAGGATTGAAGCTTAAAGCTTTGGAAGATGTGTCTACATCCTCCTCCACCACGCCGCCCGTTCCCGCAGCGGAGCACATAACAGGCGATGCGCCAGACGCTTTAGCCACTATCGCTACTGCTGCACCGACTGCTCCCACCTTTGAAGTGATCTGCCATGAGTGCAATGTGAACGGAGAAGCAAGCTGTTGCATTTGCCTTCAGGTGTTGCCGCCCGCATACCCCTCGCCGTCCCCCGGCTCGCCGCTGAAAGAAGGCTCAAGCGAAGCAAAGGAAGCCACGCCAGTGGACGGCACGATGATAATGTGTGGCCAAAACCTGTGCGGCCGCCAATACCACGCCGGATGCTGCAAATACTGGCCACAGGCGATCGCCAGCAGCTCACTGACCCGCTGCCCCCTGCACGTTTGCCACACGTGCGTCTCGGACAATCCCCGTAAATTCCTACCGGTGGGCAGCAGCAAGCTTACGCGCTGCGTCAAATGCCCAGCCTCGTACCATCAGGACTCGCGCTGCATACCCGCCGGCAGCCGGATGCTGACCACCACGAACCTAATCTGCCCGCGACACAATGTGGCCAAGACCGATGCCCACTTGAATGTCCTGTGGTGCTTCATCTGCGTCAAGGGCGGGGAGCTGCTGTGCTGCGAGACCTGTCCCATTGCCGTGCACGCGGGCTGTCGCAAGGTACCGATCGAAAAGCACGAGAACTACATCTGCGAGGAGTGCGAGAGTGGACGACTGCCGCTCTATGGGGAGATCGTTTGGGCCAAATTCAACAACTTTCGCTGGTGGCCGGCCATAATCCTGCCGCCCACGGAGATACCGAACAACATTCTCAAGAAGGCCCACGGCGAGAGTGAGTTTGTGGTGCGGTTCTTCGGCACTCACGATCACGGATGGATACCACGACGACGTGTCTACCTGTATATCGAGGGAGATACTGGGGAGAAGCTAAAGCCCAGGTCGCAGCTGCACCGAAAATTCTATAACGGCATTGAGGAGGCCACGCGATTTCTGAAAATCACCAAGGCCAGGCGCCACGAGCAGATGGTGGCGCGCGGTATTAAGGTGAATCCGCCACCATATGTGAAAATCAAGATCAACAAGGCAGTGCCGCCGGTGAAGTTCGTCACGAATTCGGAGGAACACAGCACATGTGATTGCCGGCCCGAGGATGAGCATCCGTGCGGCGCCAACTCCAACTGCCTCAATCGGATGCTGTTCAACGAATGCCATCCGGAGTACTGTCGGTGCGGCGATCGATGCGAAAATCGCATGTTTGAGACCCGCAAATCGCCCCGCATGGATGTGGTCTATATGAATGCCCGCGGATTCGGGCTTGTCTGTCGTGAGCCCATCGCCGAGGGCGATTTCATCATCGAGTATGTGGGGGAGGTGATCAATCAAGAGGAGTTCCAACGGCGCATGCTCCGGAAGCAAAAGGATCGCGACGAGAACTTCTACTTCCTCGGCGTTGAGAAGGAGTTCATCATCGATGCCGGCCCAAAGGGAAATCTGGCCCGCTTCATGAATCACTCATGCGAGCCCAATTGCACCTCACAAAAATGGACTGTCAACTGCACCCATCGTGTGGGACTCTTCGCCATTCAAGACATTCCAGCGGTAGGCATTGCCAGAAGAACGCACTCAAGTACATAATTCAAGCTAATATATTCATTTCATGTGCCAATGCAGGAGACGGAGCTGACGTTCAATTATCTGTGGGATGATCTGCTGAATGACAAAAAGAAAGCCTGCCACTGTGGCTCGGAACGCTGTTCCGGGGAGATAGGCGGCAAGCTTAAAGATAAGGTAAAGTATTGGCCGTCTTTTGTTTCAGGCCAATCCTAGATTCCTAATCGATCTCTATCTCTGTATGCAGTCCAGCAATGTAAAGCTGAAGCAACAGCAACGCAGCAGAGGAGCTGCCATTCGAATCCATGTACCTCCGGCCAAGAAGGCAAAGAAGTCTGTTCCCAAGATCAAGCACGTGAGCGCCGACGATGAGCTCGAAGAGGCTAAAAAGGATCAGTAAAACGGATGGAAGCGAGGATATTTTTTGTAATTTTTTTGTTTGTTTTGATGGCGCCGCTCTTTTATGGCTGGATGGATACCAACCGATGAGGACGATATATACTATTTTTTATTACGCGCATATTTATTCATTTTATGTTACGTTTATCAGATACCCGACAAATGAGTGAGGTCACGCAAGAATTGGTTTTCATTTCAAAATAAAACACGATACCATACGTAATGTTTTTAAGTCTTCTATTTGTCTAGGATATAAAATTATAAAGTTTATTCAATCAGTTCAGTATAGGAGTCGATTCTAGATATTTTGTATTGTATTTACTTTCATTTTGTTTGCTTTGCTATGCTTTGTTTTATGCCTTATGCTTTATGTATGTTAAATGATGTAAATGAATTTGTTCATATATTTCGTTGGTTGTTAAAGCTAGCACTTTGGCATACATACATACTTACGTACGTATACGGGTAACTCTCGTATGACTATAAAACTAGACATATTTTAGTCGGTAAGATCTAGGAGTATGCACTGTAATCTTAAGTGGGGATATACATACACTATACACACACCACACGTCGAGCGAGTCGAGTCGAGTGCCAAAAATAAATCAACACCATATTGTTTGGTTAGGGGTTGATCTGCAAGTAACCAGCATTTAATTTTGGCACAATGGCGTCTATCTTTTTGACAATCGTGTTGAGACTATCCCGCGACATCTCGTAGAGCGTGTTGAGAGAGATGAGGCGCATACCCTGCTGGTTGCACACCTCAATCACAGACCATTTCTCTAAAAGCTTCAGACAGTTGCGCACGGAATCGGTAGATATGCTTTCAGCTGTTCAAAATAGAAACGAAGTCAGACTTTACAGAGATCGGAGGTCGTTTGAAATACCCACCATAGATGCAGCTTCCGCGCTTCACTTTGGCGGACAAATCGTTGATCACAAAGTTTATAAACTCTGACTCAAGCATTGAGTTTCGGTGAAGTATCTGCAGGGCTTGGGCCACCGTCAAGTATGTACAGGCGAACGGTGATAGCACCTCGCAGATGTTGCGCTGCTGCTGAAGTGTTTCGCTACAGAAAAGCAGCTTGGCACCCTCATCATCGTTCTCGTTGTTCTCCACACACAGATAGTCGTCATCATCGTCGACGTCTATATGTTGTGCCAAGTTCCTGGCTCTATAGCTGTCTAGAGAATTGATCTCCTTATCCTAAAGAAGAACGTACAAAAATGTCAATAACTGCTGGACTTCGGTGGATATTTAGCTGTACCTCTTTTGGCAATCGAATGTAATCACGGAACAACAGATCATTCAGATGATTATCTAGCAAGTTCTCCAATACTTGAGTGGGCTTGTTCAGTATGAACTCGTAGCGATATATCTGGCAGTTCTCCAGTGCCGCTTCAATCAGCTTCTTGCGCGATACGGCTGCCGCAGTGTTGGATGACCCCGGGGTCTCGGGTAGCAGCGAATGGAACGTAGTCATCAGAATCGAATTGAGGGCAAAGTGCGGGGCCAGCGCATTCGAGTAGTAGGCCAGCTCGATGACGCTCTCCACCGAGTCGACGGCACGAATGAACATGCGGCCGTTCTCGTTACGTGTGCGGGAAACCAGACCTAAAAAATGACAGCTGTATAAGGGGGAATTTCCGGGCTTGAGCTAATAGATACCTGAGCCTAGCAGCTCACAGGCGTACTCCAAGACATGCGAGGATTCGCCTGCGAACCCAATGTCCTTGCAGCCAGACAACGAATTGCGCAAATCGTCCAACGCTGCGGCCAGCAATTGTTCCTCGGCACCTTGGCGGTAGCGGGTGAGCAGCAGAAAGGCCAGCGCATTGGTGGACATCACAGATGTGGCAGCTGCACAGTCGAAGACTACCTGCCGCGAGATGCTTTCGATGAGATTGCGATGCTCTTCACACACCACATCGGTGCCATAAAGCGAGGACGTCGATTGATTATGCTGCAGAGTTCTACAAGATTCAAGCGGTAAAATAAACTCGAAATTAGATCACAATGAGTGCGTACTTGACTACAGGCTTGTAGATCTTGGCACTGCCATCTTCGTTGGCGATTTGGTTGAACGAATTGACCAGCTCGCGTATCGAGTATGGTTCATTGAAGTCAATGCGCATGCGGCCGTACTTGGAGTTGAGCGCCTTCCAGATGCCTGAAATGGCCTTTGTGAAGGACTCTGGGATTTTCTTCTCTCCCTTCTGCTCGCGCACGAAGTTGCCATCGACAAGGCGTTCATAGTTGACCGAAACGGGGACTAGGAGAGCATCTGGAATGCTGCCGTCCATGAAGGCATTCACAATCACAGAGAGGATGCCGCCCTTCGGCATGCACGGCTTGCCCGTGCGCGTTCGTCCGCCCTCGATAAAAAACTCAACATTGTGGCCCTGCTTCAGGGCATGGGTCAGGTATAGGTGGAGTGCCGCGCGATAGAGCACATCCTTCTTCCCCTCCACCGGATCGATTTTGCGCTTAATGAAAAAGGCCCCAAGACCACGGAGCAGGCCACCAAAGACGGGAATCTGCAGGTTGTTGCCAGCGGCCACCAGGGGGCTGCGTATGTCGTTGTTGGTCAGAATAAAAGTGACCATGATGTAGTCCAAGTGACTGCGATGCAGTGGCACAAATATCAACGGTGTACCGGGCGACCGTTCCGATGCGGTTTTGAGCATTTCAATCTGTTTAGTGTTCGTCACGACGCCAGACAGGAAGCATGGCAACAGCTTGTACAGGATCCAAGAGGTAAAGGCGAGCAGGCCATTGTTTAAAGTGGAGCCCATTTCCTTCAGTATGGTGATGGCACGTTGCTCCTGTTTGCGCAAAATAGCTTGGTACGATATGCCCTTGCTCTCATCCTCCTCCTCCTGATCACCGCTAACGCTGCGCGTGAGCAGTCGATGGCCGTTTTGCGCATAGCGCTGCTCGCGCAGATCCTGTTCGGCAGCCTGCTTAATCGCAAGTTTCAGTGCGGGATCATTGTGAACGATTTCGGTAACCTGCAGCGTGCGTGTTTAGGTCATTAATGGTACAAACTGGGGGCGCAGAGATCTCGCGACGCTTACCTGTCGGTATTCAAACTTTTCGCTGCGAAACACCTGCGCGACATAGGGGAAGATCACACCCCAATCAAAATAGCCCTTGAACGGTTTGTATCCAGCGTGCGGCGTCAGCTCCAGCATGTTCTGGGTGCCAATGCCATGTGCAACAGAGCTTTGCACTTTTGGCTCCTACAACGAGAACGAGATCAGGGAACACTGCGGTGATGCAATTGCTGTGCATATATCTGATGTTCGTGAATTAACTTTTACCTCAAACCAGCCACGAGCCTTAAATCCATCCAATGCCATTATAAATATGAGATTCTTTCTTACGCGCTGCCAGTAATAGAGATTCGAAGTACAAAATATAACATTTCTGGCCCGGCTTTTTTCGTAAGCAACCAATCGACAGGTTATCGATTACGATTGGCAGGTGACACCGGACTAGGTGGCAACGCAGGATAAAATATACAAATTCTCATTATTTGTAATTCATTGAATGGACAGGCTTATCGGCGATGACTGAGCATTTGCGTCACAGTTTCGAGCTGAGGCAGGGTTCAAATGATGGCTTTGATGATAAGAGTCACGTCACACTTACATTCGTTGAGCGCAGCGTGACCAACAGATCGCTGCGTATGGTATTGATCTTCCCCAAAGACGTGCGGTAGCTCAGATTCAAATTGGGAAACAAGTTGGCGATAATGATGGGTGCCCTGCGAAGAACAAAACAATCAGTTATTATCAATTCTTAAGCATGTGTATTGCAGTCGCCTTGGTCTCCACTTAACCACCGATTGCTTCAAATCAGTAGCTCGCAATTAAAAATACAACACCTCTTTCGATTGCAGAGGGGTCTACAGTCCAACTTTGTTTGAGTTCAATACCCTATACTTCTGCACATGTGTATGTACATTGTACATACATATGTATGTGGATTAAAGTTAGTATACATTTTAAAGTAAGTGCTTGTGGTAGCGCTGCTGATAAGTGATAGTTGCCTCATAAAATATGGCACAAAATTGAACTTTGAGCCGCCATTGTTGGATGGAATCATCGAAATAAAAAATCAGCTGATGCTACTTGTTTTCTGATACTAAATAAAATAATAATAAAAATGCCCATGAGCATTCTCATAAACCAGATAAATGTCGCTAAGCTTTGAATTTTACCGCCCACACAGTGCTGCCAGATCACTGCAGATAGCTTTCCCTGTCCCAAGATCCGTTAGATTCTCCACTCCCCACTCCACTCTTAAACAGACGTCACGCCACCGAAAGCTTGTTAAAATCAAAGATATACACAACTGTCCTGGCGATGTTTCGTGTGCACTGCAACAAGTGCTCGAGGAGACGCGACGTTGAGCCGACCATACCGTTCCAACTCACGCGATGCCATCATATTATCTGTGGCCCCTGTCTAACAGTTTGCGCTGCCGAAAAGAAGTGCCCAATGTGCGAGCACCCACTGCAGACGATCGCCATTAGTCGGGACATGCCCATCGGTGTGGCCAACTATTTCCAGGACCCCACTAAATTTCTGCAGCTCTACAGGAAGATAAGCAAGTTCCAAAGCGAGCAAAGATCATCCGACAACCTTCACTTCTGGCGCAGAGAGCAGCAACATGAAGAATTGCAGCTGAAGCTCAATGGCTACACCAAAATGGAGGCTCAGCTGAATCAGCAAACGAAGGTGGAGAAGAAACGCATCGCCGAACTACGCGAGTACATTGCTTTTCATGAACGTCCGGCGGTGGACAGCTTGGAAGCCAGCTTAAGTTCAAGCGAATATATAGCAGCCAGGGGCCGCAGCAACAGTCGCCACGGCCTCCGTCCCCGAACTCCCTCCGAGAACCCTACAACAGACAACACGCTATCGGATGACTTGGTGGAGAGTTTCTGTATGCACTCGGAAGTAGACTTTGGAACAAAGAAATCAAAGCATTCAATATCCACATCGACGCATCGCTCGTCCGTGAGAAACTCAGGCGGCCAGCGTCAGGACTTTCAAATTTAAGTTAATTAAAGTATAGTGTACTCATCGGTCGTTAGGTCCAACTAGTAATAATATTCATCTCATGTTGTGGAAAATTTGTATGGGATAAGCCAAGTGTTTTAGTGCTTTATATAAGTATAGTATATATAATATATTGTGCGGGATCGCTGCGCGCGTACTCGACCTACCGTGACATTCGATTAAAGGTAATATTTATGGTTCTAAGCCAATTTTAGAAGCAGTTTTAGGTACTTCAGAAGGCATACGAGGTACTCTTTGTGACCCTCCAACGAGATGGGTTGATGGGGGGGAATGTGAGATTGCCTTACTGCCCGATTAAACATTCAGCAAGGTAAACAATAATACGATTCCGAAATCCTAATCAAATAATTGAGTGCTAATTTTACAGTCCGCAATCTACACACATTGGGAAAATACACTTTTTAATTACGATAATTGTTGCCAAGAGTATTCGGACGAACGGGTTGGTTCTTATCACAATTGCTGCAACAAAGACGGAGGCAGGAAGGCAAAGAGCTATGAAAAGTAAAATCAAAACGAGATGACCCCCAGATGCAGTCACCATCGCCAATCGGCGAAATGTTAGCACGTGGATGATGTGAGGAAATTTACATTTGTGGCTCGCGCGGTGTTAAATATGCAGACGAAGGGCTCGCTCGCTCGCGATGTGAGTCAGTCGATGCGGCAACCACCTGCGCGGCGGCAATTACAATATCAACAACATGCCTATTTAGCATGCATTGGATAGCCCGTTCCGCGCTCGCTTTGGTGTCTATAAATAACGGCGCTTCTTCTTCCCAGCCCCCACCTGCGTCACGGAGCACATTACTTGAACTTGGCAGAAGAGGAACACACGTAGTACATACCGTAGGTACGGGTAGGATTTATTTGGCTTCCATCCACAGCCACTGTGGCCACCAACACACAACACTCACCTCGTTTTCGCAAACACATAGTAGACGATGAGTGCAACTGATGCAATCTCTATGCCGCCGAGCAAAGAAATCTCAGCGACACGCTGGGCAAAGTTCAAGACAGTCGATAGCATGATTATGCTGATGCTTCCCCTGCCTTGCCTTGTCTTGTCTTGGTGTGGCTTCAACGGAATTTGTATTCAATCAGCCGCCGGCCAAGTGATCGGAAGTGCGTGGTGTCTCAGTGTCTCGGTGTCCAGAAGATGTGCGCCAGTGTCCCTTTCAGCAGAGCAGCTAGCTAGTACTTAATTATCGCCCAATGGCGGTGCAAAATATATGTAGATGATGCCCGGACCGTTCCGATTGCTGCTGCTGTACAAACAATAACAAAACGGCGCGCATTGAGCGTTGTTCCAGCGACGTTCCGCTCTCTTCTTGCTCTCTCCGGCTCTCGCCTGATGCTTGCTGATAGCTCCTCTCCGCTGCTCTCCTCTCCACTCCACTCTGTGCCTATGGTGGTGGGGGTTGTATTATTGCGTTCTACTCGAAATATAACCACACATCGCCCCTCGTGTCGCGACCCGCCATTCGTCGCCGACTGTGTTGTGCATAAAAAATATCGTATGATTCTGCGAATCTGCTCTGCTCTATTCCGATTTTGGTTTAATTTCTCTCGCACGAGATGTGACGGTGACGGACAAAACCACCTTTTGGCTATCAGCATCCACCATCCACCGCAGTGTAGCGCAGCAAATTTTTATTGAAACAGCTGAACTTGTGCAGTCTTTAAAACCGGTTTTCCACTCTGCCACTAGTGTATGTGCTTTTTTCGCTGTTTCGTAGTTAATTGAATCAAATTCGCGTCCTTTCTTCTGCCTTTGTGCTGAGGGCTGATGGCTGAGGACGGTGCTTTATGCGCGACAGACGAGCGTCGGACCGTGCGGTTCGAGAGTACACAGTGGAATAACAGCGGCCGTCCACCGTTGACGCTTAATTAAATGCCAATTAACGTGTGACAGTAAGTCTGTATGCGCCCGCTCTGTATGCACATGCCACTGTACATATATTACGAGCAGAGTACTTATACACGACCGACCAAGATCGGCGGTGAACGAAGATAACCACAGCCGATTCCGTGGCATCCCGAAGGCGGCTGCTGCTGGCGTTATCACACACAGAGGCGTCAGAGAGCCAGCGATAGTGAGCTGATAACAGGGTCTCTCTCAATCGACGAGAGAGAGAGTGAGAAAGCGGAACGGAGCACAGCAAAATGAGCAACAGTAAGTACTTATGGCCTAAGACTAAATTGTTTAATCAGTAATTACTTTCGCACTGTATTATGAATAAAATTCATACAACTTTTGTTATTTATTATATAAAAGAGTGTGTCTGCATTACTTGGGGAAAGTAAGTTTACTTCTTGGCCGCTGGCTTCTTGGCGGCGACCTTCTTCTTGCGGGCAGCCAGGAGCTTGGCGCGGTTGGCGGCAGCCTTTGTGGCGACATTGGCAAAGTGCGACTTGGCCAGCTCGACGTTCTGTTTCTTGGCCTTGGCCAGAACCTTGGCGACGGTGCGCTTCTCGGCAGCCAAAGCGGCACGGCGCTTCAACACCTCGGCGTATGGGTTCAGCTTGATCAGCTGACGCACGTTGGTCAATGGGTTCAGACGACGGACGCTGCGGAACACGCGCTTGCGGGGATCGCGCAGAACCTTGCGGATCTCCTCCGACTTCAGCAGACGGGACAAGTCAGTGTTGGCCATCTTGGGTTGGGGCAGATTGTAGCCCTTCTTCAAGGTGGCTGGCCTCTTCCAGGTTCCGAACAGATCGTTCAGGCGCGAGAAGGCAGACTCGGTCCAGATGACAAAGCGACCGACATGACCGCCGGGGGCAAGCTTCAGCAGATTCAGCTTGTCGACGTTGATGGTCTCGATGCCGGGGATGTTGCGGAAAGCCTTGCGCAGACCCTCGTCCTTGTGGTAGACGACCAGGGGACCACGGCGGGCAACGCGACGACGGTCGCGCATGGTACCACGGCCAGCACGGAAGCGCTGAGACTTGTACACCTGTTGATGGGGCACATAAACAAGAAAATTAGTTTCCAGATACTTATTTGTTAGCTTGTGATGCTAAAAATAAGCTGTGGCTCTCCACTGCAAACGTCTGCAACTTTGAATCAGGTTACACTCGTAACGCCTAGGAGAGCAGTTATTCTGGCAACGCACCAATGCTCCAAGGAGCACGCAAACAGACTGACAATCAGTCACTACTCGTCAGTTGTTTACACGTTGCGGGGCTGGATTAGTTTCGTTTCGACTCTCAGTACCCACCTTCTGGATGTCAGCCCAGATCTTCAGGCGACGCAGGAAGATGACAGCCTGCTTGGTCTTCTGCAGCTTTTGGACCTCATCGGAGACGACCAATGGGAACTCGGAGACACCGTCGATGACATGACCCTTGGACTGCACGAGGGCGGGCACGCCGGAGGCGGCGATGGCCGACACCAGAGCGTAACGGCGCTGGTTGACATTCACCTTGCGGTGCCAGCGACGGAAGGTCTTGGTGGGGGCGAACATACGTCCACCACGGCACATGTTGCCGAAGGCACCCTGGCCGGAACGGTGAGTACCACCACCACGGACACGGGGAATACGTGCAACGGCACGACCGGTACCCCACGACTCGGCAGAGGTTTGGTGACCTGGTGGAAACAAAAACACATCATTATTCTCCTCCTTTGAATCAAGCACTCACAGGGAATCACTTACCAGCGAGCTCGCTCACGGCGTACGGCTGGCGGTTGTTGCGGCGCAGCAGCTGGTGCACCTCGTTGACCACATCCGGACGGATGGGTGCCTTGAACACCGCTGGCAGGCAGATGTTCTTGTCCTTGGCAGCCTCATTCTTTTCCGTGTACACGGAGACCAATGGCCTGGCGTTGCCTAAGCTCTGTAAACAAAAACCAAAAGCGTCCGTTTAAAAGTGTCCACAACCATAACATGGCATTTCGCACACTGCCGTCGTCCACCGCACACTACACACACGTGGAGGTTAGGCCGAATTTCACGACACATTTTCACTGTTTTCCGATTGTTTTGTGTGTAAAACCCACGTCGATGAAGTTTGCGGCGGCCCAGGCACTAACGATGCACACTTTCTCACCATGTTCGTTGATTTTTAAGCCCAATAAGTGGAATTAAATACTCTGCAAACGCAGATACCGTCCTCTTTTTATTAAGAAGAACGAGAAAGAAAGAGGGAAGGTCGCCGGAAATGACCGTGCTGCCACGTTTTGCATTACAGGGTTGCTTTCGTATATCAGAAATCGCATTTAGCCCTTTTAAGCCCCCTCTATTTGAATAGTTTAACGACTTGAGGTAAATGGCGGACAGTATTAACGATTGTAAATTCTTTTTGTAGATCAATCCTGCCCTTCCTTTGACTTGCAAGAAAAACATTGATATCTTTCACCTGAACTGCGCTAGAATTATTCAATTTTCATTACTTCGGTGGAATATTAAAATACCGCCTGGGTTTACAATGGGCTAATAGTTCTCCGTCAAGGATTGGAAATCCTATTTTCCTCGATTTTGATATTCCGTGGAATATTACTAGCTAGATAGAACAGTTAGCCATGCCCGCATAAATTGATCCAAACAAGCCAGTTAAGAAGAAAATTTGTTCATTAATCGCTAGAAATATTCGACGGAATTTTAAAAAGTCAGTATATTTATGGTATATTTCTGGATGTCAGACTGTATATCTTTCCGATAAGTGCGCGGTCATACTATTGCTAACGAAACTTTTGTTTATCTGTAAAAATTGAATTATAAATGGCTGGAGAAGTTATTGTGGATGCCTTGCCCTACATTGACCATGGGTACGACGACGTTGGCGTCAGGGAATCGGTAAGTTAGATCATCGCTTCTCTAATACATATTGTTAACAACTGATTTTTGCCGACAGGCGCTCGCCATGGTGGAAGAGGAGTGCAGACGCTACCGGCCGACAAAGAATTACCTGGACCATCTGCCACTGCCAGCCACTTCGCCCTTCGAGACGCCGCTGATGGTCAACGAATTCGAGCGCATACAGAATCGCCTGCCGATGGAGACGCTCTCCATGAAGCGGTACGAGCTGCCACCTCCGCCATCCGGCAAGTTGGGCGAGGTGTCTGCTTGGCAAGAGGCCATCGAAAATTCCATGGCCCAACTGGAGCACCAGTGCGTGCGCTCGCTAAATCTGGAACTTTTGCTGGACTACGGCACGGAGGCGTGGAAATCCTACTTGGAGGTGTTCACGGCCATGCAGGCCAAAGCGCAGCTGCAGCTGCAGCAACTGAAAAAAGACATACAGGACGTGAACTGGCAACGCAAGCAGGCGCAAACGCTTGCGGGCGAGAGGCTGCGCTCTCTGGACGCCCACTGGGTGTTGCTGGTATCGAAGAACTATGAGATTGAAACCGAGTGTGTGGAGCTCGAGAAGCTGGTTCAGGCCGCCCGCGAACACATAAAAACTCTTGGTCCGACCAACGCTAATGACACCGCACCAACGCCGGAGCACATAAATGGACATGCCGAAGAGGACATCTCTGAGAGCAATGGAAACATCAATAGCAACAGTAGTGCTAGTGGCGACGGAGATGGAGATGGAGACGTAGAAAACGTAGAAGACGTACGTGGCGGTGATGGGGACGCAAATGGTGATGGGGATGGTGATGATGCTGCCGAGGACGAATCCTCCAATGAGTGAATGAACGTAGGATTCAGTAGACATATAATTTGTACAAGTTTAAATACATATAGAGTTCATATAACAAGCAGCATAATGCGAATACGTTGTATAAATATAGGATTCCCGTGTACGCGTCGTGAGTAACTTCTTAGTTTCGTCTAAATCGTATGTATATGTAATTGCTTGTGGCGCCCAGAAGCCAGCTCCTCCCATCTAATAAGATACCACTTTGAGCTTGGTTCCCATGGCACCGTGTTTATATGTGTACGTAAATATGTATGTAGTTTATCCAGCCTGATTCGCCGCGGGGCCTTGCCACCGGCTACAAGTTAGTCGCATGGCACATTCGTGATACTGTCTTGGTCCTGACCGACCACCCACGAGAAGATGGATGCTGAGCGGGTAGTGCCTCGGATAATGATGGGAATAGCGGTAGCAGAAGCGATATGATCGGGGAGAGACAGATTCTTAGCGCACAGCCCCTAGTATCCACTCCTGGGGTGACGGTCAGTTTATAGACATCCTTACATCTACAGCGTTGTCTCAGGAACATGCTTGTTGCATTGCTCATGGTCCAGCCGCAAGTCTGCAATCCTCTGCTCCAGTTTATTTACCCGCACCTGATACTTGCGTCTGCTGACCTCCAACATTTGCCCCAGATTGCTGCAGGACATTCATACATTAATAATCTGATAGTCGGACAGCCCCGCTAGAATTGAAAGTACTTACTGATTCGATTGCTGCAGCTCGCGTACGTTCTGTTGCAGCTCCTCGTACTTTTCCTCGGAGGCTCGTTGCGATGACGTAAAGTTGGCCAGAAGCGTCTGGAGGCGACCCTTTAGTTCTGTTTCGCGGGTTAGCGCCTCGACCAACTGTTGCTCGGTGAGAGCTGAATGCTCGGCCTCCGAGTAGGAGACTCGATTCGCCAGCTGCAGCTGCTGGAGGGCAACGTGCAGTATGGCCACTCGTTCTTTGGAATGCTGTCGGTCCTGCTCCGCTTCATTTATTTTGGTCTTTAGTTCCACATTCTCGTCCTGCAGCTCGAGCAGCTCCTGCATGATTACGGCCGTGTCCAAATCGATGGGTGACTTCTTGTACTCGTCCCGCAACTCATGTCCCTTCTCCAAGGCCAGACGCTTCCTTTCGTACACGTCGCTAAAGGGCGATTCTAGATTGACAATTGTATGCTGCACGGTCGAGCGGCGGCCCTTGAGCTTCGAGACGTGATTGCGCAGACGATTGTCATCGTCGGTACACCATGGCCGGGCACTCTTTGGGTAATCTTCTCCGCCCAGATTTATATTGTGCTGCCACGGGCCCAGACTGTTCTCGCACACATTCTTCTCGCTGTCCAGGCGGGCCAACAGATGCTTGGCCACCGCCTCAACCGAGCGTCGGCTTTCCTCCGCTGCCGCCGATTGATCGGTCAGAAGCGCTAACCTAATTTAAAGATTTCGAATTGGATTTAGAAAGATGGAAGAGGAGAGTCCAATGATATGTCCAGGCCTTACTTGGTCTCCAAGAGTGCCAGCATCACGTCGTAGGCCTCGATGGCGCGATCGCTGCAGTTGAGCGCCAGTTGAAGGGCCACCGCATTCGACTCGTATTTGCCGCATAGCAAGTACAAATGTTCTGTGTGCTCTTTCGACTCGTCTAGCGTCATGGCCAGAATTGTGTTTCGCATCTTGAGGTACTCCATTTTACGCTGGTGCGGCTCTAGGTCTTTGCTCAGGTGCAGCGGCTCCATAATGCTGTCCATGAAAGAGTTTTGTTCCTTCAGTTCGCTCACCAAATGCTCCACCAGGTTGATGTGCTGAAAGTAATTGAATGATCATCAGTGAACGGGTACGCGAGGTATTCAGCAACCTACCTCGTTGCTTAGCTCCGTGTGGGCATCGCTAGATGGCTCTTCGTCTTGTTCGTTCTTGCTGGCGCAGCGCAATTTAACCCGCTCGGCCATTTTGGGCACGGCAGGCACTCTCTTCTGCGGGCTGGTCAGAGAAACGCAAGCTGCAAACGGTAATGATTAAAGCATGGCAGACCATACATAGGTTGGGCTTTTCGCATACCATTCAGATCGTTAAGACGTTGTCCACTCTCGTTGGCCTCTTGTTCACAGGCAAAGAAGTCCACCTTGGTCTGCTCTTCAACGACCGCAGTGTCCTTGGTAGCAATCTCTGACTGGAGCAGAGCGATCTTAGCCCTCAAATGCAAAACTTCCTCCTGCAGAGCGTCCAGTTGTCCTTTGTTACCGAGCTCTTGTGGCTTAAGGCCAATTTTGTCCACGCTAGCGGCGCTATAGAGATCTTCCAGAGGCTCTGTCTGACACTCTGCATCTGGATTGGTCAGATTCAGCTCCGAGTTGTACACAGAACCTTCCTGATAGCTCAGCTCTAAAAAGGTGGAGACTTTGTGGGTCAGAGACTTACCATTCTAAAAGTGTTTTGGCTTACCACTGCCCTCGGGCTCCTGCTCCTCGACTATGATATGATCCTGCTTGGAGCGCAGTTTCTTGCTCAACTCCGCAATGACGCAGTGCATCTCTGTGATGCGACATTCGTGCGCCTGACTGACCACCTCCAAACGCTTGTGACACATTTCCCTCTCCGCATTGCTCTCCGACAGTTGGCGCTCCGCCTGCTGCAAGCGCTGTGTCAGCTCGCGGACACGGTTCTCCAGCTGCTGCACCGACAACTGCTCAACCTGCAGGAAAAGAAAACATGGCAATTAGTAACTGTTGAAGCGGGCATATAGTCATCACATTAATGGGTCGCCTGGCCAGTGGCTGTGCCATCAGAGTGTATTCCCAGCTGTGTCGCTTTTCCCCGCGCTGAATCCCAAAGCCACCAACGCCACCGGGAACAGGAGGTGTGTCGCTGCAGCACATACAGCTCAGGCTGCGCGGAAGCAGTTGCTCCGCAATCATGGCCGCAGTGGAAAATTTTACTGGCCCTTGCTATTACGTCGTCAGCCGCTGCTGGTGGGTGCATTCTCCGCTGCAGTTTGACCTTCGACTCGATACGCATCTGCGCACTGTGCGCCACGCAACCCAGCCACAGACCGCAAAACAAATATACTATGTGCTGTCACTTACTTTATTGACAATGTCCAGCGTGGAGCAGCTTGAAATATTGATGTCACTTTCGGTAGTGTCGCGCGGCGTGTGCTCTGGCGACTCCGGCTCGCAGGAGCCCACTAGGTGCTTGGCATTGGTGCAGCCTCCCCGCGGCGATATGCTTCCAAAGACATACTCGATGTCTTCGCCAACGACGCTGCCAGCTGCAGTCTTCGAGATGCCTGTGACCTCCCGCTGGTGTTGGGGCTGCTGCTTGTCATTCCGCCGGTGGACCTCAGTTCCAATCTTGGCGTCGGATGCTATTTGCACATCGTTTGACATTTTGTTGTGTGTGGGAGGGAGTGCGTGTGGGTGTGGGTGGGTGGTCGCTGCAAATTCTCCTGGATTAGATTCGGCTATATTGCGGTCTTCTTAAAATTCTGGGCTGGTTTTTGATTTGTGCTCGATTCTCACACATTATGGCACTGGGTTAGTTCTCCGTGGCACTTTTGATCCGTTCTTTAAGGCATTTTTAACTCAAAAATAACGTTTTTTGTAATCAACAAAAATTAACTGTTTATTGCGTTCTTATCAGAATGTGTATACCATATACACATATCGATATGTATATATCGATATCTCCTTTGAAATTCACTTAAATGTTGGTTCAGCAATTCATTTTCAGCTTTAATGCTGTTTTAGAGCTTTAAGAACATTTCCAAAGCGATTTTCGGTGGAAAATCATTCTGTATTCTGCAATTCTGAACTGAAACTCCCGTTTCTTGTAACTTTTAACAGATGGCGCTGAACAATATATCGGAATTTTGTCAATATTTATTGAATATCATTGCGGTAGGCGGATCATTTGAACTGGGGATTTCGGCAGACCTTTAAAATTCATCCAATTGCAAATTTAATATGAATATTCCTAGAATTCCCAGCAATAGGTGGATCGACGAGATTTCTTCTCAACTATACATATGACTTTAATTGGAACATTACAAACTATGCTTATCTAGAGATTCTACTGAAGAAGGGTCTCAACATCGACTTCCAATGCTTTGGCCGCGGACTCGTGGGCATGCGAGTTCTGGGCATGGCTTTTCGACCGGAAGTGGGCCTGTAGATGGGGCCGACGTATGAACGACACTTTGCACAGTTCGCAGCTGCAAAAGATAAAATTTAAAATGGATGACCATACATAAATCGGTGAAGAACATACTGGAAAGACCGTACGCCCGTGTGGCTAAGCATGTGCGCCTTGAGTTTCCCACTCACAGCAAAGGATTTTTCGCACTCCGTGCACTTGTAGGGCTTGATGTTGGTGTGGCGACTGAAAATACAAGAGTTAACATCAGACAAGAGTGCAACCTCGGAGGTTTTCCATTCCCTTACATGCGTTCGTGCTGGATGCGTCCGCTGGAGTTGTTGAATGACATATTGCAGTACTGGCAGGGAAACGGACGCTCGCCCCGGTGCAGCATCTCGTGGCGCCGCAGAAGATGGGCCGTATAGAATGTCTGTGGACACTGCTCGCAGGCAAAATTCTTCACTCCCGAGTGCCGCAGGAGGTGGACTTTGAAATTGCTGGGGCAGGAGAAATGCCGGCCGCACTGCTCGCATATGCAGTCTCGTTTGCGGCGCTCCCGCTTTAGGGCCACCGTCTCCTCCTCGGTGAGCTTGTCCCATTGGGTGCGTGGTAGGTTCCGGCTCTTGCTGTTGTCAGCAAACGTCATCGATGCGTAAACGGTGGAGCCACGTGGGGGTGGTTGGCCTCTGGCGAGTTTTGGGTTCGTTTCGATACCGGGCTTAGCTGGAGGAGTCGAATCAAGCTTCACATCTTCCGGTGCCACCACAACAGAATCCTCATCCTCTTCTAGGGGCACCAGTTCTACCGACGCCACACATTGACTGTCGTCTTTCTCCTCGCTCTCAGAATCGGACACCTCATCTGCTTCCTCCTTAGACTTGTGTCCAGTTGCGTCCAAGTAGATCTCCTCGACAGCCTCTGGCTCGGTGGAACCGCTCTGGAGCAACTTCTGCGTCTGGATGACACGCTCCCGAAAGCGCACGGCTTCCCTCAGAGACACCTCGCAGGGCCCGCAAATACGGGCTGGGAAATTCGGTTGCTCGAGTAGCTAAAAAGTCGGTTGGAACGGATGAGTGGAGCTGTAGACCTCCCAATCCATCAGTTCGTCTGAACGTGTTAAAACTTGGATACCTACAAATAAACCCGTTAGGGCTTCAATTTGATTCAGCATTATGTTGTCAGGCTCTTGGAAGAGGTTCTTGGATGTGGCGTTGTAAATAAACTTGCCGCAAGCGCGGCAATCTCGAGATATTTTAGATTTTTCCATAGTTTAAGTGCAAATTTTCAGAAAAATTGCATCCACACAACTCTATTTACATCTGTTTGATTTATATCGATATATGTGTTATTGACTATCGATACCATTATGCGTCTGAATGAAAAAACAAAATTGTTGGGCAAAAAAGTCGTCCTTGTGCCTTATGAGGCGCGCCATGTACCCAAATACCATGACTGGATGAGCAATGAGACTCTGCGGGAGCTGACTGCCTCTGAGGAACTGACACTCTCGGAGGAGTACCTGATGCAGCTGAGTTGGCGCCAGGACACCGACAAACTTACCTTCATAGTCCTCGCTGCCGATATCTATGCCCGGGACAATGATGAGATTGCCGCCATGGTGGGCGATACAAATCTCTTTCTGCGCCATGAACCCGACACCAATCAGAAGGTGGCCGAGGCGGAGATAATGATAGCGGAGCCCCAAGCTAGGGGCAAAGGCTACGGACGCGAGGCCATGCTTCTCATGCTGAAGTACGCCCAATCCCAGCTGGAACTGAACAAATTCGAGGTCAAAATCGACATGGACAACGACGTGTCCCTCCGCCTGTTTGAGAGCTTCCAATTTGTGGAAACCGGACGCGTCGAAGTCTTCCACGAGGTTACGATGGAGCGTGAGATTACCACGGAGTGGATTGGCTGGTTGGACAAGCAGGTGGAGCTTACGATTGAGAGCTATAGTGTATAGTCAATCGTTAGACGTCGGCTGGATCCTATTATTGCTGCAGAATAATCACAAATCGATCCATACTTCGTTTATGTTCTGTTTATTAAACTTATTTATTACGAACTACTTGTTTCGCTTGCCTTATTTATGTTGAATTTTACATCATATGTATGTATGTATTTATGTGGTGCAATTGATGCTGAATCGTGGCTGGCTTTGTTTCTATGCGGGATGGGTTAATGATGATTGTGTAATGCTGTGTTTGCTTCTTGTGGTCTGTCGTGTCGTGTGGCAGGAAAAGGGAAAGGCAACAGACACTTGCCTGGCCGCTGTGTGTCCGTCCGTCTGTCTATCATTTTGGTGTTGTGTGGGGTGCGTGTATTTTATGTATGTATTTAAATATAGTACATAAAACTAGATGCTTGCTTACAAACTGCTCACTTGTTTCAATTTTTTATAAAAATCATTATTAAATAATTAAAGGCAAACATAATCAGAATTGCAATCAAATCAAAAACCAAATATCTCTCGCTGCGCAGCTGCTTCCAAACTTTCGATCCTTAAACGTAGAAATGTTGTGTGCTTGCAGTTGTTGCTATGGTTAATAAATATGAATGCTGTCGGTCCTAGGCTGCTGCCCGTGGCCCATCGATAGGCATGGCGTGGAGCACTTCGTCCAGCAGCTGGAGGGCACGATGCAGATGCACCTCGATCCAGCAGGGCGTCTCCTTGATCGACTGGCGTGGATAGTCTGGGCCCCAGCCCTTGACGAAGCTCAGCCTCAGTATGCAGAGACGACGCAGATCGTCCACTCCAATGCCAGCGGCCGCAGTAATGCCTGCAATATAATGGAATGGTCCAGATAAGTTATGGGTTTACGAGAGAGGCTACTCTCTGGCTACTCACTTCTACCGCCTCCGCCCATCTGTTGATTGGAGACACCGGCCACAGCGGCCGCCTGTGCTGCGGCAGCTGCCTGTGCATTGGTTGCCAGCGAATGCATCTGCTGGTGGCACTGACGCAAGTCAAACACCTGTTTAAAAAATGGATAAAATTATGAAAATCAAGCTAAGGAATCGCTTGAATCCTGGCACGGCACTCACCTTGATGCATGCCGCTGGATAGATCTTGTGCACAGCATCGCCAGGCGTTCGGCCAGCCTCGCGATCCAGATAATAGCTTTGTACGAACACAGAATTGTCGCTGAGACAGCGCAGCCAGACATCGCCCTCACCGCGCAGATCCAACTGAACGCCCTTGCCAATGTGCAGCCTGCAAGTAGTGTCATGGACATAAGTGATGCTCCTGTAATTATGTATAGTATAGGCCTTTACCTGGCTCTTTCCGATTGCTCTGTGCGATGCACGTTGCTGAGAGCTCCTAGGCAAAAGCGGTTGCCGCCGGAGGGATCTACATAGCCATCGATAATGACATTCGGCTTGGCCGAGGGCACCTTGAAGGTCTCACCCACCTGCGTGTCCAGCTCAAAGTAGGCAATGGAACACCAGTACTCCGGCGGCGGTTGACGGGAGAGCAAACGGGGCTGTTGTTGCTGCTGCTGTTGCTGTGGCGGCGTCTGCTGTGGGGAGGCCAGGTCACCTGGCATTGATGAGTTCCCTGTGGGAAAGAGATTAGAGATTACGTATTACAGAGTGGGAGAATCATCCTCATCCACTTACAAAAGGCACCCGGCAGTGAGCGCGGGTCGGGCGGCTGCATGGATTGTGTGTAGGTTAGAGTGTTAGGACCTGTCCAGGTACCGGCAGCTCCACTGCCACCACTAGCCTGTGCCCCGCCAGCTGATGAATTGGCCTGGACACCGGATGGCGGCTGTTGTTGCTGCTGCTGCTGTTGCTGGGAGGTGGGTGGTGGTGCTCCAAAGGGTGGTGCTGCATTTGCGGATCCCGACTGCGATACATAACCATTCTGCTGCGGATGAACGGCTGAACCTGGACCTGCGCCGCCACCTCCGCTGCCACTGAACTTGTTTTCGCCCACGTTCTGCATCTGGTTAGATGTGGGGGGTGGACCATAGTACTGCCCACCGCTGCCTGGGCCTCCACTGGCATTGACTGCACCATTCGGTCCATTGGGCACGCCACCCGGTGCCTGTTGCTGTTGCTGCTGTTGTTGTTGTTGCTGCTGCTGCTGCATGGCCATTGCGGAGGCAGGATCTGTGGGCGAATTGGCCTGGGCATGATGCACTCCATTGCCCTGGGGATTCTGTGCTTGCTGGGGCGGGGGTGGCGGCGCCATAACTGGGCCAGGATTCATGGGACCAGGCATGCCCGGCATGCCATGAGGTACAGCTGCAACGAGGCACAAAAACCGAGATTAATACCATCCAACAGATGATCAGAGAAACATTCCCTCCAAATCAAACGAAAAAACGTAAAAAAAAATCTTACAAAGCGAGTGCGGAGCTGCCTGGGATTGGGATTGCGGCTGCTGTTGCTGCTGCTGCTGTTGGGACGGCGGGGGCTGTTGCTGCTGCTGTTGCTGTTGCGATGGCTGGCCAAGCCGCGGCGGCGGCGGCACCATCCACGAACTGCGTGACCCAGCTACACCGTCCTGTGGCTCAATTTTTGGTATTGTTCGGCCAGTGGAGAACATTGCACCCAGGGGATTGCCATCGCCGACTACACAAGAACCCCGATCATAAGGAACAAAACACAACATAAAGAACCCAAAACGAGATGAACATGAAATCAAATCAAATTATAAGAAATCCAACTAAGAAATATCTCAAAATACAAGGTCCTACCATATTCAGCTGGTCCCTGAGGATAGCCATAGCCGCCGGGGCCCACCATCTGCGTGGGATGATGCTGAATGGTGCCAATATCGTTGCCATCGATGTCCATGCCCCCGACCAACGGTCCGGCTGAGTATTCGTCCTTCACCAGGCGGCTCGGACCCGACTGCAGACTGAGGCCGGACAGATCGATGCCCGGGGAGACGACGCGCTCATAGTGATAGGGATTCACGCACACCGAATCGCACTTGAGATCGAAGGCAAAGGCGCAGTACTTGACGTGCTTCAGTTCGTTCTTGTGCAGGTCGGGCCACCGCCAGATACGTGCATAGATTACGTGCGGGAAGCCCTTGCGTCCGGCGACCTGTCAAAGCAAACAGAAAATTAAATTCAGTTTCCAGATAAGAGAAGAGAAAACTATCGCTATCAGAAAGCCGGAAATTCAGAAATCAAACAGAGTCGAGACATCTGGGTACACCAGGTGTGATAAGAGGCACAGGCACGCCACAAACCGCAACATACAAGTCAGGGACTGGCGCTCCAGTGATAGATCGCTCACCTGCAGACGACCGTCGAGAGTGCGCTGGATGGTCACGCATTTGCTCGGATGGGCTCCGTTTGTGGTGATGGCCGTTATCAGCGAGTCCAATTCGTCGCGCTTCTCCTTCAGCTTCTTCACCAGCGACTCAATGGCGCGCTTGGCGAATCCCTCACTCTCGCCGCCCTGCCGGTGGCACATCAGCGAGTGGACAATGCTCAGGCAGGCATCCGCCGATGTGGGGGCATTCGAGGGCGGCGGCGGTGGCATCTGTACCATGTCACGGACAATAACTGTTTAGAGGGACACACAAATTACCAATTGGAGAGCAAAAGAAAGGAATAAATGCGAGAACTTACTGTCCTGGGGGGCTACGGCGCCGTACATGTGGGCGGGCGGACCGGCACCGGGACCACCCATGCCAAAGTCCTGGGCAATGCCCAGGCCACCGCGTGCATGGGCATCCACTTCGGCGTTTGTGGTGTCGCCGCCGTCACAAAATCCGTATCCAGCGGATGGCCACAAGGTGCTGCCGCGACCGGTGAACGCCACCAGACGAAGCGAAGGGGGGAACGCAAATCAGCAGCAGCCTCCTCCTCCTCCTGCTCCTGGCGACCCACACAATCCGTGTGGCTGGGCTGGTGGCTGTCTGTGTATGCGTGTGTTTTGCTTAGGCTTGGGGGGTGTCGCACACACACACGCGTATACACAAATTCAAACACAAACACACACGCATGCGGATACGCACACAGGCGCGCAGCTAAACTTGAACTCCCACAAAGTTGGCGTAATTACAAAGGTGGCGGCTATGCTTTTCCTTGCAAAATCCAAATGCTTTGCTTTGCCTCCTCCCTCCTTCTGCTGGTTTTTTCCTGCTGCGGCGATATAAACGCTAGCGAACACACACAAAACACACACAAAGTAAAGTGGAGTCCGAGCTTTGTTTGTTTTTGCTCTCCCACAGTTGTTTGCAACTATTTGTTAGTTTATTTTCCTTAGATTGGCGAATCCAGTTTTCCACCCAATTGGCTCATCTTGCTCGGCGTACGCCTGGTTAGTGTAGCGCTGGTCTCCTTCGACTCTACACACTTCTTGCTTGCCGAGGTTTTGGAAATTTATAGTTCGATCTATATCATGGATCGGATCTATATATTCCGGATATTTATCTATTATCAAACTGCCTGTGCTGTGTGTGTGAACGTCCGTGTATGTGTGTGTGTGTGTGAGCTGTCAAATGGGGCTAGGGCTGCCACTAAAGTATCGGCGGCGGCCATTTTTAGTGCTGCCATATCGACGCCACGATATTTTGCATCGATATTAACTCCACATGTACCAAATATGAAGTTACAGTGTAGTTAACATGTAAAAATTGTCATTTTTGTTGACCTTTTTTGTTTAAACCTCATTTTTTGTAAATAAAACAGTAAAATGGGGTCCTAAAATTAGCCAACCTTGTAGGGAAATTGATTAATCAATAGGATAAAATTATGTGGTTAGTAATATTCCACGGAATATCCAAAACGGGGAATATGAATAATTCGTCGGTATATTTTTCAAATGAGACGGTATATTTCGGTGCTGTTCGGTCATACTGTAGAAATACTAGTTTTCGCCGCGCTCCCATGTGGTGTTTTTTAGTGCTAAATGGTATTTTTGTGATTTATTAATTTAATTTTCAATGTTATATAGTAATCCAATAAATGCAAGTATTTCGAATAGGCCAATCATGTATAGAATTGATTCATCAATCGTATAAAATTAAGTGGGCATGGCCAAATGTTCCACATAGATAGTATTATTCAACGGAACTAAGAATATGAGGAATTTGAATCGAATTTGAATTCGCCGCAGTTCGTCGCAGTTCGCCGCAGTTCGCTTTTGCAACAATGAGTCCCATTCCATACACACTGTTGCGGCAACATTTACTTGAAAACCGTTTTTTTGGTCAAAATAAAATACTTACAAGCCATTAAAAGAAGCAATCTTGTAGAAAATGCATTTATCTATGGGATAAAGCTAAGTGGGCAAATCTACATAGCGATTCGCCGCAGTTTCGCCTTTGCAACAATGAGTATCATTCCATACAAAAATGTTGCTAGTTTACCAGCAACATTGCGACTGTTTTTTTTTGTTGACCTATTTTGTTTAAACCTTGTTTTAGTAAAAATACAATAAAATCAAGGACTAAAAATCGGCCAGCCAAGTAGAAAATTTATTCATTAATCGTATTCAATTATTTGGGCATGGCTAAATATTCTATATAGGTAATATTCGACGGAATATGAAAAACGAGGAATATGTAAAATGGAACTCGAATTCGTCAGTATATTTACGGTATATTTTGGTATTTTTTGAGGGTCATACTGTAGAAATACTGGTTTTCGCCGCGCTCCCATTGGTATTTTTGTCAATTTCATCAATCTATTAATTTAATTTTCAATGTTATATAGAAATCCAATAAATGCAAGTATTTCGAATAAGCCAATCATGTATAGAATTGATTCATCAATCGTACAAAATTAAGTGGGCATGGCTTGATGTTCTATATAGATAGTATTATCCAACGGAACAAAGAATATGAGGAATTGGTCGTTTTTTTTAATTCGCCGCAGTTCGCCGCAATTTCGCTTTAGCAACAATGAGTCTCGTTCCATACACAATGTTGCACATTCCATACACACTGTTGCGGCAACATTTACTTGAAAACCGTATTTTAGTCAAAATAAATTACATTAAGGTAATTAAAAGAAGCAATCTTGTAGAAAATGCATTTATCTATGGGATAAAGCTAGGTGGGCATCTATAGCTTGAAATATAGGCAATACCCGATTCGCCGCAGTTTCGCTTTTGCAACAATGAGTCTCATTCCATACACAAACATGTTGCTAATTCCATGCACTCATACCCTGGGGGAAATGGATGTTATAGAATTGTGAATACGTTTGTCTTCCAAGGCTCAGTAGGTATCAGGATCGAGATAAATATATACAACATACTAATAATGTACTTGAATATGTCTAAAGAATGTCAATTTGAGAAAAGGTCTTTGTAAATTACGTTATATCTTCATATAAAATTAACGAAATAGGGTATACAAAGGCATATACACGCATCATGTCATCAAATACCATCAACATTGGGACTGTTTTTTTGTTGAACTTGAATTTTTTTTAAACACTGTTTTAGTTAAAATACAATAAAGCAAGGATTAAAAACTATCCAATCTTGTAGAAAATTGATTCCTCAATCGTATAAAATTGTCTGGGCATGGCTAAATGTTCTATATAGCTAGTAATATTAAACGGAAGAAAGAAAACGAGGAATATGTAAAATAGAACTTGAATTAGTCAGTATATTTGCGGTATATTCGGCGAATGAGACCGTATATTTCGGTATATTCGATATATTATCGATAAGCCCGCTCACAAATCCGGTCATACTGAATTTAACCTTTTAAAATTAATTTTCGGCCCGGTGACAAAAAGAAGCGCAAATACTGATTAAAACAGAGGCATCCGGGTAAGTGGATATAAAACAGTTTCACTAACCACCCATCATCAATTCAAAGTGTTATCAATATGGAGAAACGACTCTTTTGGCTAGAAAATCAATTGGAAAGTCGCACGTACGCCACGCGTTTTTTTCCCACTCCAATAGGAAATCGTTCTATGAATGTGTGTGTGTGTGTGTGTGTGACTGAATGATGACGAAATTGAGTAAAATTTAAGGTTTAAACTCGAAAACCGGTGAATGGTGCACCTTTTGGCTTTTTGCGTCAACGAAATATTCTCCTAGCAACGCACGGCCTTTCGTCCGATTCATTCATATCTTCAATACATGTGTATTTTCCATACAAATTATGTGTTCAAGTGTGTGTGGCTGTGTACAGGTTGTTGTTCGTGCCACACAAATTTCTAGAAGTGCGTGACTCGTGTGTGTTGGGGCCCTGAAATAGCTCGCATCTCGGTCCCCATACCCCCCACACACCCCTTGAAAATGCGCTTGGCAACAGCCCCAAGTTTCCCTTTCGAAGCCCGGCCACGGCAAATGCATTTCCGACGTAAATCCCATTCTTTGATATCTTATCAACAACGTCTTAAAACCGAACCACTAATCTTTGCGCTTACACATGCATATGTATGTACATAAATAGTACATATTGCCGAATATTTGCGCATTACCATTGATTATGAAATATGTGCATAGGGCGTTTCCATTTCCTCTTAAAGAAAACCTTGAAAGATTAAAGAATTTTTGACAAAATATTTTTTGTTTTAAAAATGTATTTGAATTTGGCGCCTTGGCTTATAACACAAAAAAGTGGTCGGAATTCCCATTTGGTATTTAAGATGCCAGATGTGCAACGAGTATGACGACAACGAGGTGGCGCTACGGAACGTTCAGCAACATGCAATTCGTATGATGATGTTTATGAGCGCTACCTCGTTGTCCTGATACCCACTGATTTTACAGTTTAGGGGTGACTGTGTATAGATTTCCAGCAACATGGGCGCAGAATGCTCAAAATTTGAAGTACCCTGTAAATTATATGAATATATAGTCAAAGACTTTGCATAAATCAGATAATTTCATAATAAATCGTTATTGGACTTTTCGACTTTAAGTAGGGTAAACAAACGTCCACACTCGTCATATAGTAACCGGTTTGCCAGCAACATGAGTACAAATCACTAGCAACAAACAAGTAGGATTAGGCAACAAACACCGCGGCCCAATACCGTTTCGTTCCACTTTGTTTCATTCCAAGGGGGCCAAGTGGGTTAATCGACAAAAGCGCGGTCACACTCTATCTCGAATCTATTTGGCATTCCAAAACCAGAAACAACAAAGCAAAGTACCGTTTTGGGAGCTGTCCGCGTAGTGTGTGTCATTTTTATGTGTGTGTTTGCATAGAAATAGAAATTTTGGTATAATTTTATGCAGCTGAAAGCCAGTTCATTGCAAAAGCAACGTATGTTTTCTTGCAAATGTGCAAAGCTTAGCTAAAAGAGCCTTCAGACACATATGCAACCCAACCTGCAGAAATATGAAGAGCAGCTGATGTGAGAAAAATCCCAACCACTTTTTATCTGGTGTGTGGGAAAAATCGATCCGAAAAACAATCAAAAGAAGGAGAAAATGTTGGCCTAAGCCCCAGGACAACTACGGAAAACAAGAAACACTTTCAATTGTGATAGAAATTGCAGTACAAATTAATTAAACCTAGCGTAAATGGCCGAAAAAACGAGTTTTATAGCGAAACTTTTTTAACAAGAACAAATCAATCAGTCAAGCTGCCAGGCTACAACTTCTTCACAAAAATATTTTCAAAGTGCAATAAAAACCATTTTCAAATAAAATAATTCATCTCAACATTCCTGCGCAACAGAAAACAACAAAATGGCTGTAAAAATGTAAGCAACAAATAATTCAAACAATTTTATTTTAAGTCTTATTGCAAAAGAAAATCAAGGTCTTCCACACACTTTATCTATCAATCTGGTTTGGCAAACTGTTTTTCAGTCTCGGATGATGTTTTGTTTGCCAAAAGAAATAAAATAATATAAAATTGAGGCATACATACAGAATTTAACATACACACGAGTACTTTTACGCGTACATATGAAGAAATAATTTACGTGTTTGTTCCACTCTCATTCCGTTTCACAGCTGTTTGGCTGTCATTGTGTGTGAGTGCGAGAGAGTCAGTTTTGAGGTCTCTCTGCTTGCTATTCATAGGTTGTTGTTTAGAGAAGAGGGTGGGCTCAGGGGCTGGAGTGTGTGCGTGTGTATGTGAGTGGGGCTATGCTTTTTATGCAAGCTGTACAGCCATTGGAGGAGGGCGGCCTTTGTTTGGCAACTTGTTTTAATCAAACTAATACATTTAGACACACTCCCAAGTACAGTTGTACTTGCCCGTGCGAGAACTGTGAAGATGATGCCTATTCCTCTATATTTGCATACGAAAATGTATTTATTTATTCTATTCATTTTACGTCAATTGTTTGCTCCTCTTTTCTCCCCCTCTTTATTCTACATTTTCATCTTCCCATTTGTTTTATACACTCTTTCTCTCCACAATCATTGGAGTGTTCCATCGCCAACGTTCCTCTCCCAACACAGACTACTGAAAACAAAGGCCTTTGAGTGTGTGTTGTGTTCCCATTTGGATTTTTGCCTCATACATACCCCATACCAATGCAGATGCATACATTTTCACTCGCACACATACATAAGCAAAAGCTTGGTATGGTGTGTGCGGGCTTGAAATTGCGTCAGCCAAAATATAAAGAAATACTTTATAAAGCTCCTTGCTGCTGTTTGGTTTCAATATCTTTTGGATAATTTTGAAAACAAGTTGTTTCTTTTCGAAAACAATTAACAAGTATTGCCTTTTGTCTGAGTTTCTTGTTTTTGCAGGCTCTCTTCCTCTGCTTGATTTCACCTTCAGCGATGTTTTTCTGTTTTCTGGGTCATATTTGTTGATTTCAATTTGTTGCGCAGCCGTAGAAACCAAAAAGAGCGCTCTGCAAGCACACAAAATTGCTTAATTTGTTGATTTTCATAGTTTCTATAGCCTCTAAAAACGCTCGAAAAATGAGGGGGGCCTCCAACCACACACAAATACAGAAATTGCGTGAGTGTTCGTGTGGCGTGGGTGCTGTTACTGCTGTACCGTTGTTTTTCTTCTATTCCCCTTCCCACTGGTTAAAAATCTACCTTTTCGTATTTGCTTCTGTCTCTGCTTCGTTTGAAATGGAACGGATGGGAAGAGTGGAAGGCAGAACAGCCAATGTCCGCCCTTAAATTAACCGTAATCCATCTGACGTCTGCCCCTAAACCGTCATCTATTAAGATTTCACTTGCGGTTTAGGACCAGGAAGGCGCCGTCCCATCCGTCTGTTTACCTGTTTTCTTGGCTTTGCGAACAAGTCAAATTTCTCATTCAAAAACAGAGTGTAGTTGGACGGACATTTGACGCGACGATGCGTCGGCCAAAAGTGAAATTTAATGCCTGAATTGCCAGTTTTTGGCTGGGCACCAGTTGACAGCCAAACGAACCCAAAAGAGTTGGCTATAAGCATATCAAATGGTTACCAGAAAAAGCTCTCAGCTGAACCAATCAACCCTTCTTCCCGGTAATCCCCCAAACACCAGCCCGTGCCAAGCCATCGACTTTTTGTAGGGCCACCCCTTTTCCGTAATTTGAAAAGGTGACGAAAAATTCCAATATCCCTGAACCGTTGAGAGCGAGAAAGAGGCAGCTGCTGCCGGCGCTGTTGCACCCTGCAGCTGCTGCTGTCTGCCTCTGTGGCATTTCTATGGGTTTTTGTGGAACTGAAAATAAAGGCAGATAAGATCGAATTGCTTTATCGAGCTTGCGTTTACGTCATGGAATGTTACGAAATGTTGGCCTGGCCTGTCCTGTCCTGTCCCTGCCCTCTCTTGTCCGACTGATGATAAGCCCCGTTGTTCTACGGAGTATAAGTCATCATGAGACATTGCCAAATGGGGATTGCATTTTTATCTGTTATCAGTATCCCCGACATCTACATAAATGGCATGTTCCGCCAGGGAACTTTGGATGTGGGTGTCTCTTATCTATCTATAACTGTCTGTTCAGGGAATTTATTTACCTATGATCAAACTATAATTGTCCGTCTAGGACAAGACTATAAGTATAATTAAAGTGCAGTAAAATTCCAATGCCAGCAGGCAATTACAATGACGTAAGCCTCAACACGCCATGTAGAAAATCCCTGGTACAGAAATGTGAACTTCCTTTGTCCCTCAGTGAATCACAGTGGCACAAGGGAACCTTTAAAGTAATTCCCTCTACTGGAAATGTATGCCCCTGCTACATTTTTGGGGGGACCCAAAGTCCAAAGTAGTCTTGTACGATTAGCCCATGCTTATCATTCCATTGGACACGCTCGGCGATCGCCCAAAAGTCGAGACTTTGCTTCGACTGAAAATTGCATTTCCGTTGATAATGAACAGTCCGCTTTTGAAGTAGTTTCTGAACTATGTGTCTGAGGGTACACCGGCAATAATAGATAATGGGCAATGCAAATTGTATTCAATAGGTTCCATTGACAGACAGTCGAGACACTCGACAGACAGATAGTACCGTGCATGTACGGAACTAGCAAAAATGGAATAGAACTGGCAAAGCTGGAAAGAAACAGACGCGCTCGTCGCTATGCTCTGCCCGCCCAAAGGTCGATCGCCGATGGCGGGACAGTTTTGAAAATGCCTTTACACTACCAACACTCTGTGGAACAAGAGAGTGAGAGGGATGGCATGAATCTCACTATCTGGGGAGCAAGAGGGATAGAGATTGAGGACAATGCCCGCTGATCGGTTGGATGCTTCACTATTGTTATTTCTGTTTAAGGTTATCTTTTTTGTTTACTATAGGAACGGGCAGAGGAAGCCGAGGGAGTGGCCAAAAAAAAAAGAAGAGATATTTTCTTTTGTTTGCCGGAAAACGAACATAAATTTCCTCTTCTTCGTATATGTCGTATTCGTATCTATTCCAGCACATGCCAGAGGAGAGCAGCAGCTGCTGCTGTTGGCGTTGCGCCTGCGCACAGGCTCTCGTCTTTGCCCCTCCCTCCCCTGTTGAGTCTTTGCGCTCCTGGGTGTCTGGTGGCGGCAGAATTTATTTAAATGTTCACCCGACGCCTGTCAGCGGGGTGGAACTTGATGCCTTTCGGGGGGTTGCTGAAACCAACCCTGTGATAAGCTGACTGAACAATTTCCTTCTGTTAATTATATCCCAAACCAAAGTCAAAAGTTTCTTTTCACCTTTTTTTCTCCCTCCAGGGGTTGATAATTCCATTCGCGTGGAAGGTGGATTTCCCCATTCTTTGACTACGTGACTCCAGTCATTTTCCAGTCTTTCTTTGCATCTCTATTTTTCTCTCTCTTGCGATCGATATATCTCTTTCACTCTCTCCCGCCTGTCATCTGCCTGACCTTCATCGAATTCGAAAACTCATTCGATGACGATGATAAATGAATAAACGGTTTGTTGCTCGCTCGAAAGGCTCGCTCTCCTCTCCGAAAGCAAGGTGGTAAAGAGCGAAACGAAAAACTAAAACGTAATACTCCAAAACAATTGCCATCCCCGCTCTGTGGTGATTATCTGTTTTTGGGGGGGAATATGAAAAATATTTAGTGCGTTGCGTCTTTGCCTGAGAGATAAACAATCTCACTTTCGTTTTCGAAACGCAATGCTTACAATTGCAGGCGGCGGCAGCTTAATGGAATTTTTACTTACCGCCGAAACTATTTCACACCTGTCGCTCAGAGGTAACGGCCACGCCCCATGTCTGTTGCCTTCCGCCGTTAAAGAAATAGGCAAAAAGTGAAATTTTTTTAAGTTGTCTTGTGTTTTTTTTACATTGCCACAAAAATATTATATATGGCCATAGCTCATACACACACACACACACATTCACAGAGAGAGACCTCGTTGCATCTGTGTGCGTACGTGCTTTGCGTCAGCAAAGGAAAACGACAAAAAAATAAAACAGAAACTAGGAAAAAATTTCAGTTGGGAAACTTAAAAAAAAAAATTGTTTTTAAATATTTGGTTTTTGTTGGAACCTGCAGTCGAGCAGAAAACCTTGGCTAAGATCAAAAGAGCGATAACTTTTGTACATGGCATATTTTGAAGGAATGGTACCTGTATGATGGTTGGGCGAGGGGGGGGGGGGATTATGGTGGGGTGATGCCTGTGTGCTATAATTATGGCTAGCTAGCTGCCTCTCACTCTCTCTATCTTGTGGTGGAACAGAGCCAGAAGCATAACAGTTGAACTTTAACCCTACAAGCGATTGTTACCGTTATCACTGGTCGTTTTTTCGAGAGGGGTAGGGGGCACAGAGGGAAGCTTTTGTTGAGCGCTTTAAGCTGCGATCGCTTAATGCCAGTCATGCACTGAAGAAACAGAAGCTTTGTGATGTTTTCAATGTAAGTGTGTGTGTGTGTTTCCCCCCCGAAACTAGTTTTTGGTGGGCGGCCGACCTTGAATTGCCAGCTAACTTGGCTTTAACCATTGTCTGCTGTTGTTTTGATACTGTCTGTGCTTTTGAGCTTAAAAATAGAACTGATTGGTAAACAACAGACCCAAACGGAAGTATTTTTTGAATCTGTTGTGTGTGATTCAATGCAGACATTTTCCTTGGTGCCTTTCAAACGATTCTTCCAATGCGTCATTCAAGCCCGCATCTGATTCATTTTTGCGGATCGGCCACCGAATGTCACTTGGAAAAGATGATTCAGGGCGCGGTCTTTTGGTTTCAGTGTGACCCCATTATAACTGAAACCCAAAGTCATCGAAAATTCGTGGTGGTTTACTTATTTCTGTATATTTTATTCGTCTTACTCGTCGGAGATATGCACTTGGCGTACGAGTAGTTGCGTTGCCTTTAACAGCTGTTTGTTTTGTTAATAAGCAGCCTTGCTTATCTGGTTAGCCATGAAGCAGGTTAAATGTTTTAAATTGCTATGTTTTGTGGTTATTTTCGTATTCAAATTGAGATTGCTACTGTCTGAAAAACCTTTGGCGCCACGGACGGACCCTGCGATTGTTGGGATTATTTCCTCAACGCCTCTCAGAGTCTTAAATCCCATCGAATCTATAAATATCTATGCGATCTGCTGGGCGGCTGTACTTCCATCGTATTTATCATCACTCTCTTGGCCCTATCCTATTCGAAACATCTGGAGGCAATTGTTCAGGCATTGGTCTGTGTGGTGTTTTTGTTGTATGCCAAACAGCTTCACTCGGTGGCGATTTCATATTCGAGTGGATTTGGGTATTTCGGTTTTGTTTGGTTAGTTTATGTCATTTATCATCCAATTGTTTACACGATTTGAAGTTTTTGTTTTGCTTCAAAGAGGAGAAAGCATTCGGAAGAAGATGAGCAGCAAACAAACTAATTTTTCCCACTTCTCCTCGTCTCATTCTTCTTTCGGTTCAATCTAGAACAAAATGGCGTCTGGGGGAAGCTTTTTACCAGTGTTGTTTGTTCAAGTGCTTTTTGTTTAGGTTTTCATTTGTTGTTCGACTTTTAATCGCAAGTTTTTGGGAAAGAACCAGACGGGGCTGGCGGAAGTGTGAAGTGATATTCCAGCACTTAGTGGAAGCTGAAGTTTGCTTTTTGAGTATTTATGAACTATATGTAGATTTCATGTTTGATCTGTCGTAAGACTTGAAATAATTTGCCTGCAAGATAGTTGTACATTTTTATGTATATCTCGATCTATTTACGTGGTTTGCCTTGAGGCCACCCGTCCCGTCCGCCCACAGCCTTGTGTCGGGCGCGTCTCGAATGAAAATGTGTCGCTGTTGAGGTCGATCGGTCACTCAAAATAAAATGTATTCCAATGTCATCATCATCATCATTAGCAGGTTTATGGACGATACAAATTGTTCTCGTACCACTGTGTTCGATCCACACAGGTGTAAAAATGTGCAGGTTTTCGGTTGATTTCCCCCACCAGTCAGTCAACAGAGTTCGTTGAAACGTATTGAACACGAAAATAACACAACAAAATAACAACAACAACAAAAACAGAATCAGTCAGAGAAGTGCATTGCACTGTGCATGCATGCTAAACCCCCATTTCATTAATCATGCCATTTTATTTTTGAAACACTGTAATAATATTTTACTTTTTTTAATTGTGCAAACAAACAAAAACCTTTTGCAGCGAGTAAGTTTATTTTGAATATAGCCAAAAAAAGAAATCGTTAAAGCGTCAAGCTAAAAAATAAATAAGAAGAAGCTCTCTAAACCGAGCTTTGAAAAATACATACAAATAACTGTAACTGTAACAGTAACAGTGTTGAAAAACAGTGCTGGCCCAAGCGCAAGTGTTTCATTATCGTGACAAGCATTGAGCGAACACATAATAAACCGTAATTTCAAGCGCTTTTGCCCCTGCATTCAGTTTTTCGCTATAGATATTTCTCTCTCAAGAGAGAGATACATACAACAACAACTGAAAGAGATCAGCGTACGCCAGACAAAATCCGACTGATACGACAACAATAATCCATTTAATCGTTGCTATCGTTAAATTGTCCTTTGGTACACTGCCTACTAAAAAAAATAAAAGTTGTTGTCCAGCCATTGTTGAGGGTGTTTTTGTTTGTTCTCTGTTTGCAAATTGTTGAAAGAATTGCATTAAGGTCACAGAGCTGCTATATCTTAACCGTATAGCCAGAAGAGTGCAACGCATATCCGTTTCTCAACGGAATCCTGAGCCCTGCGACCAGTGTGTGCATTACAAGTAGCAAACAGTTAGTTTTATTTTCGGTAGCGCGTCAGTTTCCATACTGCTCTCTCAGAGAACGAAAGAGAGAAGCGCCAGGTGTTTCCTTTGTTGTGTACAATATACACCAACAAATTCGAGCTGTAGATTGAGAGTGAGCTTTCTTTCGAGCGAGAGAGATAGTATCATTCGCTGATATCGCCCTCAGATTGGGAAGCTTGAAATTGTTGTTCCTTTTTTAAGAAAAAATTGAAAAAAGCTGAAAATAAAAGTCAAACAAGCGAGAGAGAGAGGACTGCGAGAACGAAAGCGAGACATCCTGCTCATTTCCACTTCTCCTCCTCCTCATACGCATATTGTGTGTGGCCTAGTTTTCTTTTGCAACGGCACTTTTTTTTGCTGTGTCCCTTTCTTGCTCGCCAGAGACAGAGAGAGTCACTCAGAGAGTGTGGTGTTACTACGTTAACTATATAAAAAACCATTTCCTTGAAACCACAATTCGAAACCTTAAAACCACCAACACAGGTACTAGGCCAGCCCTCACAATGTCTGTCCCTGTACGCTACTCTGCTGCCGCCGAATACGCCGCCGCCGTTGATAGTGGTTTGGAGAATACTCTACAACAAGAAGAGCAATACCAATACCAACAACAGCAACAGCAAGACCACCAGCAGCAGCCACCTACCAACCACTACGGGCAGGAGTACCAATACCAATACCAGTACCAACAGGAGCAGGATATCGAGTACTATTGCCAGTTGGAGGCGGTTGAGCGGCAGCGGCAGCAGCAGCAGTTGATGCAGCAGAGGACATCGATGTCGTCGTCGGTTATGTCAGGATTCGCCTTGCACCCAACCAGCAGCAGCAGCAGCAGGAACAACATGGACGCCAACAGCATTAACGCCATCCTGGTCGATGATGAGCAACCCTCGACATCGGCCCAGGCAGCGGCTGCAGCTGTTCTTGCCGGCAGCGGTAATGCTACCGCCGCCGGTTTGGCTTCGGTTGGGGGCAAGATGGGGAATGTCATGGACCACAATGCAGAGATGCCAACTGATTGGATGAGGATTGCGGACGAGGGCCGGTACGGGACCCCGGGTGCTGCTGGCTTGGAATATCAGAAGTACGATCAACAACAACAACAGCAACAGCAACAAGAGCAATTGGAACTGGATCTGGAGGCCGAGGCAGGAGCAGTCGGCGGCAATGAACCATCTTCCTCGAAGAAGCAGCTGGAGGATCAACTGCACGCTCTCACCTCCGACGAGCTCTACGAGACTCTCAAGGAGTACGATGTCCTGCAGGACAAGTATCACACAGTCCTCCTGCTGCCCAAGGAGTCGAGGGTAGGTCCAGACGAGATCTGCTCCCCACCCCCTGAAGCTCAACAGTTCCCCTTTCTCTTCCAGCGCGAGGTGACTGCCGGAGGACGTGACGGATCCGCGTACGTGCTGCGCTGCCTGAAGATGTGGTATGAGCTGCCATCCGATGTACTCTTCTCGGCTATGAGCCTGGTCGATCGCTTTTTGGACCGCATGGCTGTCAAGCCTAAGCACATGGCCTGCATGAGCGTGGCCTCCTTCCATTTGGCCATCAAGCAGCTGGACTTGAAGCCCATACCTGCCGAGGATCTGGTTACAATATCTCAGGTGAGTTCCTGGAAACCCTTACTCCAAAAGGAGCTGGCTTTAATGTTGATCTTGTTGTACAGTGTGGTTGTACCGCTGGCGATCTGGAACGCATGGCTGGCGTGATTGCCAACAAGCTGGGTGTCCAGATGGGACATGCACCAATCACATCCGTGAGCTACCTGCGCATCTACTATGCCCTCTTCCGCAACCTGGCGAAGGAGATTGGCGGCGATTTCTTCAAGTTCTTCCAACAGCTGATCAAGCTGGAGGAGCTGGAGAACCGCCTGGAGATTCTGTTGTGCGACGTGAAGACCACCGTCATCACGCCCTCAACCTTGGCCCTGGTGCTCATCTGCCTGCATCTGGACTTCCACATCAAGGAGTCGTACACCCGCGGCAGTCCCGAACTAAAGCACGTCTTTGAGTATATTCTCTTCCTGCAGCAGTACATGAGGGTGAGTGTTTGTCTAGACGCGGCATTTCAGAGATCTTTGGAGTGCGCATTTATAATGATTTTTTGTTATCCCTTTTCTTGTAGATTCCCGATCGCGTTTTCACCTGCGGCTTTAGCATTGTTTCGGGCATTCTGTCCCACTACAATGGTCAGAACAAGGCGCCCTACAAGCAACGGCTTGTCTGGAAGTTGTCCAGTCGCACGCTGCGCGTCTTGCGCCCGATCAATCGCTTCTCCTCCGACCTGCCCACCATTGAGGAAGGCATTTCCAATGCCCTTGACGATGGCCTGCGTTCAAGGTGAGTTTTCATTTCTAATAACAAAATTTCCCATCAAGGTTGGCCCTTTCCACCTTCCAATCTGATTTCTCCTGCAAAACATGGCCATAGAAATTGTATTTTTAGTGTTTTTCCTTTTGTTGTTGATGGTTTGACACACTCACGCATACATGCATGTAGGATTTATATGTGTGTGTATATACGATCCCAATATGTAAGCGAGCGTATGAACGTTTTTTGGCGTAAACAAGTTTCTAGAATATTAGCGATTCCATTATCAGGCACGGCACCCAAAATATCAACAACAAAACAGCCTACGGTGTCATGAGACTTGTTGGCTCGTTCGACCAGCCGTCTCCGCCCCATACCCCGCCCCCACACCTCTGCTTAGCTCATAGACCTACATTATGTCGGTGTGTGCGTGCGCGTGTATACGTATGTTTTTTGTTTTTTATTTCGGCAACAATCTTATCGAATCGAAATAACAGCACACGCACGTAAACCCCTGGGCTGTCCGGGAAACGGGAGGAGAGGAGAGTATATCAACTTCCCGAAGGGAAAAAAGAGTAGTAATGAAAGCAAATGCAATTTTAAATAGTTTTAGAAACTATCAAAGAACGTTACAAATGCTAGAAATGTTTAGGAATTTATGCAAAATGATTTCTTAAATTAACATCCCAAATGTCGACATTTTTATGCTACTTTTAATGGTCTAAAATACCTCAGGATTGGTATATAACTTTTAGACTTTCATAGCAGATCTCTTCCCATTTTAGATGCGTCTGTATGTACTATATACAGCGTATGTGTATTGGCTTTAGCGTCTGCTTCCGTTCGCAATGATATAACACACCCGAATAGACAGCTGTTGATGTCTGTGTCCTTGAATTCTAGCAATGAACTTAGAATGCATGTTCAATGTCAATGAATGTATTCCTCTTTCTTTTTTGCCAGCTTTCTTTGTTGCCTTTTCTTTCTCTTAATTGCTATCTTATCTTATACTTTAGTCAAATGTTTTTTCGAATCGTTAGTCATAAACATTCGGAGAGTTCAATGCACTATTCGGAGGCGACTTTTGTATACGTGAATATTGCAATTGAGCGAAAGGCTTGGCAAATAATCAGCTGATACGAATGGAGTGGGTGGGTGGGGGAGAGACCTTCGACTTGAACTTGAACAGGGGCCCCCATTTAACTAATTGCCCCGTTTTGTTGTGGCCAATCAATCAAATGGTGTTGCACAACGAACAAATTTTTGAACTATTTTTCGCTACTCTTTTTGCAGAACCGAGAGCATTAGCTCTGAGGAGGAGGAGGACTGGCCGACTTCACCCATAATTCCAATATTCGAACAATGTTAGTATCCAGCCACCCAGCAGCACCCCACACTGCAAGACAACAGCTGGAGCAGGATTGAGCCACGGAACGGAGACGGAGGCGCACGCGGGCACATCGCGCACACACATTCAATGGAGCCGCCATCTTCCTAGAATGCAAGGCAGCGGCAGCAGACACACATATATCCCCCTGCCTTGGAAGAAGAGAGACCAAATGATAAGCTGCAGACAGAACGCAATTGTGTGTGTGTGTGTGTGCCAGTGTGTGGATTGAGTGAGCGTTTCGTGTGCGTGCGTGCATAGAGGAAGATAGAGAGGTGATTGAGAGAGTGTGTGTATATTTTGCTAAACTGCATCATAATTCTTTTGGCATATACATATATATAATTACCGCTGGTTCTAACATTTAAGAAACAATTGAGTTTTAGGCGGAGAGCGAAAGGTAGCACATCCTTGCCTCCTTATGCTAGAGCAGGTTGCCAGAGTTGCGTCGCCAGGCGCACGTTAGAGAGGCACCTATTTTTCAATTTATTTGCGGCAGACAAAAAAATACGTGAAAAAAAAACAAAAGAAAAAAAATTACAAAAAAAAATAAAACAAAAACGAATGCTGCGGACCATCATACAAAAGATTGATGCCGTTCCGGATCATTATTTGAGATCAGAGAGAAGGAGGAAACGATTGCAGAGTTGCCAGCCCCAACAAAAAAAACAAGACCAGACTCTGGAATGGGAATGCAATTTTTTGGTGGTAACGCTAGAACCGCAAAAAAAATATATCAAAAAACAAAACATTACAAAAAAAAAACATCAAAATCATCAAACACACAAAAAACCAATTAGTTTTAAAATCTTTATGTTCTCCCCATGTTTGTGCCGCTCTTATTCGTTCTGTTATACAATCCCCAATCAAAGGACCCACAAAAACACCAACAAAAAAAATCATAAAATCTTAAAAAAAAAGTACAAAAATTCTCTATGTATAGACAGACCGATATCCATAATTTTAGCCGCGCTCAAAAAACAAAAAAGATGAAGAAAAAAAGATCGGTAGAAAAAACTATACAAAAATATAATTCGCCGCCTATATTGACTAAGAACTCTTAACAATAATAATACCAATTAAATTAAATCAATTATGCAAGGAGAAAATCCACGATATTGTACCAGTAGTGTGTGTCTAGTAGATTTTTCTCTGTATAACAAAAAAGAAAACCAAACCATTTGCCGCCCGAAAAGAAAATACAAATATCTTTCATTATCATGCGATTCTGTGAGGAAATCTATTATTATAGAACAGTTTTTTCTGAGAGACAGCTTCGGTCCAGGAATCAAACAATCACTAAATCAATCAAATTTATTGATGTTCGAAAACGAGCATAAACACGGTGATCCTTTTTTATATTTTACCCCTAACTATATTGTACGAGAATCTACACTTTCTTTTTTGTTATATAATATTATTTAATTTATTAAACGATTTGTAAAAACTATGCAAAAACAAGACCAACAAACATATGGGGTAGTATATTAAATATCAGCTAAATCTTAGTTTACGAAAACCAGCAAAATTCGAACCGCAGACAAAACCGAAATTCAAATCAATCTTGAAGCGCGGCGAACTTTAAGCAGAAATTATGATGCATTATTTAGCAAGATGTACAGAGAGATATATGTAGAAGGAAAAGTAGAAAAGAGAGCGTGTGTGGAGAGCATAGACAGACATAAAAGAAAAACTACCGCAGATGAGATCAATTTGATCAGAGAAACATAAAAACGATCTGAAATTTTACAAATTCTTTTTTTTAACATCTTTCCCCCGAAAAAGGGGCTTTCACATAGGATCCTTGGATCCGACACTTTTTCTGTAAATTTAAATAAAATGCGCTTGCCACTGTGTCGGCCACAGTGGCAGACACTTTTCAATGAGTATTTACAACAAAATCCAATGTTTTATTTAACTTTGTTTTTTGCGTGTGCGTGTGTGTATGTGTGTGTGCAGCAAGACGCGGACCGGGATCATCTCCCACACCCCAAAGTGCAGCTAACGAGTCCAGCGAAATGTGAGTACCACCATCCATCCACACCCCAACACCAACCGATACGTGATACACTCGGATGACAAATGTAAAATAAAACCTGCGGAATTTGCTGTAAATATTCCTTTGTTTAAACTTTAAACGATCCCCAGCAATCCCCAACAGTTGTGCAATAGACTCGTATTCCCCCTAGTACATTTCCTCTTCTTGGCAATACTCAGTTTTGAGAAAGTTCAGCTCTGTAATGGAACACACCGTCTACGTCAAGCGCTGAAAATAGGTGAAAGCGAACTTACTTTACCCATACGTATATTTAAGCGAAAGATAAATGTGTTCAATTGCCTGGCAAATCACCACAAGCTGAGAAACAAAACAAACAAAAACAAAAGCAACAAGATGTGAAATCAATTTAAGCTTAGTCTAACTTTTTGTAAGGGCAAACTGACAAATAAGCGAAATGATGAAACCGATGATACGGGATCGGATGCGGAAGATTAGAGCTAAGTTTTTTGTTTAAATGCCGTCGACTGCCACCATGCCACGCCCCCGCTGTGCGGCTGGTGGGCGGGCTGAGATTTCAAAAATACTTGCATGTATTTCGTATTTTTAAAACTAGCAAATTTTAAATTTTATTTAGCGCGGAGTTAGTTAAATATTTGCAATCAACAACAACACGAAAAAATCTCAATTATTATACAATTATTTTATGTTGAAAGTTCAAGGGGAAAAGAACAAAACCCCTGTACTAAGATCCAACACACATGTCTATTTATAGGTATACTTTTTAGTTTTATCATTTCCTCATTGGAAAAGTTTGAGCTTAATTTTTGCGAGAGCATTGGTTGAGGTTTAGCCTTAGGTTTAGTTACGAATTTTAACCGGACGCAAAGTGAAATCATTCTGTACATTATGAACCATTCATTTTAATTTATTCGAATTCACGGCCTGTAATTAGGTTTTAGTTTAAGTGGCGTCCCAAAAAAATCATGAACAAATGGATCATTGTGTTAAAACAAAAATAACGTTGTTTGAAAACAACTGATAATCGTGATTAAAATCATTGTACACACATTACAAAAAATAAATGGAAAAAAGTATTATTAAATCGTAACCAATATCAGTTTTTTTTTTGTCTTAGTCTTTTCAGCACAATTTCAAAAGTTTGTCAATTTGCATTCGATTTCGATAAGATGTAACTGTCGATAGTCATTGCTGGAAAATGCGTCGAATAACCATCTACGGTTGCTCGAAGATTTAAGATTGACATTGTGTACATATATCAAAGAATACTTGGAAGCGTTTCATATTTTTAATTCGTTAATCTGATAAAATTATGTCTTCAGGGCTGAGGACGAATTGGAGTTCCGATCATGGACAGAGAACAGTTATGCCGACATTGCCGACCAGTGGGTGCCAAAATATTCCTAACGAAAATTATAAATCTTAAAGAATTTAAGCGCAGCTCATTTTTTTTTTGTCAAGTAAAGAGAAAGGATAAGATGGATCTACAAAAAGAATTAGTAGTATTATTTTTCGCGGCTTAACTCAGGCGGTTTTCCTGTTTCAATAAAGGGGGCCTAAGTGGGCTAAGTACAGGTGAAAGATATCGTGGTTTCTTTTAAGTTCAGAAGACAGATGGCATAAATCTTCAAGAAGAATTTACAACCGTCAATATTTTCCGCCATATACCTCAAGTAGTTGAACTATTTATATATAGGGGGGGGGCTTAAGTGGGCTAAGTTCGGTTTTTCATAATACGCTATATTGGTGTTGAGGAACCAAAATTGAGCCAAAATCCAATAGAAGCAGGTATTTAAAATATGCCAGTGAAGTAGAAAAAGAATTAATTAATGGGATAATATCTAGATATCCCACGGAATATCAAAAACGAGGAATATGTAAAACAGAACTTGAATTAGTCAGTATATTTACGGTTTTTTTTTAACGATATCTCCGCGGTCACACTGCTAGTGCGCGGCATATAGAGCTGGAGAAACATCGATGTTTGCGGACATCGATGTTTACGATGTTTTGGGAGCAAAACATCGATGTTTTTTAAATAAAACTTATAAACTTATACTGTATGGTTAGTGGTTTTATATATATATATATTTTATAATATGTATCTACGTAAAAAAAATTTTGTAATTTTTGTAAACAGTAAAACATAAAATTTACGAATTATAAAAACCATTTTTACACTACGTTGCGTTATTGAGTTTTTGATAAAACTCAGTTTTTTTTACATAGGATAAGCATGGGGTGGTCTAGTGGTGACAAAAAGTTTAGTTATGGTTGCTTTTCAGTTACGTTTGTTCGATTTTCCTAATGTTTTCTCCCTGTTCTGCCTATCGCTGTGGCTGAGGGAAAAGGAGCAAAATAAATCCTTCAAGCTAAAAGTATTAGCTTATAATTTTAATGATTTTTATGATTAGATCAAACATATTAATAATAGTGTAAATGATAGATGTAAAAGATGCTTCTAGTGTAAATCTAATCAAATCTAAAAACATCGATGTTTGAGAAAAAACATCGATGACATCGATGTTAACATCGATGCTTCTCCAGCTCTATCGACATAACCTCCTTTTCTAAATAAATTTTGTGCTGTGTACACGTGTTCTCCACAATGGCACCCGTCGAAAAAGCTAAGAAAGTCGCCAAATCGGCCAAGAAGGGCAAGAAGCACCCCCTCAACTCGTACCTGAAGGGCGGAATCTTGCGTTACTCCAAGGCTCAGGTGAGTAGCGTTCCAAACACATTGAAAACTCTGCAATTGAAGTTTCGCTTCGGTGTGACGCCTGGGTGACAAAGCGTGGTGGGGCCATAGGCCCACCGCATTGGATGGATATGTTTTTCTGCTGCAGCATGCTGATCGTGTGTGCTTGTTTTGATTGCAGATGTACAAGCGTCGTGCCCTGTACCGCCTGAAGGACAAGAAGAGCCCAGTGGTGCAGAAGGAGAAGGTGCCAATCACGAAGGTGAAGAAGATCGGTGGCCCCAAGAACGGCGGTGAGCGCACAGTTTTCCTGAACAAGTCGAAGGCTAACTACCCCACCAAGACCTTCGTGAAGAAGCGCGTCTCCAAGGCCAACTTCAGCGAGCACAAGCGAAACACTCGCCGCAACCTGAAGCCCGGTACCGTGCTCATCCTGCTGGCTGGTCGCCACCAGGGCAAGCGCGTTGTCCTGCTGAAGGTGCTGAACTCCGGCCTGCTCCTGGTCACCGGACCCTTCGCCCTCAACTCGTGCCCACTGCGTCGCATCTCCCAGCGCTTCGTCATCGGCACATCGTCGCGTGTGGACTTGGGCTCGTACAAGGTGCCCGAGCATCTGAACGACGGCTACTTCCGCCGCCTCAAGGCCAAGAAGGACAAGAAGTCCGGTGAGGCCGACATCTTCGCCGCTAAGAAGGAGCGCTTCGTGCCCAACGAGCAGCGCAAGAAGGACCAGAAGGAGGTGGACGGTGCCCTGCTGAAGCTCATCAAGGCCCATCCCCAGGGTAAATACTTCGCAAGGTACTTGCAGAACATGTTCGCCCTGCACTCCTCCCAATACCCACACCGCATGCGCTTCTAAGCGGTGGACCACCATGCAACTTCAATTTAAGGATTTTTAAATACTTTGTACAAGCCCGCTGGTTACAAAAACAACAACAAGATTTGTAAAATAAACATTACAAAATGGAACACTCTGTGTCGAGGTATGAAAGAACTAAGTGCGTCTCATTTATTTTCAGTCGCCTTTGGGTTTGCATCGGTCTCCTTGGTATCATCTGGGTATTGCGGGTCCAGTTTGAGGGCCGCCAATAGCTTTCGTCTGCCATGGACATACAAAAGCATTTCGCGATACGATCGTGGCAGCACTTCGTCCACAATCTTGTCGGCCTTGTAGGTGAGGTAGAAGATATTCGTGGTCCTGTCCTCGCCACTCTGCACATCCCAGATGTGGGCCACCGTCATCAGCTGCACATAGTTCTTGTTCGTGTACACCACATAGGCGGTCATCTGCAGGAACGTGTTCACCCTCACGGGGCTCAAGAAGCTAATGTCGGAGATGCAATGGAGTATGGGACGGCCGCGCAGATAGATGCTAGCCATGATGAAGCTAATCTCGACGGCCTGCCGCATAATATAGCCCCCGAATATGGTATTCTGGGCGTTGCGATTCTCTGGGAATGGGGATATCATGGTGGTTTGCTGCGAGTCCTGCATCCATCGGCACTTGGGGGGCAGGACGCGGCGATTGAGATCCATGTTGTCCGGTATGGTGGTGCGCTTGAGCAGGTTATACATAATGGCCTGCTCGTGTTCGCGCGGCGGAGAGTTGAGCACCGATTCGGTATGCGCTGCGCGACGCTGCTTCTGCCGCTGCTCGGCCTCCTTCCAGATGGCTTTCTCCGTCTCGTCGGCTGGCTTCAGGGGATTAACGGGGGCCGAGCCCGTGTTGGTGGCATTGCGTGCCACCATCAGAAAGAGGGCCCTGGTCACATCGATGTACTCGCCATCCGCCAGCTGCTGCACATAGATGGTGGTCTCCATGGAGCTGCGGCCCGTCCACGAAACGTGCCCACTCAGATGAATGTCATAATTGGCCTTGAGTCGCTCAATGTTGCTGAACTCCACCTTGTCCACGAGCAGCGTGACAAACGTGTATGGCAGCGGTACGTCCTTTGGGAGATTGGGCAGCAGCACATGGCGGTGACACAGCCACACTGCCATCATATCCAGCTCCTCCATGACACGTCCCATGCGAACCCTACCCAAATAATTGACATACCGCTCCCGTATATATTCATCCGAGCCGAGAGGCAGCACGACCGTGGTGTGGGAGTCCAGCATGCTGCGTGTCGGTAGGTCCTCGAGTTTTGGCTGGTACTTTAAGAGATGATCACGCGGCTTGGGCACCGTATTGTAGCCGAAATCAACATCTACCCGTTCGCGGATGCTCTTCACGACTGTGCACAGATGGAGGATAGGACCTTTGAGAGACCACTCTTCATTCCACTTTTGTCAGTACTTGTACTCACCATCTGCTAGGTTTCCCGAACAGTGATCGGATGTCAACTTGACGGGGGAATCCTCTGATTTCTTCGTTCCATACTGACTGCGATTGTGACTGGCAAGGAATGCGCAGGGCATTAACCGTCCTCTGGTGGTGTTTCTCTTTGCCAGAATTCTTCCCGCTCCACGAGCTATCAGACGATGCATTTTTCCGAGTAGTTTGCCTTTTGTTTGCTTGACACTGCCGTCTCGCCTGCTTGTTGAAAAACTATCACGTAATAAACACAGAACACATTTGCAAAAAGAGAACTTGCAGTGCGCCCAGCAGGTGCAATGCAATACCTCAGAGAGTGGGAGAGACGGTGAGCACGTTGAGCGTTTCATTGGTAGAGCAGAAATTGACGTAGATGTTGCCTCAGCAGAGGGCCGCGCAGGGAGATCTAGTGCGAATCTAATCGCACATCTGAATGGGAAAGTTTTTTGGGCCCACAACAGCCTCTGTACGGCACTGGACGAATTGTTATCAGATTAGAGGATTACATTTAATTAACACATTGGAGAGAGAACAGGGAATATCAATTATTATCTCATATCATATCATATCATTTAGCCTCGGTTAATTATCATTGGGTTATGTATTACTACAGAAGTCTACTTCAGACCCATGCTGGCCTCAAACTTGCGGCGTCCCTGGATGTACCACATGGTCTCGTGGTAGGAGCGTGGCAGCACCTCGGTGACTGTGTCCGGCGCCGAGAAGGTGTAGTAGAATGTGTTTGTGGTGACCTGATTGCCCGTTTGCGTGTCTAGCACATCCGCCACGGTCATGATCTGCATATAGTTGAGGCTCGTGTAGACCACATAGGCCGTCATCTTGATGAAGCTGTCCACACCCACTGGCTTCTCGAAGCTGATGTCCGAGATGTGCTCCAGCTTGGGCCGCTTCTTGCAGTAGAGGAAGGCGGCCGCCCAACTTATCTCGCTGGCGCTACGCATCAGGAATCCCCCAAAGACTCGGTTATGGTGATTCCGATGCTCCGGGAACGAGGGTATGGTGCTCATCTGGTACGAGTCTGACATCCAGCGGCAGTTGGGCGGCAGAATGCGCTTGTTCAGCTCCAGAGTGGTGCCTGGCGTGGTCCGTTTGTACAGCTGATACATGAGCGTCTGCTCGGGATCGTTGGGCTCCACATTGAAGACGGACTCTGCGCAACGGATCTGGCGCTGACGCTTACGATCTTTGCCTCCGGCCAGGATTACCTTCTCCTCATCGTTGGCCGGCTGAATGGGGTTGACTGGAGCCGCCGCGGTGTTAATAGCATTCCTGGCGGCCATCAGGAAGAGAGCCCGCGTCAGTTTCTGGTAGCTGCCATTCACCATTTGCTCCAGCCACACCACAACCTCAATGGAGCTGGTGCCCACCCATGAGACATGACCAGACAGGCGAATATCCTCGGTGCCGGAGGCCCTCAGCTTGGTGAAATCGATGCGATCCACGAGTATGGTCACAAACGTATATGGAAGATGCACACCCTCCGGCAGATTGGGCAGCTTCAAATGCTTGTGACAGCACCAGGCTGCAAAAGATGGAAGGTTGAGCAAATTTATGGTCCTTTTGATGGTTTCCCCACGTACCAGCAAACATGTCCATATCCTCCAGTAGCCTGCCCAAGCGCACACTGCCCAGATAGTTCACGTACTTGTCCTGCAGTGTACGGTCCGTGCTCAGGGGTAGCATGGCCGACGTGAATGAGTCCTGCATGGCGCGTGCCGGCAGATCCTCCAGCTTGGGCTGATACTTGAGTAAATGCTCGCGCGACTTGGGCAGCGGATGATAGCCCGGCTCCAGGCCCAATCTCTTCATCATCTCCAGCTTGACTACAATGGAAAATCCTGGTGTGACAATGCGTTCACAAAGAATATGGCACAGTTTTTCTTACTCTCGGCCATGGTGCCAGAATCATTGGCCACCGCCGATTGCTTGATGTGCGTCGGCGGTGAGTAATGCCGTCTGCTGGGAGGGAGATACACATCTGATTATAGCTGCAAATCTTTCAAGATTTTCGTTATCGATTCGACTCTCACCTGGACACAGTACAGACAGCGGGCGACACCTCGAAGCTATGTCTGGTCTGGCCAGCAGCTCTGCTGACCAAACCCCAGCACTTTCGTGCTCCCAACAGCGAACGCAGCATTTTTATATTTCTTCAAATCTACACTTTTTTGTCTGCCAAAAATTCCACCGCCTGGAAGAAACAGCTGATAGGCACAGTGGGCCACAATCGAATGATTTAAGAATGGCACCCAAAGCGTATTCTGAGCAGGACCTAGACCCAGCAGGAATACAAATAAATTATATATATAGCAGGTTTCAAGCTAAGATTTACCATTTGTACGTAAATAATTGAATTGTGCTTGCTTTTTCCAACCAGTGCTTCCACTGTGCAGCGATAGCGATAAATATGACGTCATCGGACAGGTTGTTAATTTTAAATTTGAAAATCAAATTTTTCTCAATTAACACAATTTGCAGCTCTTTGGGTAAATCATTGGTAATTGGTAATTAAACTTAAAATTGCGAGATGTTAATAGGGGAATGACGCTCCAGGTCGATACTGGAGCTGCATCGAACAATAACTGTCAAACTAACTGTCACTTGGCCTATTAGGTCTTGTCAAATTTTATTTCCAGCTCGACTCACTAGATTAAAAATATTTTAAGGAAAGATTTGGAAAAAAAAAAAAAAAAATAGTAATGCAGTCGCCAGTACCAGTTCTCGTTGCAGCCAGCAGTGGCGAGAAAGGGCTAAAGGGCATTGTGGCCGGAGGTATTACTGGTGGGCTGGAAATTCTCATCACATATCCCACGGAGTTCGTGAAGACCCAATTGCAGCTGGACGAAAAGGGGGAAATGAAGAAGTTCAATGGAATCGCCGACTGTGTGAAGAAAACGGTCAAGCAGAATGGATTCTTTGGCCTCTATCGAGGCTTGAGCGTCTTGCTGTTGGGCAGCATACCGAAAAGCGCCGCCAGGTAAGCAGGAGGAGCCTCTTATACGGATATAGATTGATCATTTGAATGGACACGACTGCGGATAGGTTCGGTGCCTTTGAGTTCTTCAGCAATAAGATGCGTGATGAGAGTGGCGAGCTGACCATGACAAGACGCTTCTTTTCCGGCATGCTGGCTGGCATGACCGAGGCGGTGGTGGCCGTCACACCCATGGAGACAATCAAGGTGCGCTTCATCAACGATCAACGAAGCGCAAAGCCCAAGTACAAGGGACTGTTTCATGGTGTGGGCCAGATCGTCAAGACTGACGGTAACTATCATTAGGATTATCATAGACGTATATATTTAATTGCCACTCTGTTGCTGTAGGAATTGGTGGGATCTACAAGGGACTGCCAGCCACTGTGATGAAGCAGGGCTCCAATCAGGCCATTCGTTTCTTTGTGCTCTTTTCGCTTAAGGACTTGTACACTGGCAGAGACAAGACAAAGACGGTGCCAAAACCGTTGGTTGGAGTGTTTGGAGCCATTGCCGGTGCCGCATCGGTGTTTGGTAATAATCCCCTCGATGTGGTCAAGACACGAATGCAGAGCCTGGATTCCGCCAGATACAAGAACACACTGGACTGCGCCATGCAGGTCCTACGTCAGGAGGGTCCCATGGCCTTTTACAAAGGAACAGTGCCGCGCCTGGGCAGGGTCTGTCTCGATGTGGCTATTACATTCATGATCTACGATACGATCATGGATGTGTTTAATTTGTTTTGGAAATAAATCGTATTATTCAATGTATTATTATTATTATATTTCCATGAGAATAGAAGGATAAGAGAGGGATACATCCACGCCTAGAGCTTCAATTCTTTGAGGGCAAAGTTAAGCACAACAGGCAGCAGGCCAGCCTCTTCCAAATCCAGTATCTGTTGCCGTAGATTTTCCCCTTGGCGGCTAGCAATTAGCTGCAAATACATTCACATTTAAAGACAGTTCTCTTGCTATAAATTGACAATAGTAAACCCACCTTTTTGATCTTTTCGCGTTGCTCTGAGCTCTGACAGAAGCTGAGTATGGCCGCTGCCATGTGGGGTCGATGAATCAGGATGCACAGCTCGGCAAACTGTATGAGATTCAGGGCATGCACCACTGGGCAGCCTTGCAGCCGCAACAGGGTCTTGTTTAGCTGCTCTTCCTGGGCAAAGGAACGCGTCTGCACGGCATTCTTCAGAGGATGACAGAGCACATAGTCCCAGGCCAGAGCCAGTCCATCCAGATGCAGCAGCTGTGGCTTACAACTGAGTACATCCAGCAGGGCATTCAGTTCGCGCAGCATGTGAAACATCACCATACGCTTGAGGATGCCGTTCCAGATCTTGGGCAGATGTATATCGAAGCCCAGACAGATGTTGGCCATCACCTCAAGGGAGAGCGGATTCTCAGCATTGCGCTGCCATATAAACTTCAGAATATCGATCTTGTTGAAGTGGTCATCGGCGAACTTGTCAATGTTCGACTTGTAGCCGAGGGCCTTCAGCTCGTGGACGCACTTGATCGTGATAAACTGTCGCTGGCTGATCGTGTTCGTGAAGGAGTTGCTGCCATCGTTGAGCTTCGAATAGCACTCGTACATCTGCAGCTGGGTGGAGGTGTTCACGGAGCTATCACAGATAGAGGTAGAGAGATCTTGCCATATGTTCCATAAATACTAAATGTTATATGTTCTTCTTACCCTCCCTTGAATATCAGGCCCACCAGAAACTTGACCGCCTCCGATTTGGGCCAGCTGCTGAGTATGTAAAATGCACGCACCACATTCTCGCTGGCATCATCGTTGCTGCTGCTGCCATTGCTGCCGTTGGTGTCGCCTCCACCGTTCTGATCGGACCAGTTCTGATCTTCCATAAATGTCTCCTCCAGCATAGTGCTATCCGCCGGCTCCATGGTCACCGAGAGCCACTTCTGCAGCAGACGGAACTGTATGGAGCCCAGATTGAGATCGTGCAGCTTGGCTATCTCCGTGACCAAGGCATTGATGTCCACCTTGCTGGACTTGATGATCAGCTCGTGGTGGTAGAGGCTGTGTATCAGCTCCGTGGGATTCTCCACCAGTCGCAGCAGCTTCTCGTCGGTCAGGCCATAGATATACAGCAAGTGTTGGGTCTTCTGTATGGGATAGCGCCGCTTGACCTTGGCCACCTGCTCCTGACTCTTGGCATCGGTGATCAGATGGCCGTTCTCCTTGATGAAGTTCCAGCACTCGTAGGAGGCCTCCACCATGTCCGCCCCATCGCGGGCATAGTTCGACACAAAGTAGAGTATGAGAAAGGCCTTGTTCGGATTATGCACCTTCTTGACGAGCCGCAGTATGGACTTCAGAAAGGCATTGTTTGTGGGATGCAGACTCCATGATTCCGACTCGTTCTTGGACTTGTATTCGGATATTGAATTCTTCACGGCCGACATGCAGAAGTAGTCACAGTTCTGGTTACTGTCCTTGGAGCCCTTGAGGGCCGTATACATTTGGATAAGCGGGAACCAGCTTTGGCAGTTGTCCACATTCAGTTCGCTATCTGTAGAAGGAGTCAGAATAAATAAAGAAGCCCCACTGAGGGCCGTAAACCTAGCATATTTATTTAGCCACATACCGAGTATATCCTTTAGCGGTTGCTCGACTATCGGCTTGAAGGGCAAACGATAGCGTGCGATTTTCGGTAGAACACCATTCTCCCGCTGCGATTTGAGCCACATGTCTGTCTCTAGTTGGCCCGGACGATTGCGTCGTCGCGTGATCATCTTGTGGCGCAGAAAGTGTAAGATATTTGTCCAGATCTCCATCTCTTTGGGGGCAGCATCAAAGAACATTAAGATGTTGATGACGCACATGTACAGCTCATAGAAATAGATGTTGATCTGCAAAAGAAGGGAAGGGCTTAGAGGAAGGCGAGCCTTTCTCGAGCTGAGAACCGCACCTCTTCGATAAACTGCTTTAGCTTGGAGGTAAAGAGTTCCACATTCTTGATCTCATTGATGTACGGCTGGCACATCTCCCGCATCTCCTGGGCGCTGCTCAGCATGACCAGTTCCTCGTCGCCGAAGGTGTCCCGCTTGATCTCGAACCGCAGCTCCTGGGCATTCAGTATGCTTAGAATTTGGGTGATCAGAATCTTTTGATAGTCAAAGCCAAAGTCGCGGCTCATGCGCTCCAGCAGCTGCACGTCCAGCTGCTTGTTGTGGAACTCCTTCAGCAGATGCTCAATGTTGTCCATGTCCGCATTGAACTTTCCCTTGATCCGTGGATCCTGCTGGCAGAACTCCAGGTAATAGTATAGTTTAAGGCGCCTGCAAGCAACAACAGAAGATATTTAACCAAATGAAGAGAGAAGAATGAAGAATTAAGCTTGAAAACCCACTTGGCGCGTATCATTTGCACATTGTCCGCGTCCTCAATGTGTTCGTTGTACATGGCGGAGAGCGTTAGGAAGTTGATCTTCTGCTGATCGGTCTTCACCTCCGTAGAGAGCTTCTCGAGCATGGCCACGGACTCGCCATCGGCCACCAGCATGCTGAACAGCTCGAGGAAGTTTGCATCCTTGTTGCTCATCGCATTACGGAATATCCGCCTCAGCTGCAGCGTGATGAAGCGTTCATTGATGATCCTCTTCTTTCTGCAGTTCTGCTTCTGATAGTCCAGCAGATACTGCGACATCACATACCACACATCGTGCTCCTTGGCCTTGGTCAGATACTCCAGCGACACAAAGAAGTCGGCGCGTGCCCCATCGATGTCTTCCTTGACATTCTCCGCCAGTGATTGGCGCACTTGCATCAGCAGGGAATTATTTGGCTCCGTCTCAGTAATCATCACGAGGAGAGTGCGTGCCAAGAACTTGACGATCGGCAGGCGACCACTGATGTTCCTCTGCAACAAACAGGAAATAGGAAATTGCCTGAGAGGATCAACAGAAGACTACTACCTTCTTCTGCGGCTGCTGTACTGGCTGCACTTCCACCTCATCGAACATGGACACCGAGTAGCGTTTCTTCGCTGATGGCGGCGGCAGCAGCTGCTGCGACAGAGGCTTCACATCAAACGATCCATTGAGGGCGCTCGTAAAGTTGAGCGTTGTCTCGCCCAGAGCCATTGCCGTGCCGTCCAGGGCGCGACATATGTGATCGTTGATCGTCTGCTCCTTGCCATTGTAGTACGTTGCGATGGCATCCAAGGGATAGTGAATGACAGCCACACGAATGTACTTTATGAGATCCACAAGATCCCGTCGACGGCTGCGTTCATGCAGCAAGGCAGACGTCAGCAGATCATACGCGAGGGGGAAGCTCAGGGGATCACTTTCGGTGATCAGTTGCAGCGAGGATGGAGAGTCTGCAAAGGGTGCAAAGAGATAAGCAAATTCCAGACATACTTCAGATGCACTACCCACCCTGATTGTTGCCCTTGGCCGATTCAATTTGCTGGACAATCAGCTCCAATGCCAGGTTGATGAAGTCACCGCTGTTGCCCGGCACACAGTCGATGAACTGCAGCACATGGTAGGCCAAGGCACAGCTGAGGGGCAGACATGCCACACGCTGGCACAGCCGCTGCATCCCAAACACCTTTGAGAGATCCAGGGCCGTGCAGAGTTCGCTTATTTCGCTGGCTATGAAGGCGGACACATTCAGCGTGGCCTGAGCCCGCTCAATGATCCGTTCTATGGCCTCGTCAAGGAGCTCGTGGCGCCGAAGCAGAGGGATAAGCTCGCCGCTGCAGCTCAGCTCAATGTTGAATTTCTCGCGTAGATGGAAGCGATGCTTGATGATCAGGTAGCGACGCTCGTACACAGATTCAACGTGGGGCAGGAACAGTTTAAAGAGTTCCAGGACATTCAGGTGCTCTTGGACTTTGGCTTCGTTGATGAACGACGCAGAGGAGCTGTTCTCCAGCAGATTGGCAAAGATCTCCACCACATCGCGTCGATGCTTGTCGTTCTTTTCGCTGCCCAGAGTCTTGAAGAACTCGTAGGCCATCTCGATTTGTCCCCGTCTGGCCATCTGGTAGCAGCAGTTGAAATTGGCGCTGACCGAGATCTCTGGCGCCGCCTTGGTTAGTGTGCAAATATCATCCAGCATGTCGGGGAGATTCAGCTTCACGATGCGCATCATGAACAGCTCCAGATTGATGTCCGCCGAGCTGTCTGCCGGCCAGCCGTACTTGACTTTCATGATCTTGATCACCTGTATCTCGTACTCGGCATTGATCTTCATGGCCAGCGGGTGCGTGGAGGTGCGCAGCTTGATCAGCGGCCCCAGGGCCTCGGGCCAAGGCACAGGGGCATTCTGCAGCACTGACAGGGCGCACTCCAAGCGGCTGTCCTCGTTGTGCAGCAGCTCGATGCAGGCCATTGCACGCTCCAGCCATTTACTGGACGACTGACGACTGGCCACCAGCTGGGCGATGTACTGCTTGATCACGGCCAGCGGCTGGCGTCCCTTCTCCTGGAATATGGGGTACATAAAGTCCTTCACCAGCCGCTGCAGCTTATCCAGCTGCACATGCTGCAGTATGCTCAGGGCAGTGGCATCAATCGAGTCCTGCATGTAGTTGTCCAATGTGAAGCCCATGTTGTAGTTGGTCTTCAGCACAAACAAATCCTGCAGGGCATTGACCAGGTCCCGCAGCTTTCCCACATTCCGTTCCTGCTGCCGTCGCACATCGCTGCAAAAAGGTAAACGCAGATCGTATATGGTTAATAGCTGAGGATTGTCCAGCTCCAATGGAACTTACGAATATGTAAATTGAATTTCCTCGAATATTTCCAAGATTTTGGTTGAGAACTCGAGTCCAATGTTTGGCCAATGTGTGTTGTACTGAAGTTTGCGCGTCATTTCAATGCTCCAGTCAGTTATGAATGGCATAATGCTGGGATGCGTATTGCTGACCATCGGTATAAACTGGCGTAGCCACTGGACAATGTTAAAGGGCTTCGTGTTGCTCGGTATGAAGCCGAGCAGCGTGCGCAGCTCATCCTCGTTGAGGTGCGGCAGAATGCTGCTCGAGTGCCGGCGCCAGATGAGGCAGGCCGTGGGCATATCGGTGTTGAACAGCGACTTGACCACACGCACCAAATTGTTGTCGTAGATGAACTTTTGCCAATCGCTGTTGCACTCGTACGGATCGGTGATGGCCAGAGTCTTGAGACGATGCAGTTGCTCGTCAATCTCCAGCATATCCTCTTCATCCTCCTGGAAAGAGAGTACATTTAAGAGCGAACCCACGAGCAAATAAATCCCACACTAAAATCTCACCTCGAAGCTCAAACGCTTTTGGATCTCGCGCAGATAGCGCTCTAGAATGTGTCGCGAACTCAGATTGATCATCCGATTGTTCTTAATAAACGCTTTGCTCTCAATCTGCGAGAGCAACTCTAGAAGGGTCTGGAATTTGGCATCCCCCTCGGGGGCTTTCAAATGGGAATCGGAGTTGCAGAGCTCCACCAGAATGCGCTTGGCCCTGGCCTCAAAGATCGGCTGCAGGCACAGCTCGAATTGCTTGCCAAACTCCTCTGCCTCCTCCAGCCGGCCCTTGGCCACGAGTTTCTTGAACCGATCACTGGGATCCGTCTCCGAGACGAGCATCATTTCCACCATGGAGGGCAGACTGCTTTTGTTCGCCTCCTTGGCTGCCAAATAATACAGATTTACGGCACACTTTGGCTGGCGCACTAGCCAGGCGTGCTCTGGCACTTCCACCTCGTTTTTGCATCTCAGAGCTGTAAGGATCATCAAGGATAAACCAACACATAGCTTGACAAATCATATATCTTACAAGGATACTCCACAATTTTCATTAAGCGCCCCTCGTCCGTTGGCTTGGTTAGTATCTGAAGCTCAATGCTCTCCTCGCTGCACTCCATGACGAGCAAATCCTCGATCAACAAGTTCCGACCCTGCGACGATTGGCACAAATTCACAGTGCGCGTGTACGGACAGATGTCCAGCAGATGACCGGAGGTGGTCAGAGCAATCCTAAGGCAAACAGAGAAGCAGAATAAAAGACCAAGCATACGGCTGGCTATCGTTTCCAGAACTTACACACAACCATCCAGATTGTAGATTTGCTTAAGGCTGCCATAATGAGCAGGCAGACTAATGCGGGTCACATCATTGGAATTCGTCTTGAAGTTTGCCGTGCCCAGATCCCCGTAGATGATCAAGGCGTGATCGGCACCACGAGCTTCCTGATTATTCTGTGCGGAAATGTGACCAGCCGGCGTCAGCTGCTGGAAAAGTACAGCGCAGTCGACATTTCCCGACGGGCGGCCCTTGGAAATCCGCTTGATGGTGACATCATCGAGAATGGCCTTCTCACAGGCAATCGTCTCGTTGTCATTGAGGGTTATATTCGCCACAGACTCCAAGGTGGCTTCATCAATTTCGCTCAAGCTAAAGAAGCAGTCTTCCGTCATTTCAGTCAAAAGGAATTCCTCTATGCGATGACTCACCCATAGATGCTGCCATTTTTGCAGGTGAAGTAAAATCGCTGATCGCATTGATGGATGCTCCTGAAGGTGCCACCACCCGAGAGGCTCACATCTTCCAGGTTCACGCAAACGCTGAACAGAAGCAATCCCTTGATGAACACACCATGAACTTCGCCATCGCTGAGCCCGCACACAATCAGATTGCCGCTGCTGGAGATGGCAATGGCTTCAATTTGGGAACTGAAACTGAGGAAACTGCACTTGGCCACCAGCTCGTCCTCCAGCAGCAGGAGGCTCTTGTCTATGGATATCACCATTTTACCACATTGCACTGATGCCAAAACCTCTGGGTATTTCTCGACCTAAAAATAAAAAATTTGTAGCATAGCTAACTGTTGATTCGTTTGAATTGCGGCCATTACCTCCTCCTCGCTGCTAATCCGGAACATGCCCCTCGAGGAGAACACATTCGAAATTGTCTCATCTTCACAAGGGGATGCCTCAAAGTTGCTCCACATCCTGCAGTAGTTTGTTTCGATTTTATTTAAGAAATTGCAAAAAATTTAAACAAACAGCGCCAAATAAACAAGCGTCACCCTCTCTAGGGATGGGATTCCATTGATAACACAACACGTTATCGGTAGGATCTAACAGAGGAGAAATCATTTGAAAATGTTTGCAACTATAATTTAATTAAACTGAAAATAGCCAATTAACAATCAAACAGTGTTTTTTGCATTGTTAAATACGTTTTTTGCATTAAATTGTCTTCTTATCGAGAGGCAAAGACGCATTTGCGGCTCTGGTCCCTCTTTTCGTCTTGTGGAATTCCGGCATTTTGGGTTTCAGTGAAATACGGTCACACTGGCTGGCAGGCGATGAAAATTATTTATATTTTTTCGCTCTTCCAACGCAAAAATTAAACAAAATAAACAAAGTTAGATGCATTAATGATAAAATCCGACACAGTGCGTCCCCACTGATACTCGGAAGTGTGTGCTACCTTGGACCGCGGCTCAGCTCAAATCCGCTACTCATTAAAAGTTGATGCTGCAGTAGCGCAGCAGCGGCCATCAACAAAAAAGAAAACCTCGAAACCCAATCGCGTGCAAAGTACAAAAAGTGTGTATTATTTAATAATAATTGTCGCTAACCATTATCGTGTGCTAAATATTGGGCACTATACCCCATAGTGGTGCAATTAAAGGCCAAACGCAGCGATTTGCTGCCGCGGCGGTGGTGCAAAGAGAACATAAAATCGCTGGCAAGAAGAAGAGCCTATAGTGGCGCTGTGTGAGAAAATAAAACAAAAAAGACAACACAACGCGCATTGCAGCGTCCACTGGAGGCTTCCACCAATTAAATCGGAAGTAAAATAAATGTAAAGCCAGCACGTAATTGCAATAAACGAAGAAAAAGATCCAGTGCATATTTGTTTTTGTATGCTGCAGGCCGCCGCTGCAGGTGCTGCTGCTGCTTGCGCTTGGCGCTTTCGAGACAACACGACGCTGCCAACGCTGACGACATGCGCGCGTAGAGTTGCCAGCTCCAAATTGCAAAGGTTGCCGTTGTGCCGTTGTTCCGTGGCCGTGTGCCGAGTGCCGTTTCTTGGGAATAGTTTTTGAAAATTCAGTTGTTCTTGTGCTAAGATGATTCGGTAAATATGTGGAAAATAATTGAGTATTGAACAGCCAAAAAATACTCACGCTCTGCCCTTTTGCTTAGGTCGATATGCTTTTGGCGGTCCCAGGCCGCACCAAGTGGATAACAGTCGAGTGAGAGAGCAGCAGATCAGCGATCACCGTAAAGCCAGCCACCAGCAAACATCAGCATCAGTCCATTTGACATCGGGTGCAGACCACCCGCGAGCTACATCTTATAATTTCTTCACCCCGCGTCGAGATCTCCAGCGAGGGATTGACGACGCCGCTTAGATAGAATTTCTTCCCCCCGTAGTTAAAGAAAAAGCTGCCACCATTCGGAAGAAAAATACCTCTAATATGACCCATAATCTCGGTATGGCGCCATATCGTTTGCCGGGTCCAGCAGGCGGCCTCTGTCCGCCTGACTTCAAACCGCCGCCTCCGTCGGATATCATCTCGGCGCCGAGCAATCCCAAGAAGCGGCGGAAAACATCGAATGCGGCCAACTCGGCTGCTGCGGCAGCGGCGGCGGCGGCAGCAGCTGCGGCCGCCGCTGCCAATTCAATGCAGCAACAATCAGCACCACCAACGCCGCAGGATCTGTTGCCGCCGCCGCCGATGGGCGGCTTCGGAGACACCATTATTGCCTCGAATCCCTTTGACGACAGCCCTCAGGTCTCGGCCATGTCGAGCTCGGCCGCCGCGGCGATGGCGGCCATGAACCAAATGGGCGGAGGTCCAGGACCTGGACACTTTGGCGGCGGACATCCGCATCCGCACTGGGAGGATCGCATGGGCATGGGCGGTGGCCCGCCGCATATGCATCCCCACATGCATCCGCACCATCCGGGCGGACCGATGGGTCATCCCCATGGACCCCCGCATCACATGGGCGGTCCACCGCCAATGCGTGGCATGAGTCCAATGCATCCGCATGCGATGGGACCCGGCCCTGGAGTGGGACTGCCGCCGCATATGAATCACGGACGACCTGGTCCCGGTGGCCCCGTGCCCATGGGCAGTCCCATGGGCGCCATGGCTGGAATGGGCGGAATGAGTCCAATGGGCAATATGGGAGGACCAAGCATATCACCACATCACATGGGCATGGGAGGACTCTCGCCAATGGGCGGTGGTCCGAACGGACCCAACCAGCGGGCCATGCAGGGCTCTCCCATGGGAGGAGCTGGCGGTCCTGGCCAAAACTCGCCCATGAATTCGTTGCCGATGGGCTCGCCGATGGGTAATCCCATTGGTAGTCCCCTTGGACCGCCTTCAGGTGGTCCGGGGCCGCAGCAGCAGCAGCAACAACAACAACAGCAACAGCAACAACAACAACCTCCGCAGCCACCCATGAACAATGGACAGATGGGTCCGCCCCCGTTGCACAGTCCTCTGGGCAATGGACCGACGAATCATGGCAGTCATATGCCAGGTGGACCCGGTCCAGGTCCTGGGCCTGGGCCCGGTGGCCTCGTCGGACCAGGTGGCATGTCTCCCGCCAACAACAACAACAGCGGCGGCGGCGGAGGAGGAGGTGGTCCGGGAAACAACATGCTCGGCAACAACAACAGCAACAATGCAAGCAACAACAATCAAAATCCTCATCTGTCGCCGGCCGGTGGCCGTCTCGGAGTGCCCACGTCGCTGCAATCGAATGGCCCCTCATTGTCGGCCGCCTCCTCGGCATCGGCAACGGGGTCGACGCCCACGCAAACATCGACAGCGACGACCGCATCATCGATGTCCACGTCAGTGCCTACATCCTCGCCAGCGCCGCCCGCCATGTCACCGCATCACTCGCTGAACAGTGCCGGCCCCAGTCCGGGCATGCCCAACTCGGGTCCCAGTCCTCTCCAATCGCCCGCCGGTCCGAATGGTCCACAAAACAACAATAACAATAACAATGGACCCATGATGGGCCAGCAAATGAACCCGAATGTTCCTATGCAGCAACAACAGCAGCAACAACAACAACAACAACAACAGCAGCAACAGCAACAACAACAGCAGCAGCAACAACAACAGCAGCAGCAGCAGCACATGGGCGGTCCTCCTGGTCATGGACCCGGGCACGGTCACGGTCACGGTCATGGGCACGGTCACGGTCACGGGCATGTCCATGGACATGGGCACGGCCCTGGCATGGGCATGAATCAGATGTTGCCGCCCCAGCAACCATCGCATCTTGGTCCACCGCACCCGCAGCTAATGAATCATCCGCACCACCATCCGGGTGGACCACCCCCGCCCCATATGATGGGTCCCGGCGGACCAGGCGGCGGCATGCATGGTGGACCAGGCGGTATGCCTCCCCACATGGGCGGCGGCGGCCCCAATCCCCACATGATGGGTGGACCGCACGGGAATGCAGGTCCGCATATGGGACACGGGCATATGGGCGGTGTGCCAGGACCAGGCCCGGGACCAGGAGGCATGAACGGACCCCCACACCCGCACATGTCGCCCCACCACGCACACGCCCATCCCCACCATCATCACAGTCCCATGGGTGGCCCCGGACCCAATATGTTTGGCGGCGGAGGACCCATGGGTCCTGGCGGACCGATGGGAAACATGGGACCCATGGGCGGCGGCGGGCCAATGGGTGGACCGATGGGAGTGGGACCCAAGCCGATGACAATGAGCGGTGGCAAGATGTATCCGCCTGGGCAGCCGATGGTCTTCAATCCCCAGAATCCCAATGCGCCGCCCATATATCCGTGTGGCATGTGCCACAAGGAGGTGAACGACAACGATGAGGCCGTGTTCTGTGAATCCGGATGCAACTTCTTCTTTCACAGGTAAATTACCTAGCCAGCGGAATCTGCATTAGAATCATTAAAGGGTTTCCCCGTAACTAAACCTGAATTTTTGTGTTCTCTCTCTACTTTTTCTTCTCTACTTTCTCTATAATCTCCAATCGCAGAACCTGCGTGGGGCTGACCGAGGCGGCCTTCCAAATGCTCAACAAGGAGGTGTTTGCAGAGTGGTGCTGCGACAAGTGTGTGTCTTCCAAGCATATTCCCATGGTCAAGTTCAAATGTTGAAGCGGAATGGAGGAACGGACTACGGAAGGCAGCAGCGAAGGAACCTATCAATCAACCACCAGCAACAACACCACCAACACCAGCTAGCACTCACTCACTGTATAAAATATCCAAGCATACTCTACTATCTTAATTGTACAATTTATAAGCTGCTCAATAGTCAAGTCATGTCCCCCCCCCCCCCTCCCCACGATTACCCCCGGATGCCGCCCAGGCCGAGGCCGAGAGACGATGGCAGGCCCCGAACTAAAGTGCCGGAGCAGTGTTGTGACTTTCAGCTCCGGGCTCCCAGGATCCATCCGGCTCAAAATCCCAAAACCTCTTTAAGCGCAAGCAAGCGCAAAAGAAAAAACCTAAACGAAATCTGTAAACGAAATATGTTTAATTGTAATATAAATGTAATGTGTATATGTCTGCTCGTTCAGCAAAAGAAAAGAGCAATCAAACCAGACCAGACGAAGCGCAGTGTGTGTGTGCCCCCCCGCTTGGCGCATCAGGGCAATCAAAAACCAAGCTAAGGAACATCTAGAATCTAGTTTGTAATATAAAGCAAAATTTGATAGGCGTTAAATGTGACAAAAACATAAGGAAACACCCACACACACACACACGGCCGTCAAAAGCGTCTTGTCTTGGTCTTTTGTTCGGGGGGAAAATGGGAGAAAATCGCCACACACACACACACACACAGATAGACAAATACACAAACACACACACACAGACATAATTATATATATACATATATATCTAACGACATATTTAAATAATAAAAAAAAAGAACGACACCATTTGACAACGGGATGGATATATACAAATTGTAACGAAATGAAATTATCATTGTGAAATTTTGCTGCAAATGTGCGGACGTGCATGCATGCGTGTGTGAGTGCGTGACTGTGTGTGTTATTTGTTAATATCAATTTTATTTTATTTTTTATACCAGCGTGTGAATCTTACATTTTAAATAATTGATTGATTGATTGTCTGATGGTACATTTTACACAATTAAATATAGCAAAGAATTGCGGAGGATATCGACTGCGAACAAAAATCGAAAAGCACAAGAAATTATAAATTCATGCGAAAGATATATAAAAATTTGTAATTTAAGACGAATGTTAAAAGAGCGCAGCGAAAATGGACAGACGATTCAAAAAAGGCAAAAACAAATTTGTAAAAATAGGAAAAACAAAAACAAGTACTCTAGGATATTGCAACTTTAAGTTATTTATAATTAAATAAAACTACAATATAAACAACAAAAAATAAAGTAAGAATGAGTTTTTCACATATCGAATTTTTTTTGTGGCTCTCAAATTTTCTTGGCCACGAATCGGTACGAATTGTATAATTTTCCCTTGGTTAGATCCCCAAATCATTTGTTAGAGCTTATAGAACGGGCCATATAATCTTCAGAGAGCCAAAAACTTTATCAGAACGTTGAAAACTTAGTTACATCAATTCATCTTTGGGTAAAATATGTTTCAAGTCGATGGTAGGCTTCAGTCCAGAAAAACAACAGAGAAACTCAGAGTCGCCCTTAAAATTGTTGAGCTATGCACACGACATGCATATTGTTTCCTTTTTACTATTCTCGGGAATTTCCCTTTTCAGCGTGTGCTTGATTGCAATTTCTGGACAATAAAATTCTCAAGTTCAACTCTGATTGCATTGCATATACATTTATTATAGTTTATAGTTTTATACTTAGTCTAAATGCACAGGCCAGGCTAATTGGGGAGCATAAACATATACATACAATATATTTAAAAAATTTAAATGATGCTGGAGCTGGATGCAACACAAAACCCCTACGTTATCGAAATGGGGGCAGGCCCCGGCTGGGCAATAACAATTCATGTTCAAATTCAATTCAAAGAATGTGTTTGTGTACGCCACTGGCAAAGCCATTGCATATGGAGTGCTTGCTGGCAGGTAATGGCCAATGGGGGGAGGGGTTGGGCACAAATATTACAGAGACAATCACTTAAACGTTAAAAATTATGAATTTTTTGATTAATTTTTATGGGTTCTTCTTTTTCTCTTTATAGTATTTGTGTTTGTTTAGATTATATTGACGGCACGCAGAAACCAGACGAGATTCCTGCATGGCTCGCTGTCTTATCCGATGGCCGCTGTTATTAGCTCTGCTACATCCTGATCTGTGCTGCGCACCGTCAGATTCAGCGTAACGCCCTCGGAAAGTGCCAGCTTGGCCCGCACCAGAACCTCGGCGCCGCCTCTAAAGGTGCCTGAAAGATGCCACAAAGAATACAAACGATTTAAGATACGATTCAGTAGAAGCTGCGGACTAGATTTGTACCCGAACAGAGCAGCGTGTGCAGGTGCGTGCCTTCGGGCACCTTTTCAGAGAGATTTGCAGAGCCCAGGCCAAGGATTTTCATAATAGTGTTGACAGCATCCTGCAACGTAGTGACGGCTGACAGCACAAAAGTATCCTCGGCTTGCAGCCACTCTGGGGGATGGCAGAAATATATAGACGTTAATTAGATATCTCCGGCATCAATTTTCAAAGGATTGCATTCTTACCTTCACTATCGGCTGCATCCCAGGCCACCTGGAAGTTATTCTTTTTCGATTTCTGTATCTGATCGGCCACTGTGATCTCCATGTCCTCCAGCATATACTCGTCATCATAGCCCTCCTCCGAGTCGGGCTCCCCGGTGTTAGGATCGCAATCCTTGACCACAAATCGTAGCGTGGCCCCAAAGGTTGCTGAAAGAGAAGAGAGCATTGAGTACTAGGCACACTCTGATGACCCAGTGGATGACAATCGACTCACCTATGGAACTGCCCGCATCCGGTGGGAACTCCACAATGACATATGTGGTCTGCAGTTCGTTGTACGGCAGCTTTGGGCATGGTACGACGGCTCTGGTTGTGAATCCCTCGGGCAGGGTCAACTCCACTCGCACATTCTCCAGAAACTGATCGGACAGTGTGTTGAGGCAATCAAATTGGAAGACCACATGCTGCCCAAAGATGTGCTTAATGCATTGTACCGTGTACTCCGTCTCGCTTTCGGTTAGCTGTATGGGTGCCGTGCTGCGATGCACGGGACCGAGCACCTGAATGCCAGGCAGCTGGGCCAACCGCGATGCACTCTCCTCCTCTCGTGTGATCTTCGGCGGCCGTGGGGCGCTGGTGACCAGCATCACATCATTGCTGATCTCTGCTCGGACAACGGCGGCGGCCTTGGGCACAACGGAAATGTCAAAGCGCTTCTCCAGATCGCCGTTCAAATGATCCACCAGAGCCTTCTCGAGCAGCGCCAGTGAGCAGTTCTCGCGCTCAATAATGTAGTTCTTATACAGATCGGCTCGCTCCGTGTTGAGGATGGTCAAGTAGTAGGTGGCACGGTCGCGCACCTCATCATCCGGGTCCATCTGGCAGCGGCCAAGCAGAACAAGAATGTTGGTAAGTAAAGCCGGGCAGGAGGCTCCAAATTGGGACAGTGCGGTCACGGCAGCCGCCCGCACAATGGGGCTCTCCAGGATAACACGATTGTAGATGAAGCGGATGTACTTCGAGGGTGTGGCCGCGAAGGGTCCCTCCTTGCCCATCAAATGGAGAATGCGCACCGCCAGCGAGACATGCTCACAGTCCTCAATGAATTCGCAGAGATGCGACAGCCCGGACTCCTTAGCGTCGGCATTCTCCTCAATAATCGTAATGATGGTGTCCACAATAGATGTCTTGTACTCCAGACCGCCCTCCTCGCGCAGCATGCCACTGAGGAAGTTCATCAGGACAGTGTGCTTCCTGGGATACTTGGTGCAGAGGGCACAGATGGCCTGGACGACCACTATCTTGAACTCGTCAGAGATCTCTGCCACAAATGTGGAGATCTGCTTCATTAGACGCTCCACCGAGGACTCGGCGCCGGTCTTTAGAAGCGTGGTAATTGCCAGAGTAGCCACCGATCGATTGGAGTCCGTGATGAGACCCTCCAGGTCCAGATTGCATGTGGTCACCGCTGCCGGATGGGTCATGGCTACCTTGTTGAGCGTCCGAACAGCAGCAAAACGCAACGTGGCCTTGGGCGAGCTGCAGAACAGCTGAAGGATGGAGAAGGCCGGCGACAGCATGCGGTGATTGGTGTTCTTCAGATTGACAATTGCATGGGCTGCCTCATAGATGACCATCTCGCTCTTGTGGCGCAGACAAGTCTCGATAAAGGTGAACAGAGGCGAGTCCGACAGCTCTTCCGAGGGTATATCCTCCTCTTCGATAAGTTTACAGGCAATACGTATCTAAAGAAACATTCGTTAATCAAATATCCACCATAAAATATAGCTTTTCGCGACTTACCAGCATGCAGACAGCATAGGGACTCTTCAGGGAGCTGCGCGTCAGCTTGTTGACCAGCTTCGAGACCGCCAGACGATCCGATTTGCGAATGTGATAGAGCAGACCGAGGGCATGGTACTGCACCATAATGTTGTCGCTGTTCATTGCCTCCTGGGCCTCGTTGGCCCAACGCTTGACCACATCGCCGGCTGTGGTGGCGAGACGCAGCGAACTGACCAGAGCGGCACAGGATACAGCGGCGTTCTTGTCCACGATGCACTGCTTCATGTAACGCTCGACGGCCTGTAGCATGGTGTGATCCGTGATACTGCAGAGGGCACGAATGGCAGCCGCACGATACAGATCCTCTTTGCCGGTCATATCCTTGGTCAGCGAACTGGTGACAATGATCACATCTTCGGCCACCGAGCTCAGCTCCTTGATGCCCAAATAGACCATGCGACGCAGCACCACATCCTTGGACTGGAACAGCTTGGTCATCGCGAAGAAGCAGTCGGTGGCCTCGCGTGGCACCAGCGTCTCGCCCTGGTTGATCAGGTAGAGGATCTTGGTGAGAATGTGAATGCATTTGCGGGCATTCACCGGCGTCTCGTTAAACGTGCGCGTCTCCTGCAGCACAGACGTCTTCTCCAGGTTCTGGTATGCATTTGTCGGGCCTGGGCGTTTTTTTTTTAGGGAGGAAAAATATTTCATGTTTTCCGTCAGTACATACAAATTTGTTTAATAACTTTAGGACTTGTTTTTGTTGTTTTTTTGTATATATATTTGCTGGATTCTGTGTTAGTGTGTGTGTGTCTGTCTGTGTGTGGAAACTGCTGGTTGCCAGCGGAGCACCTTTTCCGCAGAGCTGTGCTGGAGTTGCTCCCCTTTATCGGTCGTTGTGGCTCTTCGTGCTGTGCGATTAGTAAGCTCTGGGCGTTAAATTGCTACTCACCGTCATCCTCTTCCTCTTTGTCGCGGCGGAACGAACCCATTATTGATAAACTTACTTAAAAAACGTTAATAAAACAACTAAAATGACTTTTCGGCAGCGTTTACACGTCACGTAGTTCACGCACGAACCAGTTCGATTGAATCGGACTTAGTTCATATATCAATAATCGTTAATCGTGTTGGAGTGTGGAATATTTTTAAACAATAATTCTTTTGGTTTATTGATTCGCAAATATAAAATATTCTTGAATTAAAATGACGTTCTTATTTCTACTTCAGCGAGAACCGCAGCGTGAGGTCACTTTGTATCAGGATTAACAGGAATCCAGTGACTGCCGCGAAAATTGTGTTGACCAACGAGCTGTTCAGCTCCAGGAGACCCAGAGGCATCAGTTTATATTCGATTGTGGACACCTGTAGCCAGAAGGAGTTGACAACTTGCCTGAAACGCACATCAGCATACTGTAGGTCTATGCGCTGCAAGAGATCTCCAGTTTTCTTGTTCTAAATGTTGTATAACCATATAAATAGATAGTTCTTGGGGTACGGGCAGCACTTACCTCCTGCAGCATTTGACTGCTTATACGAGATACCAGTATGAGTTCCATGAAAGGCACCGCCAGGAAAACTAACTGAACAATGGCTTGATATAGATCAAAAGGCTCTTCATTGATGTAATAGTCGGCAATGGCCAGGTATTCATTGTAAAATCCCAACGTGATGCCAATCAGATTCATGACCATCGACATGACCATGGACCAGTCGGTGAACCGCAGATATCCCCTGGACCGTGACACAGTCAGGGCATACTTTATGGCCAGCTTATCCAGACTGTCGGCCAGCTCGCAGCAGCGTCGCATGCGGTAGTAGGGCTTCTGAAGCTCCATCTGCAGTGGCGTCTGCATCATGTTCACCTCCCTTACAATGCTGCGTATCCGCTTATTGATTGCGGCAATCATTAAGTTTGAAATCACCAGGCCACCAAAGAAGCAGTTGTTAACCTGATTGGATATTATCAGAGGCAGCATGGTCTTTACGGACGTCTTACTGGTCCATTCCATCTCCGGATGGGCTCGATTCTGGTAGAGTATCAATGTTACGTACACAATCAACGGACAGAGTATCATCTTAAGGGCAGCATCAAGGACTGCTCGCCACACTATCATCATCGACATGTCCAGGGCATTGGACACTCGAAAAAGTGGAACACTGTTCTGGAAACGGATAATGCTACCCGTGATACCCCACTGTGTCACATAGTTGAGCAGACAAATGCAGACATTCATGTAGCAGTATATTTTAATGGTGTCCCTGCTGCTGATGCGGCCACTTGTGAACTCTTCATACACCTGCCACACATAGTACACGGCAAAGATCAAGCCCACCAAAACGCTGTAGACAGCCACCGGTCTCGAGAATATAAACTTTTGACGTTTTACACTAAAACGACCCCAGTAAATACCGTACAGAGTATTCAGAAAAATGGTTATGGTAAGACAGGGCAGCACAATTTTACTCTGAAATTTCCAGCGGTTAAAGCGACGTGGTAGTAGCCGTTTCAAGAAGTCCGGTAATATCCATCGTGTTGTTTGTCCTTTGAGGTATTCCATTGTACTAAATTTGGGGTGGAAAAGGCTTTTTCCCGCGCCACTGATTTAATTGCCGTTTAATTACGCTTAGTCCTTATCGCTGATTCAATGATATCTATCGTAATTGCTTTGGCGAACTCAACGAAATTGGTAAAATTAGAAAGGTATTGAATCGTAAGAAGCATTGGGCTCTTACTATTTCCAGAGCTGAATGGAAGTCTCCAATTTTAAATTCAAATTCACGATATTCTGTCGTATAAACGGCGAATGAACCACTTTCAAACAATTTCTATTTGGCGCGCACCACTCGGCTCTTTTTGCTTTATTCAAATCGGTTGGGGCTCTCTTTGTTGCTCTATCTGAATCGGTAGGCAACAATGAGTGCTGTATGGGCCAGACTCATGTGCCGAGAACACGAGCAGCCATGTCCCACAACATGGGCAACGTTCTGCATACCCTAGGGTAAAGGATATGTATTATAGACTTGCGGAAATGTTTGTCATCCCAGGCTCTGATGGATGCAGAAACTAGTCAGTCTTTGTTTTAAAGGTATTTAAACGACATTTTGCAATTAATGGTCTTCCTTCAGAGACCAAGAATGAGTATCGGCATCAGGATATACAGGAAACTAATCAAATGCATGAATACGTTTAAAACATATCAATTTTTTTTAATTACGTTTTAAAAACAGTTTGGAAAATATTATCTTCATATCAAATCAACAAAGTAGGGTATGCAAAGGCTATACTCCGGCTTAAACGCAACAAGTCTTCAAGTACCAGCAACATTGTATAACCACATTACGACTGTTTTTTTTTGTTCATTTTTTTGTGTAAACCTTGTTTTATTCAAAATACAACAAATGGGAGTACCTAAAAGTAATTAACCTTGTAGAAAATTATTTTTGCAATGGGATAAAACTATGTGGGCAGAGCTAAGGGTCTTAGTTAGCCAGCATTATTCAACGGAATATCAAAATTTAGCAATCGCAATTTAGCGATTACGGTAAATTGTTTGGTTGGTTTCAATCCTTGGGGGAGAACTATTAACCCAATATAAGACAAAAGCGTATTTTAATATTCCACCAAAAATAATAAAAATTGAATAAGTTCAGCGCAGTTCAGGTGAAAGATGTCATGTTTTTCTTTAAGTTCAGATGAAATTCAATTATTTGCCGCCATTTAGCTCAAATCGTTGAACTGTTTAAATAGAGGGGGGTTAAGTGGGCTAAGTTCGATTTCTTATCGATATACGATATATTCGCGACGCATTTGAAGAAAAGAAAACATTAAATTTGGAATGTACGATAATGTGGCTGTAAAATCGTCTCCGTTGGCCTGCAATTGTTATTTCGCGTCCGCCGTGTGTGTCAGTGAATAATCAAAGATGAGATAGAATCGGGAAAACCACCAGAAAGAGCGACCAAAGCAGCAGAGAAAAGCCTCCCAAGCACCCCCTTTGCGCTGCTGCTGCTGGCAACGTCAGCGGGCGAGCGGACAAGCGGGACGAGCGGGCGTTGCTAATAATTTCTCCAGGGCGCTCCGCTGGACAAAGTGTTTTGGTTAGCGTGCGCGTATAAATAAATAGCTGAAAAAAATAGCAAATAGAAAGTGTATACCCCCACATGCCTGTGCCTGTGCCTGCGCCCCTGCCCCTGCCTGTTGTGTGCGCAATTTTCTGCGTTGAACAATAGAGAACACAAGGTGCAAAAATGTTTACCAAAAAATCGCATGCAGACGTTAAGAAGTCGACGGCCAAGCTACAGGATTGCAAAAAGGATTCAGCCTCACGCCTGCGACATCTGCGCATGATATTGGGTAAGGTCGTCTTCAGAGCCCAGAGCCCAGAAACCAGAGACCTCTGGGTCCACTGCGTTGGCGGTTCAGTGATTCGAGTGTTAATTATTTCATAATTTATTTGCATTCAAAGCAATGGCAATGGTCGGAACTGGTCGGATTTGAATTGAATGGTTGTCCGAACCTCTGCGGGCAGGTGGGTGTCGCTCGAACCATTTTTGTTCGCTCAATGACGTTCAGCCCACAGACCATAAGTGGGGCCGCCAGAGCGTTGGCCATTTCCTGTTGGGCGCAAAGCGCAAAAGAACACAAAGCACACACACATACACACACACACACACACACACACACACACACAGTTCTCTCTCTCTATCGCTCTCCACGTCTCTATGTCTTTCCATCAGGCAACATTAATGTATGCAAATAAAAAAACAACACACATGCTCCGATGCTCCGATATACTCCGCTATGTGGCAAGCGGCGGGATGTGTGAAAAACCACGTTAAATGATAAACGAACAGAGCGCACAAGAAGCTATAACCCAAACGGCAACTGCTGTCGACGAGTTCCAGTTCCAGTCGTGTAGATATAACCAATGTGCTGTGTTGTGCCCCCCTTCTAGCCATTGCCTTCTGCCTGCCGCCTCCTCCTTGACTCTGACTTTGAGTGGCTTTCTTTTTGTGTCACTGAACGAACGATTTCCAACAGGTGCCGGAGCTATTGCTCTCCGGCTGTTACTGTTGTTAGTTGCCTTTGTCCCTTGGCAAATTACACGCATTACACATTCTTCCCATTGGGCTGAGCGAGCGTACCCAATTGTTGCAGCCTATTGTTGTTGTTGCCACACAATAATCATCATCAGCCGCGCAAAGCGGCAGACATCTTCGTTTTGGCCTTCTATGAAACCGGTTTCTCAGAGGTTTCTTATTTGGCTTTTACTCTTTGTTTAGCTTTCTTCTGTTTTGCAGTGTGCTTTTGCCGATGACAGCAGCCGGCACTCCTCCCTTCTCCCGCCTCCCATCGCCCTCCTCCCTCCACAAATGATTCATACAACAACAACAACAATTGCTGGAACCCTGAACACCCATCATAACGTGTTTCTTTTTTTTAATACCTTTTTTGTTGTTGTGCATCGTCATGCGTGGTTTTCCATAGATAATTCCTTAATGGAGATATTGGCTTGGCCGCCTGGATTGGATTTGCTGCAGTGGTTGGTGGTGCCTCCCTCTAAAGCTTATCAGTGCGCCGGCAGGTGCTTCAGATTGCGGCCTTTAGGACCTGCCTGCTGTTTTGTGCCCCGGCTCTTATCGGTTATTTCTGGCGGGAACTTGGAACGGGGCGGGGGGAGACCTATAGATAAATAGAAACCTTTGATGGATTGTATTTAAGCAATATGCAATTTGTACTCGCAATCTCTCAACAACTGTCCTCGTTTTTTCTTCTTTTTTTTTTATAGATAATGTCGAGCTTGAGGAGTCCAAGTCGCTGTTCGAGACCAACTATAGTCATGTGTACTTCATACTCTACGACACCTTCATACAGGCGGAGGCGAACCTAAAGCAGAAAGGTAATTTCAACTTTAATTCTGAGGTCGTCGGCAGTGCTCCAAATACGGAGTGTCTTGTGTACCCTATCCATTGGATGGTGCCCCAAATATGGAGTGTTTTGTACCCTTTCCATTGGGTACTTTAACCTTTTTGTTTTTAATGAATGTTTTTCACATCTGTTTATATGTTTTTTAGTTAAGAGAAATCTGTACTCTTCGAAAACAAGCCTAGGGGAAAACTTATTTAAAGTCTGTTACACTAGAGCGTGCTATTTTCAAGTTTCCCCGCGAATGGCATATTTGATTTTTTTTTTTTTGAGATAATATACCAAAAACAGAAATATTTTAAAATAGCAAAGCTGACTGTTATGAATACTATAAACCTGGCTAACATAAAGCGATCAACTCTGCTTGGAATCTATCAAAGCTAGCTGCTATAAAACTGTTGAAGGTGGCCTGGCGAGTACCTAATAGTGCTGATTGCTATGAAATTACCGAAGCTGGCTGTTTTAGCTGTTTTAGGCCAGTCCCGTGTGAAATGTGCTATTCATGAAACGAAAGAGTATTCGAAAGAGTATCCAAACTTCAGTCTCAACGAAAGTACTAACCGTCTCCCCTCTCTTTTTTTGGCCCACTTAAATTCGGTTAATTTTCTGGTATCTTTACCGACGATTTATTTTCTAGCAATTAAGCAGCAAAGCAAAAAGTAAACTGCGACGACCTTAAATGGAACTGAGCTTCTTATTATGTTTGGGTTTCCATTAATCTTAATGCTTAGTCCCATTAAATAGTAGAGATAAATAGTAGCCGAAAAACATATGAGATGCAAATATTCTAAATTGTCTTCCATTCTTCTGTTCTTTTACCCCAAAATCTCTCTTACTCTCTCTCTCTCTCAATTTCTCTATATATTTTTCTCTCTGTGTTTTTTTGTAAATCCCCTAACTGGCAGAACTTCCGTTTCATATTGGTAAGTTTATGTGGTTTTTCTATTTGATACAAAATTTGATACAAAATTGAATTTGCATCCGCCCAAGATCTTGCTTTGAAAATCAGTTTTCCATACTCTCATGTGTCCATATGCCCCAATCCTCTCTCTCTGTATCTCTCTCCCTGTATTTATCTATTTATCTGCACCACATGCATCTTCTATCTTCATGTCTATGTCTCCATTGGAATGTTTAGCTAGAGCCAAAAATGGGTTCAAAAGTGTGATTTGTCATTGATTTTTAATCGAAACTTTATCTCGCAGTCCACAAGGCGCATCGCGAGGAGCTAGACGGTTCACTATGGCTTCTGGAGAAGATTCTGTGCCTGCTGCCAGAGCTGTTGGCCCGTCGCTGGCAGTGCCACTCCCTCAGCCGCATCATGGCCAAGCTGTTGCATCTGGGCAACTCCCCAAAGCTGAGAAGGGAAGGCGTCAGGTGAGTTCCACACAACACCGAATTGGTCTCCTCTAATGTGCTGCTTCTTTTCCACAGATATTTCCTGCTGTGGTACCAGACGCTGGGCGAGAACGCACCCGGCTATGTGCATGCCATGTATGCGGATCTGATACCCGGCCTAATTGTCCCTCAGAAGGGTGTGATGGGCCCCGACACGGAGTTCAGCGCCTCGGACTTTCTCACACATCCGAATATGAAGGCAGACGGGGGCATGGCCTCCGTCTTTCACGACAA